CATGTTACACATCTTGCGTACAAATATTATCGCACTTTAATACAAACCTGTAAATACCCTAATTACACCTATTTATACTACTAATTTAATCTTTTAATTCTATTTATATTATATTTTACAGTCGGTTAACGCGTTATGTGAATATTTTAAAATTAGATTCGTATCGAAGGAAAGTATTGGGATATATGCTGTTTTTTTAAAAAATTAAAATTTTTTTTTTCTATCTGTGGGCAACTTTTCTACCAGAAATCTTGTTCCAATCAAAAAATGACAAGAGAGCTTTTTTTGTTTTATTTTGGGTGTATTTGAGGGGTCGTTTTTAAATTTTTCTTATAATTTTCTAATTGAAAAAAATCGAAAAAAATCGTAGGAAAAACCGAAAGTGTACGGTATTAATGTTTCGTTTTTTTTTTTGGTGGAGAGGGGTTTAAAAATTACTTATTAATAGTCATAATAGCTTGAAATTTTTATAGAATACTTACGTTAGCGTTTCCAAGATGTGGTAAAATGTTGAAACCTTCTGCAGGCGATTTTTGAGCTTTTTATAACCATTTGCCATTTTCGTGTTTATTTAGTTTGTAATTGGTTTTATGCGAATAAAATTGTTCAGCCAAACAGAAATACTTGAAAATTTAACACGAGGTCTATTATAAGTTGTAGTGTTTTAATGTAAAATTTTAACAAAAATCGTAAAATTTACTATACACATATACGTTTAATTGGCCTCTACAGAATCGTATTTCGTTATTATGTATTATGTATTATTCATTATATTGTAGGTAAATTATAAAAAATTATATTTGTATACATTTCGTTATTGCGCACAGTTATTAATTAAATAATTAAATTATCAGCTCTTTTTTTTGCTTTTTTTACGCTTTCAGTCTTTGTTCTAGTGTTGTTGTCCGTATTAACGTATATCAGGAATTAAATGCAATAAGGTAGGTTTAAGTGAAGGAAACAATATTGATTAATTAGTAAATTACTGGATAATATTATAATATTCACGTAGGTATGTGTAAAAAAAAAACATTTATTCGCATACATGTATATATGTATATAAATCTTGTTTGACAAAACAATATAATAGTAATAATAATAATAATAATAATAATAATAATAATAATAATAATATGCCTTCAATCTATTTTGTATAATATAATAGTTGTTGATAAACAGTAACACAACACAATATATTAATATGGGTTTAATCATTAACAAATAAACAAATCCTTACAAATATCACGACTCGATTTTTATCGTTCCTTGGTAATCTTAGTAGATTTATATAATGTACATAATGTTATAAGGTAAACCCGTAACACGGATACAAATAATATTAATAGAGTATGAAGTGGCTATTATTATAAATATAGGTGTACGGTACCTACCTCAGATCGTAATATTATGTTATATAATATATTGCAGCGGATGGAGCAATGTCGGCTGTTGGTTGTATCTAAAATAACCACCTCTCCCTATACAGTTAAATTTCAGGGGCAATTGTATATGGTAGTAAGCCAATCAGAATATCTTTAACAGCGGCGGTAGCAACAGTGGTAGCAGTGGCGGCGGCGTGCGTCTGAAACGAAGGCAGAAACTAACTGTAACTGACTGTTGGTGGACGTTTATATTAGACGCAATCGAGTTTACGGATTCGTACTCGAGTATGGCCACGCATGGCTCCATCCACGGTATACGATCCAAGGTGTACATCTCATAGACTTCTAAATCATAATAGATAAACCGCATATTATGATAGGCGCTTACTATCGTTTTGTTTGTACAATAAGTTGAATTCATTGAAGCGAACATAATATATTACACGTAAGAGATACCGACTCATAGTTGAGTTTTTCAATGTGGCTATAAATACATTTTTACTATATGCTTTTATGAAGAATGAAAACTGACAATATATTTAAATTTTAAATATTGTAACGAATATCAAGTCGCAGGAACGAATGTTATTATTGCCCACGATGGCGAGATAACGTTATTATCGATTTTAACGGTTATGAACACTGTAATATTATTATTTTATTTTACTATCATTATTAATTTAAATTTGAGTATTAAATATAAATCCATATAATCCAATATTAAAAATTAGGTAGCAAAATATAATTACCTATTTTAAGAATTTTAAAAATCTCCTGTCAACAATTTACAAATTAAAATTAACCTCCAAATCAAGGAATGTTATACAATTGTTTGTGATCTCGTTGAAAAAGTCAACTATTAGACTGTCTATCTCGCACATAATATTATGTTGTGTTCAATATATTTTACCAACATGCTGTCTGTCTATTATAATTTTTATGTCTATGGCGTACTCGCGTGATTTCTGTAGATATAGGTATTTAAATATGTTTAACACTAATAGGTATTATACATTATAATATATTATGAGCTAATTTTTCAGGATACAGAAAGCGCCTCGAACAAAAAATTGGCAAGTAAAAATAATAACAATTTTAATAATAATTATAATATTAGCATATTATTATAATGTGTATAAGAGTATATAACGCCACGATCAATGAAAATCGTGCAGTGAGGTATTTACAAATAACCGTTAAAAATGTATTATGACGATAACGTTTATCGACGTATAAAAATGTATAATAATAGCTAATAATATCGTAACGTGGCCCGGCAATTTCATAATCCTAAGAACAAAATATTGGATATTCGACACAATAATTCAAATAAATGTTCAAAAATGGAATATCGCGGATGTTATATTGAATTACATAAAAAAAGACCGCGTGTTAATAAAATTCACTGAATCGGCGTGCGTATAATATTAAACATTAATATGGGATACACTTCGCGCCCGAAAAACGATAAAATAATGTACAAATAAAATCGTCAGAAATTACCAAATATCTATGAGAGATACATATTTTAGAATGTAATAATTAGGTGGTACCGAAATTAGCTAGCGGATTATTAAATTTAATTTCACTCGTCTGCGTTAATTACATATGATATTACGTTTCTAATGAATCTAAAAAACTTTGTTTTTCACCATAATATACTAACATGAAAGCACATTTGTTCGATTATTTTCAAGCGTTAATGCAGGACGAAACCGATAATTCCAATAATATTTTAATCATTGAATCGTACGTCCGTATAATCGGCCAGCCTTAATTAAAGTATAGTATATAAACTTTTATACTTATTATTTTTTTTTAATCCTACACCGATATATTTTTTAACAACGTCTACGTTACTCCCGCTTACGTCGCTGTTTTTTTTCTTATTCAAGTCTAAAAACAAAACAAAAACAAATAACGAAACAGAAAACCACGTGTTTTATTTACATCGGTATTTTTTTTTTACATAATATTTGTCTTACCTATCATATTACAGGAATTGATAAAATTGATTTAATTTAATTCAGTCATGGTTTTTAAACTATGTTGATTGATATTTAAATTCAATTTGAATATTACAAATCCTGGATGAGTGGTTATTAACAGTTGTCGGTGGGTTCGGACCCCAGTGATACACAGACTATTGAGTGGAAAATAAATGAAAATAGGAATTCGAAATAAAGAACGTACCTATCGCGACGGTGGTTGACGAGCGGTTGAATGTCAATGCTGAAAACGACGACGACAGGTTTTTGTAGAGTATATATTATTATTATTATTATTATTACGGTGACACATTGATTGCCAAGTTGAGTGACGCGATTACCTTTGGCCTTTTTGCCATAATATATTCTGAGTTCTGACACGTTGGTAATATATGTCTTCCGATATCCGACGAAATTAAATAATATGAGACGGGATAAAAGTTGCAATATAAGATCGTGTTGAAGAAAAACAATTTAAGCCATTTACTCGAACAAAAAAATCACTTTGTTTTGAGAGTCCATCACTGCGGATTTCATAAAAAATAGTCAAATCACAGTGGAATTGCACGTAAATACAAGCCAGTCGCGGTAGGTAATCTATTTTTTTCATTTGTAATTTTACTTAAGAACTTAAAGTATTTACATTGAGAGAGATCTGCGCAAAATCAGGCGCTATCATTTCTTTTTCGTTTATTTGTTTTTGTTTACATAATATATAATGGTATTATTAACAATAATAGATTAAAAAAAAAAAAAAAAAATACAGATATTTCCGGAGAGTTTGAATTATTACTTCACACGCACCTATAATACCGATTTTATCAGAAATATCTATAATTGGTGTAAATGTGTAATTAAAGGAACAGTTTAACGATCATTATCGTTTGTCAAAATTTAGGAACGGCACGTGACCCCCCACAAATTGTAAATTGTTCGTATCTCTGTCTACATAATAATGGTGTTTTATATTACACTGCTATATGAAATAATTGTCCCTTGCTTTAAAATGGATATCGTTAATGAACCGCAGTTTTCAACAATATGTACAATATACTTACTGTAAATTCAATACGAATTCAGTTACCTATTTCTGAATCGTATATTTTCATCTTACCGGTATGAAATCGAATACAAAAAAATACAATTATTGAGAATGTTTTAGTCAAAAATAATTCTGAATTTATATCAAAACGGCTCATTTGGAGACTCGAAAAATTTAAAATCGACTTTATTTTTAGAAACGACAGTCGGTTTACGGTATGAATCACATGTACCTATAGGTATTTACAGTGTAGGTATACGTATTTTATAACTATGTTACGTTCTGTTTGTTGTAACTAGTTTTATACTTGCATGAATAATATTATAGGTACGCTACAATTATTATACCACACAACAAGAAATGCTATATTATCAAAAATGAAGTATCATAACCTAAACAAATATGTTATCGTACGATACATAATTAATACACACAAATGAACTTATATAACAATTCCGTTCAGTTTTTGAAAACATATTATTATGAGGACACAAAATCGAAACGTTTTAACAACATCGGAATGTTTTGTTATAATATTATAATACCGTGGAATTAAACAGGACTACAAGGATAAAAACATAGGCGAATTTAATGTACACTGGTGATGAGGCCGGTAGACTGACACGGGACGGGAGCCGCGACTATCATCGGGTCGGTCGCGAGCAGGGAGAAATGTCTGTACGATAGGTATTCGGGAGGCAACGGCTGTTCCCGTTTTGTGTCTTCCCTCTGTTTCTTAATTTTCAAATAGCCGAGCACAGTGACGAGCACTACGAACACGACACAGCCCAGACAACAGCCGATTATCAATCCTAATCGCCTAGTTAGCAATGAGCTTCCGAGCCGTTCATCCGGATAGAAGGCCATCTCACCCTCCAACGTCTTAACTTCTGTGCAGCGGCTGCTCTGAGTGTCTGCTAATAGGTGCGGTGATCCGTTCGGCGCCATCGAATTACCGAGGCCCACCACGCACACTAAATACCGCGTCTCCGGTGTCAAGTCCTCCAAACGCACGGCTTGCGTGTCTTTATCTAAGAATTTGTTGATAGTCTGAAAAAAAAACCGCAAATGGACTTGTGTGAAGATGTTCGTCTGTCACAGGCCTACATATTGTACTGGTGGAAGAACCAAAGTCTATCAATGGGAACTTAATAATAGAACACTGTCGACTATTCATTTTAAAAACAAAACAAATTTAATTTTGGGGTTCTATCCACGAGAAATAAATGACTTAGGCCCTACAAAATATACAACCAGTAATGATTAGATACAATCTTCCACACTATGGTCAATTTATTATTGGGTATAACTTTCTAAAAAATTAACTGGCTAGGGCTTGTTTTTCATTTTTTAGTTCTTTATGAATTCATTATAATATATATGTATGTTTACTAGATATACCTACTCATATTTCAGGCACACTCGACTCTTTGATTTTGACAAATATGACCTCTACACCAGTATTTGTTAACCTTTTTACTGTGGCAACCTCCCAAATAAATATCAGGGACCTATAAATACATATTTTATACAATGTGTCCTGGGAAGTAACCATACAGTGTAATATGAAGAAAATATAGCTGAAATTATTGAGAAAACTTCTTTAGATCCTTCGGTCTAACTCTTTTCTGTGGACAATATTTTTTTTTTTTATAAATTCTAAACTTTTTGAACATCTTCAAAACCAATTAACTTTTTAATTTATTTGAATATTAATAATTATTCTTTGTTGTTGTTACTGGGATTTATTATTAAGATTTATGTTGTATCGATTTAACCATGGGTTTTATAATATATTATACAATTAATGATTTAACTCATATTTCGGTGACCCTAAATAATTGGTTGGTGACCTCTAGGTTAAGAAACACTGCTCTAAATGTCGTATATAATACAAATACTATATAACTCACATTTGGTGTCATCGCGACTGATGAGATTGCTGCCGCTGGATAATCGGGATCTTCGATCGGATTATACGCTACTTTGTAACCGTGTAGGCCCGTGTGATTACGACCTTTCCAAGACACAAATATGGAATACGGTTGAATATCTTGAATGGCCAATTTGAGTACAACGGGCATAGCACAAAACGCGGGAGGTTCCAGTTCCATGAACCTCTGACCCTGGAGTTCTGGGGGGTGTTGACAGATTAAACCGACTGGACTGAGATCGGATGTTAGTTTTTGGTGGTCTCTCATCCATTCCCATAGTTCTTGTTGATCGCAGCTACAGTTAATTGGATTTTCTAAAAGTAATAAATTCACATTAGACGTTTATGGATATAAAAATAGCTAGTTAATTATTTTTGATTTCACTGACCATCTGTCCGTAAACTTCTCATTTGAGTTTCAAGTGGTCTTAAAGCATTCAAAGGCAAGTTTTTAAATTTATTTTTTCCTAAATCTAATATCTTGAGTTTTTTAAGCGATCTAAAAGCATCCGGAGACACAAACAATATCCAATTGCCGTATAAATGTAGTTCGGACAAACTTTCTAGGTTTCGAAATAAACCTTTGCTTATCTTCTTAAGTTGGTTATACGATATGTCAAGTACTTGTAACGAAATCAAGTCCGAAGAAAAGTCTTCGAGTTCTCCTATAGAATTATGTGACAAGTTTAACAGCCTTAGACTAACTAGTCCCTGTAGTCGTTCCTGGGGAAGCAGTTCTAAACGGTTATGGCTTAAGTCAAGTGTGTGCAAGTCTTCGAGTACACTAAATGTGCCTGGTGATATTTTTGAAATTTTGTTATTGGACATGTACAATCGACATAAATTGGTGAATGGTAGAAAATCATTACTGGCAAGTACTGATAAATTCGTTTCACAGACGCGTAGTTCTTCCAAGTTAATATGCTCAATTGTCACAGACTTCACTGTTTCACGGATTTGACCTAATGGGTTGTAATTCAGATTTAAAAACTGAAGACTCTTAATCAATGACGGCACTTTTCTGAATTTATTATTGGACAGATCTAAACGTTTTAGTGACTGAAAAAAGTTCAAAGGCAGTGACGACAGTAAGTTGTTCGCTAAGTTCAATTCAGCCAAAAGATTAAAGAGTGAAGGGGAAAATTCGGGGAGTATTTGGATTCGATTTTCGGAGACTATGAGACTCTGAATACTTTTCATACCCATCAGTTTTGTCATATCCAATTCAGTCAACCTGTTTTTGGCCAACGAAAGTTTTTGTAGACTCTCACAGTTTGCCAACATCGAGTAAGGCATGGTGTGGAATTCATTTCCGTCCAAGATCAACGTACTCAAATGGGTATGGCCTTTAAATAAATCGACAGGTAGGTTCGTTAAACTATTGTTAGACAAAGACATCCAAGATACTTCGAGGTTAAACTTGAACGTTGTTGTCGATATGTATCCTATGTTACAATGGTCCAAATATACGCGTTTGATATTCGGTAGGTATTTTAATACAGTTGAATTAAGACCATCCAAATTGTTATATGATACGTCAAGGGTAGTCAGAGTGGGGACGTCCACTTGTAGTAACGCGTCGGCGGATAAATTATTGTCTTTCAAATATAGTTCATTAAGGACGTTTAAATTGGAAAACGTTCCATTTTGAATATTTTTTAACGAGCAATTGTTCAAGTATAGATTTTTAATGGGTAAGTCTTTTTGGAACATGTACATGTGCAACTTTGTGAGTGGGTTATTAGATAGGTCCAAAACGGACAACTGTTTTAACGCTGCAAATGAATTTGGGTCTATTCGTGATATCTGGTTGTCAGTGAGATGCAGTTCCTCGAGACCTCGGAGTTCAGCGAATGTTTTCGAAGTAATTTCATGCAATAGATTGGAACTGAGATCTAGAAATATTAATGTTTGCATAGATTCGAATGTTCCTAACTCAATGTGTTCGATCGAATTATTGTTCAAGTAAATTCTTTGCACTTGACACAAATCGGTAAACAACGATTTGTCCAATTTGGCTAATTTGTTGTGACTAAGCCACATTATTTTCAGATTTGATTGACCCTGAAGTGACTTATTATGTAAACTCGCTAACACGTTCGAATCTATTTGTATAGACACTAACGACGAATTGATGTGCAGGAAGACGTCGTCTAAATGAGTGAGTTCATTACTTTGAAGATTTATGTGTTGAAGACTCTTAAGTGTTTGAAATGCACCGGACTCTACTTCTGTTATCGCATTGTTTTGCAAATGCAATTCCAATAGATCCGGTAATGTTTCAAATTGCATTCTAAATATTTTTGACAATTTGTTGTTTTGCAATCGGAGCTCTTTAAGTCGAGTATTATTTCTAAATGCACCGTTTTCGATGTAGTTGATTTGATTATTATCCAAGCTCAATGAAACGAGTTTATTGCAGTTAATAAATAAACTGTTATCGATTGTTTCGATATAATTATCGCTCAAATAAAGCTGCATTAATCCAGGCAAGCTGAAAAAAGCACCGGATTCAATAACTCTGATAGCGTTTTGTTGAATATACAATACTGATACGTTTGAAGAATTTGTAAACGAGTCACTAGAGATCTCCAATATATTATTTTCAGAAAGAAATAATTCTCTGAGATGGGGGAGATTCGCAAACATTCCGCTGATATAATGAATGTGATTATGACTCAAGTCTATCGTCCGTAGGTACACATTGTATTTGAACGTATTACAATCCATGAAAACTATTTTATTATGACTTATGTCGATTGATTCAAGTTCAGTCAGAGTGCTGAAACCACGTTTATGTATACTTTCTACTGAGTTGTAATAAAGAGATAAGAGTTTGAGCTTAGGGAATAAACGGAATGCATCTTCAGGAACTGATTCAAAATTATTAGAGCTCAAGTCAAGTTGCACCAGACTTTTCATGAACGAATAACGGTCATCGTGGATCGATGATATTTCGTTCCAAGCGATTCTCAACGACATGAGGCGTTCCAACCTCCTGACGGCTGACGTCGGAAATGTTTTTATCTTGTTGTCGGAGAGATCTAGTTCAGTGAGACTAGTCTCGAGCCCTGTGAATGCAAATTCTGATATTTTGTGTATCGCGTTTCCTTTAAGGTTCACCTTGATCAATTGTAATCCGGAGAATGCGTAACTACTCAGCTCACTGATCTCGTTAGATTCGATCTCAATTGTCTTTAACAGCGTCAGCGTGGAAAAAGCTTTTTGTGGTATTTCTTTTAGTTTTCCGGACAATATGGTGAATGCTTCTAAGCTGTTAATGTTGTTCAGCCCATTTTCAGTGATCAGCGACAAATTCGATTGGGATATTTGGAGTTGACGGAGTTTAGTGTTAGGGGGAAATATGTCGGCTGACAGAGAAGTAACGGCAGGTTCCAGATCGTAAATGCTTAGCAACTGTATTTGTCCTCCGGCTACCGAGAATAGTGCGTTGTGCACGGCCTTTCCAGTGGCTCCAGGACATTCGAAAAAAATTCCAGCTTCGAGGTCGTAACAGGAACAAGATTGAGCTTGTTGGTCAATTGGTTGATCAGCTGGTTGATCAGCCGGTTGATTCGGGCACGTGGGATTATTTGTTTGGTTGAGTTGACTTTGTGATTGGCCGAAAGTGTAAACTTGAAACCGCAGGATCGTGCATATCCACAGTAACGGCCACCGATCATTGGATCTCATCTCATCGCCATGTCAACAGAGAACACTTTATTGCAGCTTGTGCGTAATTTTCCTGAAACAAAATATATATCAAATCGGTTAAATTTATAATTGGGTTTTGATAGTTTTTTAACTTTATGCTAAAGTTTGATGAACTTATTGTTATATTATAACAATATTCGATAGGAATTTGTTAAAAATAGGTGTATGAACTAATTCGTATATTTGAGTTGTGGTTTTTTTTATCTCTTACTTATTACTTATTCACTTTATACTTTCAACAACACTACTAGTAATCGTAATATGATATACAAATTACAAACTATTAATATTTCAAATCTATTTTTCATATACGATTAAATAAATGAATGTTGATGAATTAGAAAATGTAACAATATTCAATTTAATTTATTTTAAATAATATTTTAACTCGTGATTGAACAATAATAAAAATATTTAAATTAGAAATTTTTTTTGCCAAGAATAGGATGGTTCTTGAAAAATATTAGTATAGGTTTTTTTCTGGTTGCAAAAATTATTTTTCCGTTCACGGTACCGGTTTTTCTTTTTTCATTGTAGAAATGATAAAAAGAATAATTTACTTAGGGTATGGGATAGATTATTTTTTACCCACTTACAATTTAAAGAAAAAGGAATAAAAATAAAAATGTTAAAGACGTAAAAGCGAACAAATTTCCAACATGCATTGTACAATTCATACAATATTAAATTATTCAATAGATTATCAATTATCAAGAGTTTGACAATTTCCTATCCTTTAATCTATTACAATAGTTCCATTTCATAAAGCGAAAACGTTAATCTTTGCCACCGTTGCAGCGCTGTCGGTTTGATTTATTTTAGGGAAGATAAGGAGGATAATTTTATATAATTTAACGTTAGAAAAAGCCAAATATTTATTTTTTTATTTATATTAATAATATTTGTCACTTTTATTGAAATATATTTAAAAAGCTTTAGGTATTTTTTTAGAGTACTATAAGACAAAAGGTTATTAGAGAAATTAAGTAAGACATTATAGGTTTAATAAATTTAAACATTATCGAAGTCTTATGCAAAAAACATTTCGAGAATGATTTAATAAGAAACATAGATATTCTTAGTTAATTTGGAAATGTTATAATGTGTAGTGAGCAAATAAGTATCAACTCATTTAGTTTTAGATTTTATCTACTTATTTATTTTAATTCGAATAGCATATAGGTATTTATTTCTTTATAAATATATTTAAAGAGGTTGAGTCCAATAACAGTTTACTTGTACAACTTGTAATATATTTATTATTTAGGCTCCTCATTTAAGAACACATTTATACATTACCGAGAAATGATTTCAATTTAATGATAATCTACATGAACAATTTTAGGTACATTTTATTACGGGCATACATTTTTGAACTTATTCTTATCAATTGTAGTCAAATAAATTATTATTCCAATATTGTCAATAAACATTTTCTACAATTAATGAATCTTTTATTTATTTTTATATTGAGTTAATTATGTATTTATAATCTAACAAAGTACTTCAAAATTAAATCAATTTATAGGAATTACCAAAGGAAAAAAATATTAATATTAAAAATAAAGTACTAAATTTATTCTTATTCTAAAAGAGGTTGACATTTGAAGGCAATATTGTTGTCGATTGTGTTGATATATATTTTTTTTTAATGAAAGTATATTGTTAATGTATTAATTTTTAATCCTATTTATATACATTTTAGATAAATAAATTATTTGTCATATGAATTAACTTCTACTGAAGTTGCGAGAAATCGGTTTTTTGTGATGATGTAGATGTTGAAATGAGTTACCTAAAGATTTATTTACAATCAATGAAAGTACTTCAAAGTTAAATTAATTTAAAGATAAAAAAAAATTATAGAAAAATATTTCAAATGAAAATTTATTCAATGACAGGTAATGTCTTTGCATTAAATTGTCTTTTCTTCATTAAAGAAGCAGTAACTGTGAGAATTAGTAGAAGTGTAAACTTTTTATATAATCAAAAGAAAATATTTTAAAAGCTTAATTAATTCGATAAATTAATAAATATATTAGTTCATTTATTTTAAAATATAGGAACAGTTCAAATTATTTTATTGTACTTGATACATTATTAATAAAACAAATTTCAAATTGTGACATAATAATTTCACTCGGCTACTATTGTTTGATTTGTGGAAGTACTAAACAAACTTTGACTTAATAGGAAACTCGATAATTTGTACAATCTTCCCTAAACGAGCTGTATTAATTAAAACACCTAAAAGTAAAAAAATATCATGTTCTTATTATAAAAAAAGATGTCCTAGAATAATGGAGATGGGTGCAGCTATTGTTATAGGTAATTTAATGTAGATCTGTAAGCAACGATAAACTATTGCTTACGAAAAAATGATTCTGAGCGATGTTCAATTGATAGTGGTGTTTTGTCAATAATATTTGTAACATTTTATAATAAAATTATTAAATAGGCATTATATATTTTTTATTTTTATAACATTTGTTTAGTATTTTTCCGATTTGTCTGTTTTTCCCAGCTTTCCCATGTTTTTCCCGGTTTTTCACATTTGTTGGGAAAACTCTTGGGAAAATCGAAAGACTATCTTCCTGAAGTAATTTTACGATCAGATTTTCTTTCAGAAAAAGTGTTATCATTTTAAATTGGAAAAAAATTGTTGGTTAAAAAGTATGCTCAACCAATTGAGGGGTATTTTGCGATCAAAATAGCCCGAGCAAGCGATAGCTTGGGTCTTTAGGTACACCAAAATACATTTGTTTTTATACTATACTATATTAAAAGATTAATCGATTTGAATTCTGGTGGAAATTACACACGTATTTTGAACATTTTGGTGCACATACATCTTATTTATTTTTTGGATAAATGTTGTTGAAAATTAATTACACTTTTGTTACGTCACGAATACCTGAAACAAGGTTCGAACATAGGTCGATAGAGATTGAATAAATAAAAGATTCAGTTTGATCATTTCTTTTGTTTGTTTTTTATAATGAATTTAGAGTTGAACCAAATAAGTTCAACGTGGTGAATAGAATGGAACCACGAACAGGTCGACGAGGATCTCGTACACTCTGTGACTAAATCCGGCTATCGAATATCTGTAGTTTGACGATACATATAATACATAAAATAGATTAATGGTATATGGACTAGTGTTATCATTAAATCGATTTTATTTCCGTGCTGTTCATATTTTTCTATTGATCATCACGAGATAAACGAATACGTCTTGTATTATTTTCTTTTGAGTATAGTTTTTAAGAATACTAATTTATTATGTTAGTGTTTCGGACTTCAGAAAAAAAAAACCCGTTCATGGAATATTTTATATCTGTCTAATCTATGGCGAAAGGGAAACTAAATTTTTTTCATAGTATTCTCCAGAGGCGAAAACTGACAATTTTCATGAGAGACACGAAAAGCGTATGTATGAGAACGACATATTATTATTATACGAGAAAAAAGAGAACAGCAACGTTTTATATTCAGTACGAAGCATTTTGCACATATTTCTATCACAGATGGAATGTACATTTTTTTTCAAGCGCCATGAATTTTATTAGGTATTTTACTATTTGAATATGAACCGTGTACGGACGATGGCGTAAACGAAACTCGCACAGTAAAATCCGAGAGTGAATATGTTTTTAAATTGTAAATAAGTATTAAAGTATATATGCATCTAAAAAAAATGCCTGTCTATAAATAGTATAAATATAAATACTAATTAATACACTCAGCTTCGCCCATGTTCAACTATTTCATTTCCGTTCTGATTTTAAAGCCCATATCTACAATATATTTTACAAAAAAAAAAACTACTTTTACATTGAATTTAGGTAAACATAGAGTAAGTTCCGATACTTAATTTGTGTTGCACAGATAGTATTTAAAAGTTTGAACTGTATAAGTATACTAGTTCTGACAAAAAAATGCTTAGAATGATGATGAAAATGGTTTAAAAAACATTTTAATGGTTTGGGTGGGTCAACAATTTCTTCCAATAAAATTGTTCATCTAAATTACAATAGAGACTTGAAGATTACATAGAGAATTTTAATGTATGATAATAATTGTTTTTAAATTAATATTTTAGGTTTTGAGCAGAGCGAGGAATGTACCTAATGGTTTTAAAATGATGTTTTTTTTTTAAATCTGTGAACAACTTTTCTACCAGAAATTTTGCTCCGATTTATATTGATAGAACTTTTCTGAAAGGAATTCTGACTAGGATGTTACTTTAAAAAGATCTTTTGATTTTCCCAGCTGTTTTCATAATAAATGAGAAAACCTGGGATAAAACGTAGAAAAAAACGGGAAAATAGGTACATACAATATTAAACAAAAAGTATTAAATAAAATATATAATGCATATGCAATTACATATGCATTATTATATTATTTTACCATAATAAGACATATATATTATTGACAAAGTAACACTTTTAACCGATCTCCGCTCAGAATTGTTTTTACGTAGAAAATAATTAATCGTTGCGGACAGATATTATTATTATTGTTTATTTCTTCGAACAGATAATGGGCCCCACTGAACAAGTTCGTGTGAGGGCCCATGAGTTCATAATTGATAATAAGGAAAATATTACATTAAAATAATAATTTAAATTTAACTTTTTTTTACAATTTTAGACTTATGAAACTAACTTAAATATATACAATGTCGGTAACAATATTTAATAAATGGAGACTTAATGTATACAGTTATTTACAATAATGTACTGTTAAGTACAAAATATACTTAATGTGTAATTTGATAAAATACAAATGCAAGCAACTAAATTAAAGATATACAAAAATTGAAATTTTAAATTTGGTTCATTTCGCAGCTAGTTAGTTATTATTATTTTTTTTTTAAGTATTAAACGATAGAATTGTTTTTAAGTTTAATGGTAGAATATTATATATTTTTGGACCTATTTATAAGTAGATCAAGTTAGTTTTCTGTGCATTAAGGAAACAGTAATGTTTGATAATTGTCTTGTTTTATATTTATGATCAATATTAGGTGTAAGGTTATTTTTAATTATATAAATTACTAATGCCTTATAGAACAATTTTTTAATGTTAGAACATTTAATTCTTTGGACAGATATTCTGCGTGATACAAATGGTTCTTTTTTAAAATAATTTTTATTATTCTATTTTGTATTATTTTTAATGGATTTATTGTTGTATTGTAGGCACCTTCCCAAAGAGTAATACCATAGTTAATAATGCATTCTATTAGAGCTTTATATATAATTTTAATTTATTTAATTTCAAGTAAATTATGTAAATTGTTGAAAGCATAGATTATTTTTCTTAGTTTTATCGTAGTCTATTTAATGTGGTCATGCCAATTGAGGTTATGGCTCATTTCAATGCCTAAGTAATTGTAAATGTACGAGATTTTGATATACATTATAAATTTCCCTCTACCTTTCCAACTTCTCATCTTTTTTTTTTATAGTAAATTGATCCTTCATAATTGAAGACAGCCAATTTATAACGGTGCTATAGAACCCGAGGCTGATTTAAATGTTTTCTTATAGCTGCTCTTTCTGAATCAAATGTGCTCAAACTCACGAATTAGAGTTCGTTTATAGTCAGATAGAAGTGATACAATTTGGGTTGAATTTTAATTTGAACTTCACCACGTTAATTTAGAAGGAGGGCGTTTTAAGCTATGTACTCGTACACTCTAACAAAACCTCCAAATAAAGCTAGGTTATGAAATTTTATATATGCATGGTATAAGTAACCTATAGTGTGATGTATCCCTTCCCTTCAACCATTTTTATGTGTTCATGGGAAATTAGGGGTTTTAAATACCCTTACAGACTTATGTAAATTATTAACTAAGTTAAAATGTGTATATACTATATCTAAATATAAGTTTTATCAAGGATGTGCCTATAGATGGTTTAAATTTTATACCCCCGTCCTCACTGTCTATTGGTGTGTTAGCTAAAATCTCGAGAACTTCTTTATCTATTTTGATAAAATTTGTTTGTTAAATTCCTTATCGTTATAAAATCAAGTATGAAATATTTAAGGGAAACAAGTTAGCTGGGAAAAAATTCAACTTTATTGACGGAGCTGCTCATGTGTTTTGAAAAATAATTGTTCACAGACAGAAAAAAAACACATCATAGGTTTTAAAACCAATACATAATTCCTCGCTGGCCTGCTACGCTTAGAATCGAAATTATAACGGTTGACCTTGGCTGCGTGTTCAACTACAATCAACTACGGTTTATGGATTTTGTGATCTTAATAAATTGATCTTTATACTCGTGAAAAACGAATCCTTTATTTGGTATTCGATGTATGACGGAAATATAATATTATGTAAATTTCGAGTGGTGAAAAAAAATAAAACTCCTAATAAGTCCACATTCCGTGTGACCGTATTTATTATTAGTTTGTATTTTTTTTCTCCACCTTTATCGGTCCACGGAGAACATTTAATTATTGTTTCTTTGCACGTTTTTCGTTCGATATAATATATACATAAACTATGTATAAATGAGTATTCATAAATCAAAAAAATTGTTTAGTAATATTTTATCTGAAACATTTCGATGGGAGACGGATATTTCAATTCAATTTCCGCTGTAACAGTAGAAATGTAATTTTCCACGTGTTTGTTATTACATGCTTTGTGAAAAAAAGCCACAAAAACGAAACGAAGAAATAATAAAATGATTATTAATAATTTATGAAAATTTTGACGTTGGGACACTATACAGATACGAAAAAAATCAGATAGTTGAATAAAATAATAATAAAACAAATTGAGCAAATAATTTATTCAATAAAAATACCAATAACAATTTTACTCGACTTACTTTAAAATATATATTTTCTTTACATAGGTACAACAAAATTGCATTAATATAGTAAAGTTAATTTATAAGAACATTATATAAATATACCCTTTTTGGGCACAGGGCTGACTGCTGTGGGAAGTGGAACAAACGTGAATCACGTTGAACAGTTTAAATATTTTTTATTACTTCGGAAATTGCAAGTACTTACACGGCTCTTGTAGTATAATAGTGTTTCAGTATCTACTTCAAACGTCGATAACGTGTAGGTAAATAGATAATATGTAAATGTAACTATGCCTATTCAAATCCGCTTAGATGGGAAAATGGTAAATTTATAATGAAACGTAACCCGATTCGGAAACATTAAAAAACAATAGGCATCGAGTGGTATTTATTTTGCAAGCAATTGGATCAAATGTACATTTCTCCGGATTCCTCACTTTTCAAATTTAATATTAACGATTAGGCCAAGAAAAATGTCAAAATTGTGCTAACTGGCGATTTTGGCCATTTATCCGATTCCTCCCCTTACAACTAAATTTATTAATTTAAAAAAAAACTATTTATTTATTTTTTTTTATTATCCAAGTCTCACGGAATACTAACGATTAGATAAAGAAAACTTTTAAATTACAAAAATCTGGTGAGGGAGGGCAGGAAATTAATACATTTAAATCAAACTTCTTGCTGACTGTTGAATTTTTTTTCCTTTTTGTATATCATATGCAACATAGTTTATAGTAATGAGTATAAACAAAAAATATATAGACAAAAATTGAAACTGGTATCTATATACATATATGCAATATTTTTAACTGTACATATTCATCACAACTTCTTTGCAGAGATATAGACATTTTGTTCATAAATTTCACACACGTTTAATGATACTTGGTAATTTTTAGTTAAAATATAATTGTTTGGTCGCAAGTAAATTAGTTTCTTTGTTTAAAAAAAAAAAAAAAAAAAAAAAAAAAATCAATGTATATTAATAATAATAATAATAATATTATTATTTTTGAAAATTTGCGTTCAAAATCTAAAAAAAAGAACAGATATGTTGAATAATAATAAATATACATTTTAATATTCTTAAAATTAAGATTTTATTATGATAGGTAGCTGACAGGTTAAAATATATTTGTTTATAGATTTTTGTACGATATAGGTCATAGGTACTAGTATACCTGTAAAATTATTTGAAATTTGCTATTTTGAAACAATAACACGCGTATAAAATATAACACCCAATTCAATTTATTGTGCATTATGACGCTGTAATTATCAATCTAAAGACAATATGAACGCAAGTCGACATTTTAATTGAACATTATTTAAATCTTATTAAAATACATCCATAATTTATGCGTTTATGACAGTGTACGTAAATTGCGTCTACGAATAATACGCAAGAATGACTTATGATTCACGGTAGCTAATATGTTACAATGTTTAACAATATAATATATTACTATATTATTATTATGGTTAGTTTCTATTTATTTAATGTCAGTAAATTGATTAATATTTAATAAACAATTATTTTGTTAAAACGATGTGCTCATATAATAAATATTGTCGGATAATATTATTAAAATAAGTAATCTATAATTAAATTGGAATGGAATGTTTTAAATCAGTACAATATCCAAAAGAATACCTAGGTGTCCAATACCCATTTAACATTAATATAGTGACTTGTAATGTTAAGAATAAATTAATCATTCAACGAATGATTAATTTAATGATTACCTTTAGTTATAATATATTATGAAATAAAGTTTTACTATATAATGAACTTTATTTCATATTTCTTGTCCAAAATTTGAATGGTATTTACTATACTTTTACATTTTAAACATGCCACTAAAATAACAACTGCGATATAATATATAATATGAAATGTTTTGAAGTTAAATCGAAAATTTTAGCAAAGGAACTAAAGCGTTATTATATATTCAATTTACCATAATATTATTTCAAACATTTTCAAAAAGTATATTACAAGTCTTATCATTTTAAAATAGTAATAGTCCTATTTAAATTTCAGTTTTTATATGAAAATTCACTAAATTTGAGAATAACGCATTTTTCAAAAAATTAAAAAAAAAAATCATTTTAGGAAAATTTAAAAAAAAATTTACCACAATATTTTTTTACGATTAAATAAATATATACTTTATACAACTTTTTAAACTGTTTTTGGAAATAAAAAAAAAAACGATTAGTTTTTTTTAAAAATATTTTCGTTTTCGTTTACATTTTTTGCACTCATTGGGAAATATCACGATTATTAATTTTAAGTGTTGCCTTACTTACACGGACATGACGTCTATCGAAATTTACCACTATATTAATTTGTGGACGCTGTATTTGTGATAGTTGTTGTTGCAACTATCATAACACTGTAAATATTATTATTGTGTACAAAATAATAAAATATACTCGTGTGTAACAAATAACAAACATGTATTGAATACATACAATAATAGATTTTAAAAAGACAATTTTTATTAGAAATTTTAATTTTGTATATAAATCTGTGAATAAAATTGTAAGACCAAACAAAAAATGCTTGAAAATTTAAAATGAGGTTCATTATAAGTTGTACTTAGTGGTCAACAAGAAAGAGATGAATTTAATGTAATATTTTTTTTTTTATTAGAATTTTAATATCAAATTTTGACGAAAATCATAAATATAACGGACTTTTAAATATTTATAATCGAACTCCATTCAGAATTACTTTTCATTAGCAAGGATTAATTTTTGCTTACAGATATACGTTAAATTCCCCTTTATTCTACCTTCCCAACATCTAACCTATAACAGTGGCCACCCCATCGTGAAGTAGGTTATGTTTGTTTTTTTTAGAAAACATTCGAATTCATAATATATACTCGTATTAAATTAATATTTTTTGTTTTTAATTCATGCTAATTAAAATAACTGAAATATGTGCTATGATATAACCTAATAAATCTTAAATAAGCGTTATAATAATTTGTTTTATACCTTTCAAATAACCTATAGTATTTCATAAAAACATGAAAAATGGCTAAAACGAAAATTTAATTTTTTTTTTTTAAATTATAAACTTTTTTCAGATATATAAATAGAACTGAAAGAAGTTCTTAAATGTAAATTGTTTGATGAGTCAATATGTAGAGGTACTTAAAAATATAAAATATATTATGGTATGAAATGAAAATTTAGGTATTTTACTTATGGATTCACATAAATGAAAGATTTTTCTACTGTTTATGAAAAATACAAAATAAATCATTATATTATGCATATTAGCAAAAAAAAAAAAAAAATAAGGCGTTCTAGGATAATGGGGATAGGTGCAACCGTTGTTATAGATAATTTAATGTATACCTGGAAGAAACGAGAAACTATTTATATGTAATTTTATAATAAAATAATTAAATAGACTTTTTATATTTTCTTTAATAATATTTGTTTAAAATTGTACCGATTTTCCCAGATTTCCAACGTTTTTCCCGGTTTTTCCATGTTTTATCCCAGTTTTTTAAATTTCCTGAAAATAACTGTTGGGAAAATCGAATAATGACTTACTTAAAGTACCCAGTGAAATTTTCTTTCAGAAACATTGCTATTATTAAAAGCTGGAGCAAAATTTCTGGTAGAAAAGTTGGCCACAGAAAAAAAAAAAACGTAGTTTATATTTATTATGTTTCGTAAATTCTTCCATTTATTTTCCGGTTTTTCGCGTTCGATAAGAAAACTCTTTAGAAAATTGATCTCCCTTAAGTACCTCCCCACACCGATTTCCTTTCAGAAAAAGTGCTACTCGTAGAAATCCGAGCATGTCTTTTGGTAGAAAAGTTACGCACAGATAAAAAAAAAAAATGAATAAACTTCTTTGTAAAACCATAAGCTTCTTTGCTCCACTCAGAATCTAAAAGAAATAAAAAATGAAAAATAGAACTAAAAATCGAAAATACTTCAAATTTGTAAAAAATAGCAACACAAAATGTTTAAGTAATAATAATAAGTATACATAATATTTAAGCGAGTCAAAGAAACATTCTACAAGTGATCCGGAGAATTCATACTCTAAAACTTTCTATGCTCAGATGTTTGACTCCTAAATATCTGATGAGCATCGAAGAGCATTAAAATTCAAAAGTATGCATACCTAATATATATATATTAAACGGCATTCAAAATCTAATAGTTTCCTAAATAAAGTAATTTTATAACTAAAAATAAAGAAGTTTTAAAAACTAGGTAACGTAAATCTATATAGCTAAATTGTATTCAAGTCAGAATAACTTTATTAGATGGAAACACGTATTATGAACAATATAACACGCATAGTGTGATAAATTTGACAAACTATATTAATATTATTTATTACAATAAATTAATTGAAATGATATCGATATGCGTACAAAAAATTGTAAAGTGAACATATGACAATATTGTACAAATATTATAGGCTGTTATTATTATTAACTTTAGATTTAAATCATAATGTACAGATGTGAATGTGGGTCAAAGAGTTTGTAATAGATTTACAATAGAGCTTAGTAGACAATAGTTCATAAATGAATTTTAACCTTTTATTTAAATTCGTATAAACGTGATGCTACAGGAAATAATGTGTGATCTTTTTCAATAAAGCGACGTGGTTATGTCTGTTCTTGAGAACAAAGAACTCTGAACTCTGTTAAAAACGTTGATAGTTGCAAAAAAATAAGGCGAGGATAAATAAAAAATTGTGTACACAAGTGTTGAATTTTCTAGTGGGTTACTGTTGTTAGTTTAATACTATATTCTAATATTGAAAGGTTTAAGAGGACACCCGCATGCGCTGTTTCCGTTTTACATAAGTATAGGGACGATAGAACACATTTTGCGTTCAACATGAACAACTTGGTGTTTGTTAGTTTTAATACAAGAGCGAATTGTTCTATTAAAAAACTTAAAGGTAAGTTCATTATTAAAGCAACCAAATATGCTTTGTTCGATATTTTAATTTCAAGTGAAATGTAAGTATGTGTACCATTACCATAATTTTAAAATACTTAAGATATAACCTGTAGTTATCATCAACTATAATGTTTGTTAGTACCTATATAATTACAGTCATTTTATTAATGTATAACATTAATTTTCTAAAACCATTATAGTATTTTTGATTTGTTTTCTTAAACGTTTTACATGTAATACATTGAAGCCAACATATTAACCGCGACAGAAAAAGAAAATTTAAGATTTTTCTCGAGAAGATGTAATATTTGTGCATATTTTAGTTTTTTTATTACAATTATGTAAAAATACTGAAAATCAACCACAAAGAGCAACGATTGAGTTAATTTGTCATGGTGAATATGAATCATCATCATATTTTCACGACATGTAGTATTACTTTTTTACTGATCCAAGGAATATATAGGCACTAAGTTTAGATTATCAAGATAATATTTTCAAAATTCATGGAAATCTATTATTCATGTGTATACACATATGTACATGATATTAGTTAAGGTGATCCTTATTTTTTAACTTTAAATTTTTGATTTTTCACCAATCCATATTACGTTTCTTTGCCACAATAAACTAAAATTAGTTAAATTTAAAATTAAGGATTAAACAATTTCCGAATATGGTAATTCTTTGAATTTAATTTAAAACATGCTTAGTGACTTAGTGTGAACATTTATAACATCTTAATTATAGATTTAAATATTGTTTATAAAAAATATTCGCATTTCTCCGAAGTCCATTACTTTACAAGAAAAATAATAAATGTTTAAATTAATGTTTTTGGTGTTACTTAAATATATAGTTATTATGTAGAATGAGCGATATTGAATCGTTTCCCTCATATAAATACGTTTTAGTGTTTCTGATAGATTTGTGTCATATTTTAATAGATATGAAACTTAAATGATTAAGTAAACCATTTCTATAACCATTTTAAATGATTACAACTCATAATATATTGTATACGATATTAGTATGTTATGCAAATCAAACACTTTTGAAAAATATATTCTCCCTTTAAATCGGTGTATTGAAATAGGCGAGGGAAGTTGATAAAAGATGACACGAGAATCACGTTGTATAATATATAAGTTTGGGTCAATCTCACATGATCCGTAGGTGGTATACGTTGCATAGTCGTACGTTCACTCCCAGTAGGTCGATCGAAATAAAATGCTGAGTGGAGTTGCCACGGAGTGATTTTTTTTTTTTATTCTCTGTGCATATTTTGTTTACGATTCTGCTACATTTTATTACTTTATACAAAAAAATTAGACTAAAAAAGAGTTATCATCAACAAAATATAATATGGTATAGGATTATTATATTAACCATCTCTCAGAACGAAAAAACAAAATCTATATGTTCGTAAAAAATTTAATTACATTTTCAAAAATTTCGCTTGATCCACGATAAAAGAAGAAAACAAGTAAAACAATCATCCTGTAACTATATAAATGCGATTGACGGTTTAGTAGCCGGGTAATCTCTAAGAATTTCCGTAGCAGATTCACGTTATCCACACGGATAATTTTTATTTTTTTAGAATGCGCGGGTATCCTTAAGCGTGCGTATATTATATTGTTTTTCACCGTTTGACCAGATATCGAAACGTTATTTAATAATTGTAGTCGCTGATGCGGGGAAACCACGCGTCTGAAATCTCCGTTCGCGGTACAAAATTTCTACGTCTTTAAATACTTAATTTAAATATCGTAATAATATATTTTACGGTTGTAGGTACTTTGATAATATTATTATTGGCGTGGGATCATCAAGAAGAATAGGATTTCGTTTAATTATGGAAAGTATTCTTGATATTTTTCCAGAATATAAATTTTCCGGACCGTCGTTTTTTTCGAACCCCATCACCCAAATAGTAAATTTTCCGAATCAGCCAAAAAGAAAACGGATGGTGTTTTAGTCGGAAAGACGCACGATTTCAGCTATCACTGTGGAGTACGAAATCTTCAATTACATAGACTTCATAATTAGTCGTGGCTTATAATGTGGTCTAGTAAATTGTATTAATAATAATTAATTTACAATGATCGTTGAAATATTAGAGTGCTATTTGGGAAATATACCATTTGGTAAATAAAACATCGGCATTCGGGTAAAATGTACTAATAGTATGCGGAAAAAATAATATTCAGGAAAACGATGAATAGTACTATTCGGGAAATATACTATTTGGAGAAATTGCTGTTCGAAGATTTCGATCAAGAAACTACGGAACTTGTTTCCGATTGTAAAAAACGATCAAACTATTGAAAGCAAGCGTGATTGTGTTATTTTTATTACGCTGTCATCTGTAATAATATAGTTTCATTCGGGCGTCCGTGTAATTTGCATTTGTCTTAGGACCATAAACCCCGTTTATGATATTGGATTACGTTTTGATTTACGATTGAAGTCGGAAATACCGTAATTTACAATATTATAATATTATAATATTATTATTATTACATATAAAACACGGTCTGTATATATACACAGTTCATACCATTACATAGACCGCGCGAAGTTAATTATTCTACTAGAATTAAACGTATAAAGTTATAATATTATTTCAGTGTTCGGTCACATTTTACGTTTTACATCGTAAAACGTCGTCTGAGGAAGAAACGTGTTTAATTTAAATTCGAACTAGTACATCGCGTAAAACATATTTTTAAAAGGTTTCAGTAGTAGTCTGTTGCAGTTATATATTATTGAAGAAAAATTATTAAAAATAATGATATCATTATTATGATACTTTACGTCCAGATTCGATAATGTAAAAAAAAAAAAAAAAGCTAATATTGCTGATAGGTTTCCCATTGCAGTGGTTCGCAGAAAAATAGTAAAGGTAGGATATAATAATATAAAGTAACAACTTAATTTATGTCTATATTCATATTATAATATATATTGAATGTGAACGATAAATCGTTGATAATGAAACAATTATTTTGAGAAAATTACCTAATTAAATTATTTAGTTCATAAAAAAAAATAATATACTTATTGCACAACATATAATATTATAACAAAACAAACAAAAATGATCGTAAATTCAAAATAAAATATATTTACTAAAAAAGTATTTTTTGAAATGAGTTAAAGAATAAATACCTTTTAAAAATGGTTCGTGTCTTTTAAATTCAAAACATGTTTCGCAAATGGTATATGTGTGAGCTTGTTATATGATACTTTGGAAAAAATGAGAATGTCAGCGAACGGAAAAATAAAAATTTACAGCTAAAGTTTGAATGTAAAACTTTTCGCTGGTTCATATAAAATTATAATATTACTTTAACTTAATATGCTAACATTTGAAAAATGTGACTTGAAGAATATTTTCACGTACGAAAAAATCGTATACCTATAGCTTTAACAAAAATATTAATATTATAACTAATAGCCATGAATTATGATGAGACGAAATATTGTTAATGTTTTCAAATTGTGTATATTATGTTTAAATTTATTTATTAATAAGTATACAAATTACATTTTTTATAGGCTGTAATTTGTTTATGGTTTATAATTCAACTTTAAGTAAAATCTGTGGTGCCAACACTGGGTGGCACCAGGGATTGACCTCACCACACTTTGACCATCTTTGTCTTAGGATCAATTATTGATCACAACTCTAAACATAAAAAATTATCTATCGGTCAAAAGAACTAATTATGCTGAAAATTTACGCATTAGTAACGATCTTGGAATCTAAAATATCTCAAAGAAGAACTGTACATCTCATAAGAAGTGCACAGTGTGTACAAAATATATATGTAGATGGCGTGATATTGTATAGTGGAGATATGTATTCAATGGAACTAACAACCATACAGCATTTAGATGATAAGATAACAACATTTGCAGCCTATTTAGTATAGGTGGATTCATATATCTATATCAGAGAGTACAAATTTCTCTCCTCATTTTTGGGCAAATAAAAGTTTTAGCATTCAGCGCAAAACCAATGCATATGAATCTTTTCATAGCAAATTTAATAGCTATTTTCAGTCTCCATATCCTAATGAATTTAAAATTATTTAAATTTTGAAATTAATTCAGACCGAGACTGTAATTTTAATACTAAATTCAAATAAGCCTAAAATACATGCACGATTACAAATTAGAAACAAAATTAATCAAATGTTTTTTATTGACCAATTATATTATTATTTTTAATAAAGTTATACATATTGTATTCAATTTAGTTTAGTATATGAACCACTGCTTTATTTTGTAAAGGAGGCAACTAGTATGAACATTTTTGGGAGGAAACTCGTATATAACCATAGGGTAAGGATGGGAAGTGATTCGTATATTTTGGAAGGCGACTCGTACGCACCGTTCACAATGGTGACGATTAAACTGGTTTTATGGCGAGGTAGTTTTAGCGGAACAGTGACGACGGTGGTATGTTTTACCTATATTACGAGGTATTAATTGTATATTACTGTTATCAGTTTAAATTTGAGCGCTAAAATAATTGTTACTAATTAATATTTAGTCTTTAAACGCATTATAATTTTGGGTTACACACATTTGATTTCGTATTACACACAAAAATAGGCCTTGGTATCACTATAATTACTACGACATTGAGTTCCCGAATGACCTGAATAGAGAGACGTGAATTCGATAATGTATATACTTACTCAACTATATTACGAACGTTCGCTTTTGATATACCTATGCGACAGATATTTTTTTCTCTGCCCGCCCGCTGCATTCAGGTGACGTATATTATTATTATAATAGTATACCGGCGCGAATAATTATTATTATGAGCGCGCGGTCGGAAAACTGCCACGAGAAAAAAGAAAATTATAGTTTCAGTGGTGGCGAAAGACAAATCGAGGGAAAAAAACATTACGTTGATTAAAAACAGTGAACACGATATTATGATTTTTGTGACGTTTTGGCATTTCACTTGTTACGGCCGTCCTGGTACACAATAATATACGTCGTTGTTTCGAATCGATATACGAGAAAATTAGTTCAGGTTTTCGAGTAGTCCAGTAGTTCGAGGTTTCTATATTAATGTAAAAAATGTGAAATTATTTTTTTACGTGAAAGAATAAATTATGATTTTTTTTTTTATAAAAGATACAAAATATATATCTATTTTATGTTAGCGATTTTCACGGATCAATTTTTACTAACAGTATGATATTTTTTACGACACGGTCAATCGCAGTATAAATTCGATACAGGTTCCGAAAAGTTCTCGATTTCATTGCGTTTTAATGTTGTACGAGTATAACGTTACATAATTTGAATGTCGACAAATATACTTAGTAATAATATAATCGAATACAATTGCATGTACAAATTACAACCAAATATTATAGTATAAATAAATTAATAATTAATGTATTATTATTAATTAATATATTTTTTTGTGGGGTGGAGAATGCTTTAATTTTACCGTATAATTATTTAAGTATACCCAGTGATATAAATTTATTTATGTAAACGTTAAAATACGTCATGCATACTTTTTTCTCGGATTTTCCAAATTATAATGAAAACTCTCTGGGAAATTAAAAAATGTCCTTCTCAGTACACCAATTATATTAAAAATTCAACAAAAAAGCTTCTTGGTAGAAAAATTGTTTTAAGGAACAAAAAAAATAAACAATACAAATAAAAATATATCTTCGTTTTTTGTTCTTTTAAAATCGAGACACTCATTATCACGGAAAATATTAACTCTTTCTGGAATTTGTTTTATAGAACATTTAAGAAACAAGAAATTCTAAAATTTTACATCTCTGTTAGTTTTTATGACACTTATTTTTAGGGGTAAAACCACCTACCTACAACCAACTAAATACTTTTGATTTTCATATAAAGACCTGCATTCAAATTCCATAAATAAATGGAATATCAGTTAAAATAAATGTTATAAATAAATTGAAACTTTTGATTTTCGTCAACTTATTGATGGGATATTCTACTTTTAAATTTTGGTAGCAGGAAAGTAGTGGTGAATTATTAAAATGTCGAGCGTCGTATCCTCACACACAGTGTTCCACTACTCTCCCTAGAGCCGAACTTAAAAATGGAATATCTCGTTAACGGAATGTTGGAAAAAAATTCCAAAGAAGTTAATACTTTCTGAGATAATGAGTAGTCCCATTTGAATAAACCATTCTGTACACTAAAAGTAAAAAATCAACAAAAATTAAAAATGAAGTAAAGTAAAATAAAATAAAATGTAAAACTGATAAAAAAAAAAAACCGTAATGTTCAAACGATAAATGTCTATAAAATATTATTTTCTATTGTTTGTTATTAACATACTTAATTCAATATTTAAAATGTATCATCTGTATTATTGTACATCATATTATTCGTCTGTAAACTGTATTGTTTAAACAAATATTATTAATCTTACTTGAGTAGGTTTTAATAACAATTATATAAACTCCATAGGTTTTTGTCAAACATCGTATTATAATAAATATTATATAAATAAAAAATAAAATATTGTAGGTATTTCTATATCATTGGATACAACCAATATACTTACTATAAAAAAAATATCACATTAAATAAAATAAGAAGAGCTGTTAACTATGAAAATACGTGTCATTTGTAATATACACTACAGAGCATATATTATAATTAGTTCCTGACTTTTTCTTCTAAGTTCCGAGTACAGATAGAAATGTAATGGTTATACGTTAATTCTTTTGTATTTAGAACGCAACGAGGGGTCTATTGGTTTTACTATGATGTATGTTTTTGTAATTTTGTATTTTTTTCCTATTCGTGAACAACTTTTCTACCAGAAATCTTCTTGGTCCGATGTATTAAGTGTAGTATCTTTTTTAAAAGAAAATTTTATTTAGTTGATGCAATAGAGATTAGATAGGCTATTTTTTGATTTTTGAAAATAATTGGGAAAAACCGAAAAAAAAAATGATAGATAAAACGCAAATATGTACGGTATGCCGCGGCATTACTGTTTTCATTATTTTTAATTTTTGTAAACTATGTTTTATACCAGAAATACCGCTTCAACAGAAAATCAACAAGTGATCATTGTTATTGCATTTTTAATCTAGGTATTTTTTGATTGTTCAAGCAGTTTTCATAATAATTGGAAAATCCGATAAAACCGTAGGAAAAACTTGAATATTTACGTACATGTATAAAAAAAAATTTCGGTCCAAATCGTTTTTCGTTGGTAATGGTTTATCGTTGCATATAAATATATAAATTAAAATACCCTATATATCCTATATTTCCAATTTTTCACCTATAATAGTAGCTTACTCATCGTGTAAAGTATGCCTGTCTTTTTAATGTTGTTATAATTGTAATTGTTAATGTCTTAATAATATTGTGTAAAGGCTTTTAAATTGTAAAATAAGAAACAATTTTCTGGTTTACTGTATTGTTAAATATACGTGTAAAAAAAAACATAAAAACATTGACGCCCTGGTTTATTTAAAGCGTTTTTAGTGCAGCCATTTATAAACTGTAGCGAAAAGTTCATGTCGTGTAAGGTAAAAATCATAATAATTATGACTAAATTTGACGTAATATAATTTTTTTTTTTGTATTAATAACAGCGCATGTTAATAATAATATTATAATTATAATTTGATAAAATTGAGCGAGTAATTGATTTGTCTTTGTTTTTTGTATTTTTTAAATTCCGAGCTGTATTGATCCAATACAGATAATATGTTATACATGTATATTATATTTTCAATAAGATATTTATCGGGAAAAAACCAATTCCAAAATCTCGATATTTGCTCGTCTGTGTACTTTTTTGGCTTTCAGCAGAACGCCATAAAAAGTGATTTTTATTAATTAAGTTTTTGTCCACAATTTATCCACCGATTTTGATTTTCATATTTAATCTTGTCAACTTTGCTTTCATTATATTTATAACTTTTTCAATGTAGCAGTTTAAAAGTGCACGTGTTAGCTTGTCGGACTCCTATTTTTATTTGTGCGCTAGCATTGATTTTCCTTTTTAATCTAAACGATTTTTGTAAAGATTGTGAATTATTTTTTTGGCATGTTGTTCAGCAACTTAATCTAATCTATTACTCGTAGCGTGAGAAGCATTTTATTCCAGTGTATATTGTCAAAAGCTTGTTTTGATAAACACGTCCTATGTTGTAGTTAGCGAATTGCAACATTGAACATATTTTGTCGAATTCATCGTACGAATAAAACATATTTTCGTCATAAAGCTATTAAAATTACATATTTTGTATTGTTATTTTTTGTTTCAAAAGAATTCTAAAGCTTAAAAGAAAAACGTCACCCTATCAATATAATATATATTGTATACACACGCACACGCGAGTGAAGAGAGTGTATAGAATTGTGTATTGTTCTTAATATACGCGTGGGTTTTTGTTAGTATCGTTCCGTACGTCCAAAAAAAGTTTTCCTAGATCAATCATTCATTACTTATATTATTCTGTCCGACCTATAGTAATCGTCGTGCCCTTTACAACCCCATTCGACCGTCGGTTGATAACCCTACTATCGTGACTGATTACTTGACTTGATTGTTATACACCGCCCTTTTTCGCAAAGTAGATTCATAGAAGAGTATATCGAAAAATAACACGGACGAATATAATAAACATCCGAATATGCACCGGGTGATTCATTTACCGGGTTACGTTTTTTTTTTTTCTTACCTTATAATGTAAGTTTAAATAAACTTTTCGTATACGTTATACAGTATAGTTTAAAGAAATTGTATATAATATTATTTTTTTACGAATAACCAAATTTTTTAACTTTTCAAAACTTTTACTCTATATATTCAAAACTCAACGTTTTAACTTTTAATCTCAACGGAGAATATGTTTTCATAGAAAACAATGCTGTAATGCAGACTCTATAACTATATAATTTATTACCATTAAACGATTATTTTAACATCAAAAGTTTGGATTATTATGGCGGAAATACTATATGCGATGTAAAAATAAGGCATCATTTGTTTCACTTTATCGTATATTATCATTTCCCTTTGTTTTTTTTTTTTTTTTTAGTAAGTATATGACACCATATCAATTTATAAACTTATTTTGTATTTTATTTTTTCCCGTCATTTTCTGAAATAAAATCATTTATAGAGTACGTATACCAGCTATATAATGTTCTGTTATTTTAATATTATAATACGATAATTTTATTGTCTATATTATAATATTATTATTAGGTTTATTATATATTATACATACACACTTGATATACAAAAAAAATAGTATGAAAACATACAAATTAACCAAAAGGAATAATATAGTGTCCCGGGATATAAATGGAATCACCCGGTATATTATCCAATTCTATAATATTATTGATATTGGTTTTTTATTATTCTCAGGGCATAATATCGATATTGTTGTTGAGACAGCAGCTGTCGTCTGTATATACGATTTATACAAACTGTATAATATTTTTTCTACGCCAGAATAAGAGAAACGTATTGTTTTTCTTGTTTGTATAATATATACATTATATATTATATTTGTAATAATATATATCAGGTGTGTATATATGAAGTATAATACATATATACATGTATTTTTTTTCTATTTATTTGTTGAAGTAGTATTGTATAATATACAGATGATCTTACGTGTAATTTAAGCGAAGAAAAAAAAAAAATGTAATAATTGCGTATTAGCGTATAAGTAGTATAACAGCAGCAGATATTACTATGTAGCGCACCATTCCATTTCGATGTTTTTACACCGCTCTACTAACACAGCATCGCCGAAATCTTAATTGGCATAAAAAAAAACCCTAACTTTTGCGGTACTTCGAGGGTAGTAATTATGGGCGGTAGTGACTTTGTGCACGGAAATATTTCAACTACAATAAATTATTAGTGTCCATAAAGTTTCTAGGCACCGACGACGCTGTCTCATTCTTTTGAACTGCGACTCATTATCATTAAGCTATTTTATACATTGTCGTCTTTGCGAATTCTAACATTTACCCGAATAATTACGTTTGAAATATATAGGAAAAAAAAAATTTAATGAGAAATAGGAAAAAAAATAATAACGACGACGAAGTTCAATTCACGAAACAGGAAGGAATCAAAGAAACATTAAAGCAAGAAAGGGAAAAAACTCAATTTTAGAAAACCCTATGTATTTCATTATTTCTATTGTGCAGTACTGTAATAATGAGTATATATTGTTCAGATGAATCGGATTTTTTTTATAAAAACTAAAATTTTTCATACTTTTTTTTTGGATGTTAATATTGAAATTTGACCAGAGAATTTTAATGGATTTTGTTTCATTCCACATCATCTTTAAGCCCAATTAATGTAAAATTTCAGTTAGTACACTAGTAAATAATAATATATACTAAGTTTTAAATCTAAAAAGCCATTTTCAATTATTGCATTGTATTTTTTCTTTAGTTACGCGCTAATTATTGGCGTAGTTTTGGAAAATAAATTATTAAATTGTATACCAAATCTTATATTACATTGTAAAAATCGTTGAACACTACATTATGATCTGGTTGGCCCAACAGATATAACTACCAAATCAACTACTGTGTGTACATCATAATCGTATCATGAATTCTTCGTCTTTTGTAGATTTTATAGTCCATTCAGAGCTTCAATGGGATTTTAGTCTACACACGAACCGAAATGACTAAATTAACCTATTGGGCGGAGCATTTTGTAAGCCTTACCAATATAAGTTACCATTACGTTTAGAGAAATAGAGTAACTTTAAAATCTGATAAATCTATAGGTTTATAACGAAATTGATCTTAACTATGCCATTATTGCTTTAATTTGAATATCGTTAAACTATTCACGTGTGTACCCATTTTACACGGAATTTCCGATAATTAATTAAATGTATAACTATACCTAATCACCGAAATATTATTACATTGTACATAACTTGGTGTAACATGTATATTGTATATATAATATTAGTATTGAATCGTTAAACACTTAGTATAGCGGTATACCTTTTTAGAAAATATGTGTACATCTATAGGTGATATAACTGAGTTTAATTACGGCATAATTTATTTGCTTTTGGATTGATTTTTTTGCGAGAACGTTTGCAAAAATAATAATTCACTAATTATTATTGATTAATGGTGACAGTTAATACAGCCAAAGTGGGTGGAACGGCTATATGAATTCCCGAAAACTACGAGTTTTTTTTTTTACAGCCACCGTGATCGTATTTAATGATTAATATTTTTGGTAACCAAAATGAGTTTTTTTTTCTATGAATTACGTTCTCTGAGCACAGGATTTATTTTTCAAGGCCTGTTGTATTTATCATTGGTTCGTGAAGTATTGTTTAGTACCACGTTAAAACATTTATTCTTATTTTTAAATAAATCACGGTTCTTGTTGTTTATGGCATTAAGAAAATATTTATGAAAAGTTTCTAAAAGTTATTTTAAGTTTTTTTTTTACCTTATTTAAAAAAAAAAAAAAACAATTCCACAAATAAAACTGCATGTGAAACGTGTTTATGTATAATACCTCCTTTATATTATTATAGTCATATGTGGTGCTTCGAGTAAATATTCAAATACCTATATTTTAAATTATTTATAAACTGCTATCTAATATTAATCAGAAATCTACTTTAGAAATCACATTGATCCTTCGCTCTAGACACCGAAAACAAAAAGCAAATTTTAGTTTCCAGTATCTAATTCCATTATCCACAGCTGATTTGTATTGTCAGTTCGATGGTCCCCCATCATAACATTAGGTAATAGACCGATGGTATACAACTTGTATATCTTTAATCGTAAATAAAATAAAGAGAGATGAAAGAGCCGGGACATATAATAATATCATCATGCAACATAGTTCATATAATGTCTAATTTGAATCTTCTCGGTAATCGGTGTATTAGCATTAAGTAGGTTATAATAGTTTAAAGTGTGCATCACTGTAAAATATATAATGGAATATAATAACAATAATAGATACCGTCAAAAAATTAATAAAATATTGTTTTGTTTGTAAAATGAAAATAAAAAAGTAAATATATATTATATAATATATTGTGCAATTAAACGTCTTTTTTACAATAATGAAAATATTTCAAGAGCAATTTCGCTAAGTGGTTGTGATATAACCGACGTCTACTACTTAGGATTCAGTATACTTATTATATTATAATAACCAAATATTATGTACTAGCCACTTTAGTTTAAATGAAAATAACTGGTTCATTTAATTAAACTATATTAATATACAATGTACATTTTTGTTTTAATATAAATAGCATTGTTGACATGAAAAACTTGTTTTTTTCAAGAAACAATTATAAAAAAGAAAAAAGAAACCAAAACAAAATAAAAAAAGATTCGGACATACTTTGCCCGATGGGTGAACCACTGTTGTAGGCGGGTAGTTGGGAAGGTAGGATATAGAGAGGAATTTAATGTGTATCTGAACGCAACGAATAATCTTTGAGCAGTGTTCGGCTGTATATGTTTTAAAAGGCCGTAATATTTACGATTTGAAAATAATACATTTCGTACCTTTTTCCGTTTTTCCTACGTTTATTCCCAATTTATCCAATTTATTATGGAAACCCCTGGAAAAATAAAAAAATGACCTCCTAAATATCACACCAGGAAAATTAACTTTTAGAAAAGCTACATTAGATACTTCAGAGCCAGATTTTCGTGGAATTTTTGTATAAATTATAAAAAAAAAAAAAAAAAAATAAACACCATTGAAAAACCAATACATTCCTCGCTCCGTTCAGAATCTAAAAAAAATTAGCTAATGGTCTAGGCAAAAAAAAAAATTTTAAATTTGTAAAATTATAAAATTCTTTTTTTTTTTTTTTGACAAAAAACCATAATTTAATGAATATTTGAGTATTTTTAAATGTTTTGTCTCATATTGTTTATTATTTTTATCAGTTTTTTTTTTATTTCATAAATGATTTATAGTTTAGGTAACAATGTGTTACTAATTTCCAAACGACTTTCATCTATTTTTTAAAAGTTTTTTCGTCATAACGGAGAAAAAGAATCCATAAAAAAAACAAAATGAAGCTAAAATGTATTCTACAATCTAAGCAACTAACTTTTATAAATTATACAGGCTAGTTAATATGTTATATAGTATAATACCGGAAAATTGTGATTTTTTTTTGCAATTTTATTGTGTTTTCTCAGATTAGACGAAAACGTAAAATGTGCATGCGCATATACATTGTACGCCTTTATAGTCATGATATAATATTATTGATATAATAGTCTAAGGTTGACAATATAGGGTTCGTCGCATCACTGTACGAGTATTTATGTAATGCGTATATTGTATATAATATGATAACACATAAATACATTATATTATGTACAATAATATGTAGGCCTATTGTTTTTGACGTCATCCTCGATTGTACGGTATCACGCTCAGGTTGATAATAATAATAATAATAATTTCGCGACGTTTTCATTAGCGTTTACGAATAATAATATAACGTTGGACGCAGATACATAATTTCTGTATCACATGCATATTATTGTTATGATAATTATTTATTTCCGCGAATTGTGCGCAAAAATAAGTCAGATTAAAAATCAAAGCCTGTCTATTGCGAGCCTTATTTCGTCACTAATTAATACAACTCACTGAAAAATTAATCCTTGAATAAAAAATATTAAAAATACATAAAGTATTCATGAAAACGAATAGTAGAGACGTGTCTCTATCATTTTTCGCTAAATTAAAAAAAAAAAAAAAAAATGAATTGAAATTAAGAGATCGTTAATATTCCATTTCACTAAGATGTTTTGTCAATTATGACGAAAACTTCAAGAAAAATAAAAAATGGACTATTTATCTGTAACTCCCAAATTAGGTAAAATGTCCTATCAGGAATAAGATTTCTGATAAAAAAAATTTAGTAACTGACAGTTATTGAAAAAAAAAAAAAAAATACTAGCTTAGCTCGAAATGTAAAACATATAAAATAAAATATATGCTTTACTTTCTGTAAGCAATCGCACAATAAAACATCCGTTAGTCTTAATTTATTGAAAGCAAATCGATGTCATTATCGTTAAGTGATAATTCATCAAATACCCAAGGTGGTTTTTATCATCTTTGCAAGCAGCGAAACGTAAACAATATTTTAGGAATCGGGATTAAAACATAGTAGGCATATATAAAAGCGATAAAGACTTAAGTCTTTTTACTTCAGGGTGATCGGCATTTCGGTTTATTTTGAATCGTGAACCATAAAGTATTTACCTACTTAAAAATTATTAGCGTTCACGAATATTATGTACAATTCATCAAATATATTGTCAATATAATATTATACAAACTTATATATTTTACACTGATATTATACCTTCAACAGTGTTTTTGAATTAGGGCGAAATAAGCCGAATTATGTCCTGTACCTGGGACTTGGAATGCGAAGTAATATCGAGTTATACACGCTATATTAATTCTATAAGACTATTCAAACCTACAGTTTTCCATTCTTGTATTTTGAAATCGAACAATAAAATTATCCTCGAAAACTTTTACAGTTTATTAAATAACTATATATAAAAGCGAAATTCGAGATAATATCACACATTAAAAAAAAAATCACAATTTTCCTCAGATTAAATTTCAAATGGGTTCAACTTTTTTTTAGTGATTCAAATACTATAATGTTCAATTATAGAGTATAGAGAGTGATTTTTTTTATCACGGACCAGTGGTTATCTCGGAGGATTTTAAATGAATTTAATATTTGTTTTTTTTTATCATTGTGGAATCGTATAGGCTTTAATTTAAAATCAATTTAAATTTGTTACCCCTACTCCCTACCTTATATATCTTAAAAAAGTACATACTTTTGTTTTTCAAATATGAACTTCCATTTTTAAACACAGATTAGAAAATATTTTTAATTTTGTTATACATAACACTTATATCAGATATAACGTTTATGAGTTATAACCATTTAAAGTTTAAACCGGAGAAGTAGAGAAGAGTTGTCAATTTATCATTTTAATATAAATAGGTAATTTATTACCCTTCCTTACTCCTCCAGTCTAAATTTTAAATTGTCATAACTCATGTACGAAAAAACGATTCTGAATAGAGTAGTATTATTCGTGTTTTTTTTGTTCCTTAGCCGATGTAACTCAAAAATCAACATAAATAATAAATATAATCAATATATTTTCATTTATTGTTAGTTTTTCTTAATTATATAGAAAAAAATTTGAAAATCTAGATAATTTGTAATTAAAATATTACTGGGTGAAAAATCCGCATTTTTTAAGGCATGATTCGAACAATTTGAATTTTATTACTATTTATTTTTACTATTTACTATTATTACAATTTTATTACTAATCGAAAAAGTGTTTTCTAGAAAAAAAAAAACCCAAACAGAATGACCTAGAGGGTGAACTGTTGAAGATTTTGGGAAATTTTTCAAATTAGGTATTACCAGGTATTGTAAGTTGTGTATGTATGCTTAATAAATAAAATAGTTTGTCCCTTCACTTGTTGACGCGCATTGGTCGCTAGTTATTGTTTTGGAATCCCAATTTTAATAATAATCGCAGAGAAAATTCGTCGTAAAATATATTAATATGTTACGACGTATTATATAAAGTGGTCGGTATTTTTGGATTGAAATTATTATAAATTTCTGACTCAAAAAATGTCGGAATTTTTTTGAATATTATACTACGTCTAGACAAGTAATATAAGTATTCTCTATAAACAGTGAATTCGATAATAGTTCTATATTCATATTAACATATTTAGACAGATTTTTTTTTCTTTTCAAATCTGTGTCTAAAAGGGGGAGAGATCTTCTTTAAAAATCAAGTGTTTACACATTGAAGTTATATATAAACTAGCTTTACTAAATAATTAATAAAAAATAGCGTTAAAACAACCAAGCGTTTCGCTTAAACAACAATCTCATAATGATTGACAAAACTAAAATGTAATTCACTTAAAATATTCCGAGGAAATCGTTGTTGCGTGATAAATGGATCATTCTATTATAACATATGATGCTCATTTGGAATGCTTTCCAACGCACACATAATATTATAGTATGCACACACAACCAAACTCTCTGTATAAACACACTTAGTATTATATAATACAACTTGACTCAGTCTCATCATTTTCGAACAATCGTATTATAAACCGAAAAATTTTTTATATAAAAAAAAAAACAAAGCAGGTCATTAACCACGTGTTTCGCGCAATTTGATAAATCATGTCTTTTTAACGTAAAAATTGTGCCTTTTATAATATTTTGTTGTATATTATATACTTGGCGTGCACAAACGATGACGACGCGGCGTATCATAATCTTACAACGGAATTCCTCGACATTTCCTAAACTATATACATGTATAATATATATTCTTGCTTCTTAATTATTTCCGGTTGCCATTTTTTCGGGGCGCTATATTATATATTATACTATTCAAAAATGATTTTTCACCGGCTCGTTTGTTTCCTTTTTGTTTTGTTTTTCTCTGTCCCTCGACTACTACGATTCTATTTTTCCCTCGAATACTACAGTAGCCGTAAAGTTAAATTAAATAGGTACACTACTATACGTTTGAGACATCACTATTGTATAAGTATGACTCGTGCACTCCAATGACGCCGTCGTCGGTCGTTCAGCGGTTATTTATGCGCGCACGATAAAATTTAATGACTAAAGAAACGATAATAGTGATATCCACATTGTAAATCACGTACACACGCAAAATATAAAAACAAACGAATAAAAAAATATATGTGGGGAGAGGGGTGAGAACGGAAATGTCGTATATTTTGTATTTCAATAAAATACCGTTCGGAATTGTTTTGAATTGGAGAGAGTTTGGGGTTTACGCTGTCGTCGTCGTCCATCAGAGTGCGTATTTTTTGTTCGTACTTCTTCTATATTTCTGAGAGATGATATTTTGAGCGGCGGGAGATTAGGTACGGACGACGAGGGGAATCCACTCGTTTATGGTGAATAATCGGTAGAAAAATCGTATTTTTCCGCGATGTGCGTGAGTTGTTCGTTATCGGTGTGGGACACGGACACAATACTTTATAAATACATAACAATATAGTAATAATAATCATAAATAATACGCGTGTAAACATAATATTTGTGCACGTTTTGTATACACATATACCTAGGTACGCGCGTAAATAATAGGATACGGACCGCACGGAAAACCTAAGTTATTGCGTCCCAAAGCGTAAAACCGTCACGATAAATCTGTCAGTCTCCGACGCTGCTATTATTTTACGCGTGTATTATTCGTCTCAGCAACGGTGGCGCCACGTAAGTCATGTACGTGATTTAAATGTTCCAAACGGTTTCGAACACCTACTCGATAACGGTATCGTCTGTATTAGTATCGTATCGGTATTGGTATCGTCTACATAAGTCATATAAACTATCGTATTGTTCATGATAAATAAATTTATTGCTTTAAAATTTTAGTTTTAGTTTTTAAAATATAAATTAATTTGTTATACAAATTTTTGACAAAATAATAACTTAGTTAAGGTAAAAATCAATTTTTGAAATTATCCTTTAATTTATAGTTTTGCAAATATTTTTGAAGATACAATGGAAATGGAGTTCAGAACGTCTGAAGTAGAACGTCATGTTTATCATGTCTAGTTTTAGTGTTCATAAACGAGATGCCAAAAAATGATGATAAGAATATAGCGTTCTTTGCTGATCACTCAATATTGTATGCATTTGGTGATAAAAATAGCGTGGAAATAAGGAGATTACAAATGCAAATAGATCTGACACTTTAAATGGTTTAATCAGTCTAAGATTATGACCAATCTGAGGAAAATAAAAGCAATACGTATTACTAAAAAGATTAAATTCGAAAACAAATTCAATAATTAGGAACAGACCGGTGTTTTTGTTAAAAATGGTGAAGTACTTAGGAAAAACTTTTCAAGGAATATTTTTGAAATACTACACAAAGTGAAAAATGCTAAAATTACAAAATTCCTATTGATCAACCGAAACAGTTTGCTCCTTTCTAAGCATGTCCAGGACGACGAACTTAGCCATCAACAACTGGACAAATTTAGAAGCCCTATAGTCTATAACTTTAAGGATGATAACCTGGAGCAAATTGTTTGTCATTAACAGAAACTGCAGCAATGAAATATTTACAGAAAACCTCTGACAATAAACTTTCACAAAACATTAAAAGGGTCAACAGACAAAATCAGAAAAATATCTTAAGGATACGTGATACTCTTTGGAGGAGCTGAACGCGCTCGAAACTGAATAAAAAGAAACAGAGCAAAGCATAATAAGCCAGACTGTCAATGTTTCTCAAATACTCGTTTTTTCAACATCAAATAAACTACACTCGAAGAAAAGAAGAAACGAAGTCACGACGAATAGTCCAGCGACCACGATGAACAGCAGCGGACAGAAAATAACGACCGTTGGACCAGTACCTGCTGGCCGACACCGACAAAATCCCGAAAGCTGTTTACCACCGAATCCGATTAATAATTATTGAATTTCACTCCTCTTATGAAACGCACGTCAATAAAATACACTTCGAAATTATATTTTCATCGACAATCGTATATTTATGTACAAAACTATTATGGTGTTTTATGAGTACGAGGGTAGTTAAAAAAAGTACAATATAAATGCCCGACCGTATGGTATTCGTATCACTCGTTATTTCACCGGATAACGCTGTTAATTAATTGCGCGTGTATCGCGTAAATTATCGCCGTGTTGGTCATAATAACATATAAACGTACTCTATAATTAAATTGTTCCATTATCGGCGGCGGGGTACCGTGTTCAAATTATTACCGGTCCGAACAGTCAATATACTATTATAACAAAGGATAATAATAATAATTATAGCTTCGACACAATTATATATATATATATATAATACACACATACACAGTACGCGCATAATAATATTTTGTATTGTCAAATCGGTTAACCGCACACACAATCGGTTGGTAACGACGCGGGTGGTCAACAATATTTCATGTAAACACGTGCTCCAACAATGTATAATATTTAAAATAATGTTGTACGTATATTTCAAGCAGGCACTAAAAACTTGTGCCCAGCCACTATGCAATATAAATCATTATTCTACAGTTTGACGCCCAAGTATAGTTTTCAGGAAATATATTATTATTAATTATTTACATTTCTGTACGTCCGCCTCGTTCGTAAATAATTATTACATTTTCAGTTATTACTAGAATTATTCGAATCAGAGATAACTAATGCCATTTTAAACGACTCTTCACACGTACGTTTATTTATTTTATAGTAATATTATAATACGCATGGTTTACACGGCACGATTACCGTGTAAATATTCCGTTCCCCGGAACGGAAAAATATAATATAATTTTATATTTTTCATTAAATTCGGTATTCTATTTTGTTTTTTAAATAGAAATATCTGTATATTATAGTCGATTTTTCGACATGAATTCCATTTCACCATACCCCTCTCTCTCAAAAAAAAGAAACAATACAATATTATTAGGCTGATGTAACGAGTTTAAATAATAATAATATTGAAACGATTTTATTTAAAAAAAGAAAAAAAGGAACGCAGATATGGTGAAACATTTACAAAATGTATCGAAACATATTACGTTTGAGTGCGTTGTACAATATATGTTTATAATTATTTACCGACAGAAATTCAATTAGTAAATGATTATTAAACTTCTACTGAGAGCACGATTAACACTAAATGTTCTACTTTTAATACAAATACGAGTTGCAAATCGTAACTTTTGTAATAAACATTGCGTCAAAATTAATTCGATTGAACTTCGTAAAAATACTCGTATTTATTGATGTAAAATTATAAAATATAGTTTTACATTATACTATACATTTTTTATGTATAGAATCGTGGGAGCTAGCTTTAATCCCTTTTTACCAATTCACGATAAAGAATATTTGTTTCAGAAAAATAATATAATTATATATAATATTTTTTAATTATACTCAGAATCATAAATGTAAAATCTTGTTTTTTTTACTAGTTACATTTTTTAGTTATGAATGCATTTCTTCAGATTCGCATACACCTAAATTATTATATTATAAATAGCAAAATTGTACTTATATTTACAAACTAAAATGTTATAATACGCAAACTGTTTTAAACTGTTAAACAGTGCTTGAGAAAAAGTACAATTTTTTGATCAAAAGCAAGTTTAAGGATACGATACGAATAAGTCGAAGATTTTCAAGCGTTGTTTCCTAAAAATATTGTGTTCTCTAAAATAAAAAAAAAAAAAATGGCTGACAGTAGTGAGATGTTATTTTCGGGACTATTATTGTGACGTTGATAATAATCTTGTTTATCGTTGTCATGTTATTGTATTTGTTACAAGCAAAACAAAAAAAAGGTTGGAATACGATAGCCCATTTAATAGATATAGGAAGGTATAAATTAATTAAATATCTACACAACTGTGCATAATTTAATGAATAAGTAAAAAGTAAAAGCCAATCTATCAGTTCAATTTTAAGTAAATCATATATATTACAAATGATCACAGTTGATTACACAGATTACTACTCAAATTATAAAAATTTTTAATGCCATGTCAATTTAGTATCCTATGTTTTTATAAAAACATAGGCATGTTCTAAAATTCTTGGGGGAGAAGGAATATTGTACTGGGAAACTTAGCTTCTTTAAGCCACTCATAACTACGCTTATGTTATTGTAATAATAACAATCTATTTCTAAAAAAAAAAACAGATCAACAATGGTAATTTTGTACGAAATATTATACGTCATGTAGGTGTTGATAGTATAGGTTAGTTTTAATGCATACTATAATAAAACTGAATAACATAAACACAATATTAAACTGATAAATAGTAATAATAATAATATTAAATAAATAAACTGTGATATTTTTATAGCCTCGGAGTGGTCCCTTTTAAGGAAAACATCGTATTAAATTCAATATTTCAATTGGTATTCGGCAAAAAAAATTAAAAAAAAAAATAATAATAATAATAGGATTTAATAATATTTTACGAAAAATTCATCATAAAAAGTATACGCTTAAGTTATTGAATAATATTATTATTCGAAAAATTGTATTATATTATCCTGTACTGCGGATTCTAAACATATAAATACTTACGGTTATTTAATAGAATTACAAGAGATTAAACGAACAAAGAGTAAAAACCTAGCAACCGTGGATTATGAATAAGATTGAAATTGTTTATGGTTCTGACAGAAAGATTAAAGTATAAAAATATGTTTATAAAGAATTAAACAAAAATCTGCATTAAGCTGTTTTCACTTTTTTTTTTTTCAATTTCGTACAACTATAATGTCATATTATACTTTTCGGACGGATTTCACTGTAATGATGCGGAGTTTAACTGACATACGGTTTATTTTTTATAATATTATGATAAGGATACGTTTAGTTTCTTTGAGTAAAAAATAAGCTATAAAATACGATTTATCATTACACCTACTTCAGGCGGTCCAACCAAAAATCAAAGGTTTACGAAAATGCCTTCAGTTCAAAGTTAATAATCTAACGAAGCAAAAGATTAAATTAATTAGTTGAATTAAAATGCGAAACAATATTAACATAATTCAGTTTAAAAAAAATTGATTTTTTCACAATTCAAGATCAACATGTACCTATTCAATGAGTAAGAAAGTATTCGATATTTAGGACGTAATAATTTTACTAAGTATACGAGATTAAACAATTATACATTTTATGCAGTTTAAATCTTCTATTAATATAATATTATAACTAATAATTATGTAGGCAGAAACAACAAACAGCATATTATTATCGTTAATATATTATATTGTTATTATAATAATTTATATAAAATATATTTTAATCATTTTATTTAAAGTATTATCCCGAACAAAATTAAAATATATTTTATATTATAATAATAACGCGATTTCCAAGAGTATTATTCAACGGTGTCCCCCTTATCTTTGTATTATCTATAGTATTGCTATAGAGCCGGGCGCACACCAATGAAGTGAAAAAAAAACTGCCATGCTTTACTGCACTTTCACTGAAATAACCTGACTGCTCCTATTACAATGTTTAGCCGTGCGTCTGGCCTAAATTATGGTTTTGATAAATAGCCAATTAAAATTACATTTTGAATAAAAAAAAAAAAAAAATATCCGATTTAATTCGTCAACTTAACAGGATATTTAAAAAAATGCATTGTAGAAAATTAAGTTTATAAAATACAAACTAGTTAAGTTAATAAGTAAACGATAAAAATATTTTACTGGTTAAGTTCAAAAGTTTTAACCACCTTTTTTTAAAAAAAAAAAAAAAAAAAAACAATATTTTATACAGTAGAGGGTAGAGACTGGTAAACTACTCGTATTATTAAATATTATTGAGTTTTATTATATAATTGTAGTCTAGTATAAGCTATATAATTATCGATCTTGCAAACTTTTAAATCGTAATATTTATCTATTCTCAAGGGTGATCAATCTATCGTAGATCACCCTTAATCTCGGAAAGTAATAACTATTTTCGGAATTAGTTTTTAAAACATTTAAGAAACAAGCAATTTTACATTTACGTTATTTTTAGTCGCCTTTATTTTGGAGGTAAAACCACTACCTACTTTTTATTTTCAAATGGCAATAAATATTAAAAATGCCATACATAGATGGGGTACCTATTAGTTAAAATAAATGTTGGTGTCGATATTTTTGATTTCCATTAATCCATTAACGAGAAATTTCATTTTTAAGTTTGAGTGGAGCATCATTTGTGTAGTGGTACATCTCGCGGTGTTTCAATAATATACCACTACTCTTCTCTTATTCGAAAATAAGGTGGTATACCCCAAAAATAAAGGTAAAAAATATAAATGAAAAATTGTAGAGCTACTTATTTTTAAAAAGTTCTATAAAACAAATTCCGACAAAAGTCAATACTTTCCGTGATAAAATGAGTGTTACAATAGATTGATCACTCTGTATAATAATAATTACGATTAATAACCGAGAATAATACATTGAAACTCAAACCATACAGGGAATTCGGAGTTAATGGTCGCCGTCGTCGTTTATCGTTGATCAACTCACAGCATATATGCGAAAAATTGGCGGTTTCGAAGTAATACGCGATTAGAGTTTTAAAATTGAGTAGTAAAATTCAAAAATAATAATAGTTATAAAAAAAACATCATTGTTAAACCAATAAGTTCCACGGTCCGCTCAGAATCTAAAAATCCTCATACGTATTATATTTTTGACTCTCGCGAGAGTCAAAAAACGAATTATTATTATTATTATTATCGTTTATGCGTCGTCGTCGAGACAGAAATAAAACACTACTCTGGAGTGCAAAGAAACCGGGCCGCCGCGCGCGATTCCGTTATACACTATTATATAAAATGGCTTCTCTACTGCTTTTGTCAAATTACAACGTGTCTCGGATGATGTATCGCAAAGACGACATCGTACGGGAGAGCGAAAAAAAAACAACCCCCGTGAGAAGAAGAAAGAAAAAACCTCCTTAAGATAAACATCGGGTGCGCGAGCAGTTTAAACCGAATTCTCCTTTTTTCCCGTTTTTTTTCCACGCACCTACCCACCCACCGATCCACACACACACATACACGCACACACACACCGATACATTGAAATACGCGCACGCGCACACAGATCAAACGACGGCGTCGTTTATAATATATAATACACGTATAAAATATCATATTTCGACAAACGCGCCGTACCGCCGCCGCCACTTTCCCGTCCGCCGTCGATCACGTCATATCCGATATCGGTTCTCCATACCCGACCGTGGCCCCGGGGACGGGGACGATCGAAAAATGTTCGACTGCACCTGTGTATGTATGCTCGTTGTTATAATATATTATATTTTAGTAGGCGTGTTCGATACTTTTCGACGCCGTCACCGCTAACGGTTCCCCCCAAAAAAACACGCGTCTTCAGTAGCGGTGCGTGAAAGAAATTTACGGGGATACTTAACTTTTGTTTACTTTTACTTGAAATAATAGTAACTATATTCAATGTCGTTTAATCTTAGATTAACTCAGGTTTTTAATTTTTCATTATACGTGAATTATTGAAAATCGTTGCCAATTCGTTTTATGTACAATACTTTAATTCTAAATTTTTAATTTTTAATACAAACCGCGGCAAGTTTATGACGCACTAAACAAATCGTACGCAACGAACACAGAACAACATGCCGTCCGGTGGCAGAGTCTATAGTCTCACGGACTCCATACAATATTATCATCGCTGTGATTCTCCCCCCCCCTCGACTTTTATTTATCACCTATCTATCAGAACATAAACTGTCGGTCGATCGTTTCATTCGTTTCGCGACCGCGTCGTCCGTCATTATCACTAATTCCAAAAATAGCTCAGAACGTACGTGCATTAATTCATACATACACTCATACCACGACGGAGAGGATATTTATGCACACACACAATATATTTATATAAATATTATATTATAGTAAGTATAAGTGATACAAGTAGATTTACACATAGATTACACAAATAATTGAAAATATTTAAAACATTTTCTTTTTTGCCATCTTATACCTAATTTTCAGGGAAACGCCGTATCAAAATTTCCCCTGGCTGTCTTTAATTTCGAGTCGCGACCGTCGGTTAAACCGCATGCGCGTATATTATTGTACGCGTTGTTTATCGGGCCGGTCGCCATAATATAATATAATCAACTTATCAGATATTATGGCATTGACAGCGCGTACAACGATAGTGGCTATTATATTAATATTATTGTTATTGTATGCTTTATGGCACTCGCTATAATATCGCGTTATCGGTTTATTTAATTCAACAATAACGCCGATAACAGCGCAATACGATAGCGCGGAAACGTAAATATTCGCGTCCGGCACCCCGACATCGAAATCGACACCATCGTAAACATATCGACGACGGTAGGAATACTGTTTTTATTTATATACCAACGACGCGAATAATATTATCGCGACAATAATATTATAAAAGGAACGACTAAACAGCACCGTGTGCTGTAAGGTCGAAAACGCGAAATACTTATTTGAATATTCGCTTGCACCGGTGTAGCTGAAATGCCTATACAGCTCGCCGTACAGTTCGTCGATATTCGATAATTTAATCCCTGTTTTATCGCTGCCACCGATTTCCTTTTCACTTTTTTTTCCCTGTCCAAATCGCCTTTCACTCCTTACATACACATATTAGCGATATTTCAGAACTATATTCTATTCGTCGTACGTGGTACGCTACGTACATAGACCTATAAGAAAGCGGACTGATGCCTGTTTATTGTTGTACGACGAAATTGTTAGAAAAAAATAGCGAATTATTAAGAACATCATAGAAGACGGGTGTAAGAGTGAATGATTCGGTTTGTTTCTCGGCTCTATAGTCCTTGAAAAGAGCTCTAATATATTCCCGTCATTGCTCCAATTACTGGCACGCAAAGTCCAATAATGACAAATATATTTAATGTTACCATTTCATTTCCGTGACATCTTTTTTTTCTTTTCTGACGATTATATCAATATTTGCCTGTCTATTTATACTTATGTTAAACCTAAATAACTTTTTATTAATCCATTTCTTTAAGTTTCTATAGCAGTTGCGTGTTTGTTACAGAAATCACATAATAGCTCGTTTATTTCAAACAACTTAAGCTAGAAAAAAAAGAAGTCTGTATAAAAAACTTCAACTTTAGTAGTATAAAAGTGAGCTTTACCGATATTATCTTAGTTTTGTTGTAAAGGAGTAAAGTGTAAATAGTATTGGTATATAATTTGAGTGGTACTACTAACACGTTTTTTCTGAACACCTACGTATAATACATTTACAAGAAAAATACAAAATAAAAATAAAATTTGTCTTAAAAGATATGAGAAAAATACAAGTACACAGTAAATATAATACCAGTAAAAATAATAAATTCAACTATGATATGATATAGAATCGTGTTTATTGTTATGCGTGTATACTGTATATTTTATAGTACACGCATAGTGTATATAATACTATCGTATTGTTTCGATTGTATATTTGTAATATTATATTATCGTATCGTCGAATCACAGCAAGCGAGTATAATTTAGTTTGCTGAACGTTTGTGTTGTTTCAGTTATATTTAATAAAATAATATGATATTCAGTCGTTTCGTATAGTTTTCGGTCAAATGTTTATATAAAATCTAAAGCATGGTCCGTGCGGCCATTTTAAGTATAACGGTTGTGAATTTCGCAACCGTAACGATAAAATAGGCTTTAGAATAGTTTATTTTAAATAAAATAATATTATTATTGTTAATATAAAACGTAGAAATAAAAAGTATAGGTACTTTATATGACTTGAAAGTAGTTGGAAAAAGTAATAATATATAATATACATATTAAAAGCAATATTTATTTATTTCGTTTTTCATTAAAACTGAACTTTAAACAAAAATAATAATAATAATAATAATAATAATAACAATAATGTTATTATTATATTTAAACGCACGTTATTTTTTTTTTATTATTTGATACAATTCTATTGAATTTTTTGGAATTTTATTAAATCGCAAACACACAAAGACGATAAAACAATAATGTGAATTGCATGTTAAAAAAAAAAAAAATCGATAAATTGAGTAAACTATAAATTAAATCACGATTTTAAAACTTGGATATAAAATTACTATTTTTTTTTTTTTTTTTTAACTATACTTGCACAAATGTTTTTTAAACGATATTATTACCATAATATATAATCAGAAAAAATAAAACCCAGGTAAACAATACCGAATAAAGTTAACGGTAAAAGTTTTTAATTGCTTATTTTTTTATTTAATATATAAAACGTATTAAACGTTTAAATTGCAGTAAACTAAGCAGATTAGTGTAGGGTAGATTTTTTTTTTCAACATTAAATTAAACAACAAGTATAACGTGATAATTTGGAGAATAAATCGTTGCTTTTTTCGTTTGTATGAAGTTAACTGTAATATGTCCATCTTGTGCGACTAATTAAAGGAAAAAAAGGAAGGACGTTTTATACAACTTTAACGTATGATTGAAATTGTTAATATAATATTTATCAATTACTACTGCGAGTGAGTATAAACTCAGACATATCTTATAGTTTTTATATAATAATATAGTACACAATCAACGTGACATATACATTATTATTAAACTCAAATAATTATTGGCTCTAATATATTTTCGGATATTAGAAATAATTATCTTAGACTCGTGCCCTGCAGGAAGTAGCGTTGGAATTCACAACCATAATATACCATACGGCCATACATTTTCGATAATCCGTCAGTGCGATAATCTGGCACGTTCAGTAACCCGGCTATTTTTCCGTAATAAAAATTATAAAATTACTATCTAAACGATAAAACTAACTAATTAAGTCCGAATGAACCGATTAGGTAAGTCATTTTTATTATTCAGTTAACGTTGACGTGTTAAGCGTGTCTATTGTGTACTGGTTAGTTGTTGTATTGTATTAGAGTAAACCATTATATATGTATTATTTATATTTATTTTCTATGCGGAACTCCATTAATCCAGCGTTTTCCTTAACTCGGTAGTTCTTTGGTCTGATATCTGCCGGACTACCGAGACTCTATTGTTTACTGTCTGTATATGGTCGTGTGAATATCATATCATCATATACGAGGGCTAATCAAAAAGTATCAAGACTGGTAGTATCATTCGGAAAAGGAGCATCGAAGAGCAGTAGGATTGGTATCACTTGCTTCTATGAATTTTTCTGAGTACATTTGTTTTTATTGCTTATATATAAAATTCTTCGGTTTGATTTCACTGATATTTTTATAAAATATATTATTCGAGTTTGGCGATTTTATAATAAACCCAAAAGAAGAGTAACTTGACAGATTTGGAGATTTTAGAAAATTTGTCTGCATTTTTTTCCAGTTTCAGAGGGATACAACATTTCATGGTTTTTGCCATTAAATGTCAATTGAAAAACTGAAAATGTGCTCTCGAGTGGCAGTAAGTTCCGCTTCTTTTGGATTCATTACGAAATCACCAAACGTGAAAAACAAATTTTAGAAAAATATCGACAAATCAAAACGAAGAAGTTTAAAGAGATTTTATTTGAATACATATGCTCAGTATAAGTCATAGAAGCTAGGTTTACAAATCGTTTTGCTCTTCAACGCTCGATTTCTGAGTAATATTCAGTCTAGTAGTATATCAGTCTCGATACTTTTTGATTAACCCTCACTACATGCTTTAAATTTGGTTTTTACTATCGAGAGAGTGATACTAACTACTTTCGTGATGTGAAAACGTATTGTATTTTTTCATATTACTGTCGTGTCACAGTTTCACAGACATTGTTATGGAAATTCCTTCTGGTATCGTGTCTTTTACTATCACTGTATTGTATCATGGTATGGTCATTGGCTCTGCGATGGTTACGATGGTAACTACCATAGTATGGATCAAATTTAATTAAAAAGACATTTAATTTGTCATTAAACAAAAAACTAATGTTTATTTCTGCGTATGATGCTTTAAAGATATTGACCGTTTTACAGTACCACTAGTAATACAAGAAAAAAAAAGAAAAATAATACAAACCGTATTTGAATATTGTTTGTTGTAACATTTATTTTTAGTAGGTTTATGCATTTAAAAATTAAAATTTGTACGGTTAATATTAAAAATTGTACGGATCTCAAATATTGTCGACCTAACGACCTACTTCAATCACCTACCATAAAAAAAAAGAACCGTTCGATTGAGATAGCACAAACTGATCACTGGGGAGTAATAATAATTGAAGTTGTGTGCGGTTTAAGTATATAAAGTGTATTATAGCCTCGGGAACATTTGTCGTAATTTTCTAACAGCATGTGTTAAACGAAGAGTAATAATAATAATAAAAAAAAATGTTTATGGTTTTTTTTTCAGTTTCAGCGTAAGAAGTTACAATATATTAACATTGCTGACGAGCACGTAAAAAAAATAAAATAATCACTGTTGAGGATAAATAACGATTAATTTTGTTTGGCCCCATCGGTGCGAATCTTGGCGGACACGATCGCATCCGAGCAGAGTTTTGTTGAATCGATACGATTATTATTAGAGTCGTACCTATCTATTCGACGAGCAATTATCAGAAGTTTTTGGGTTAGGTACTTAATGTTTTACTACACGATCGTCCGGATTACCTCTTTTCCGTTCTAGTCGAGAGCGACTTTCCGCTATTGCCGGCCAAACGATTTTGGCGTGGTTATTGTCCGAGTTTTTATTGTCGGTGCGGCAGCAGCGGAAGCGGTTTTACGGTTTTTTTTTTTTATTATAGGTAGATGTACCGTTATCTGCGGTTACTATTTGCGTGTTGTATTTCAAAAACTGTTGAAAACCTTCCACCGTCGAAAAGAACATTACAACAACGTGAAAAGTTAGTTTTCAGAAAAAAACGATGAGAACCGAATACGGAAAATGACGGCGCTGAATTCGTTACCGACCTAATATTTTATGAAAACAGTTTTGTAATAATTTGTTACGACATTACCCTGTGATAATTTTTACGTGATTTGGCATTTCAATTTAGGACTATTTTGATGAAGTTCTAAAGTTAGTTCTTGAAACCGGCAAGTGATAGTGATCAATTGCCTGTGATCAAGATGTTTGCATCTTGTTTTCAATGCAATTTCGTAGGTGTTTTTCATTTTCGTGCCAATATTATTTTCTGATCATTATTGTGAACTGTTGAGTGAAGATAAACTAAGATCCATACTAACGCGATTATTTATTTTTATTGTGTTACCTATTTTTTTTTTTTATAATATTATTTATTTATTATTATTTTGAAACGGTAAAAAAATAACTAAATAATTGTGTAACTATACCAGCAGCTATATAACAGTATTATTGTTAATGCTGTACCTTAAATATATACGAATCTACTTAAACGAATTCGGCGAAACGTTTTTTTTTTTTTTTAGTTCGAATACGACTTTTTATACCACCTACGCATAAATACGTACTGATGACGTTGTAAACATCGTATTTCGACCATAACATCGACAACATGATACTATATAAGCTTCTCGGTCTTTTGCCTACCATCCGGTCACGAATATAATAACATTATGCGCGTAAAACGTATAAATAACGTAACATATATTGTACTCAAATCGAAATTCTAACGGGATACCGCATAGACATAAGATAATAAATAGACCAAGAATGACAGCCGTTTTACATGTCACACACACATATATATATAAAAGCAAACGTATTATGTGTATATTATGTGTTTTTTATTTCATGGCAGATAAAATATTTATGTTTTTTTTAGATTCTTAGGGAAGCCTAAAAACCGTAAAAATTTCAAAATGTGTTCGACTGATATTTTGTATAAGTTTTATTGATTCCTGGAATCACTCCTAAAACATTGGCATTGCATATTACGGTAAATAAAAAAACCTGTTTGGTCTTACTATCTTACAATATAAATAATTAAATTTTCTAAACATGATTTTAACATTGATTTAAACGCTGATAAATCGATAACATCGTTATTATACCCTATTGCACGACATACGTATCTTAATGATTACCGTAAAAAAATTATGTAAAAATACTAGAAATTACGATAGACACGACCGTAAAAAGGAACGACCGAGTGCATTACTCACGGTGAATATACAGATAATTAATACAAAGGTTCGAAACTAATTGCGCTTAAAATGTACGAAGAATCGCTAAAAGCGTCAAAAAAGTTATGAAAAAAGCACTTAAAAAATATTAAAAAAAAAAAACTGTAGAAGGATTTAAAAGTCCCTCTGATGGCTTTAACTTATTAAATAGAATTTTCTAATGCTATATAAATTATTAGCCTAAATTTATTTTTTATACAATACGTAAAGTTGTAATCAAACAAAATAACTTAACTTTTTGTTAATTATTTGTGTCGTGTTAGAAAATTATATTTAATAACTTAAGTGATCAGACAGGCGACCCCTTTAACCATTTTGTCTAATAATATTTGCCTGAAGTGCTTTTTTTCAAGGTTTTTTTGATGTTTTTAAGTGCATTTTTGTGAATTATATGTGCGATAAGTCATAAACTCTAATTAGTAATTATTATATTCACGAGACGAGAGACATTTAACCGATTAATGGAGTGCTATCACTATTGTATTATTACTATACACGTAAGTTACACATTTATAGTCGTTGGTAAAATCGCAAGTGTGCCGTTCGTGTTACGACTTTGCGACAATATTATTAACAGAAATAATAATACATATATTATCTTATATTTACGGATTAGCAGCTGCATAATATAATATAATAGTACGTAGAATACACTAATCCCGTGAACATTTGTCTATTTACCGAAAAAGAACAACTACGCGGTGTATAATATTTTTCGTTTCGACAGATACTTATATATGTACAAAATAATAATAATAAAAATCCACGGGATCCATCCCGAGTGGAAAGAAACATAATAATATTTTAGTATTATAAAATACGTCTCTACATATATATATATATACACGGAGTCTGCATGCGAACGGGCGGCGGCGTAACAGTTTTTTTTTTTTTTTTTAATCGCACGCCGCGCACAACGATATTTTACACAACAAAGTTTGCGTTTGACTATATAATATACTGCAATACGCTGCAGGTATACGGGATAAAATGTAATATATTAAAATAATAGCGAAACGAGAATAATATGGCCGAGGCGGCGGCGGGGCGAACCCGATGAAAATGTTTCGGGGCATCAATCAATACATTATATTATTACTATAAGCGGCGTGTTATTAACAATCACGTCCTGAGTCGGTACGCGGAGGGGGAGGGGGTTTGGAACGATGGACGGGTAGGGGAGGGGAGTGAAAATAGGAAAGGGGGTGGGTCAATCGGATCGCGATCGAGTGACGATTAAAGTGTGTGTATAGTTTTAATTAGAATCCCGTGTATACGTTATATTATTATAAAGTACCCGCGAGAATATTATTATTATTATTTATAGGTGACTAACGAAGCGAGCCGCCGCCGAATACCCGACGGTTGTTGTGTACCTGTTCGGCGGTAATAACAATATCGTTACTATACAGGATTACGGACGACCGGACACGGGTTTTGCGTATTATAGCCGGTCGCGTTGCGAGTAGTCGCGCTCGGTCAAACTCGATATAGTTTCGGTTTCGACGACGGCGGCCTTTAGCGTTTAAGGTCCTGTAACGGCCGCGTAATCGTACCTGTATACCTAAACGGTATTATAACAATTACGATTATGTACGCGGTTATTATTATGTAGCGTTGCGTAACGCGATTTACGACCGCGTTCGCCAAAGGCACGCGTTTCCCTCTCGAATTCCACTCATGTCGCATGCATAATATTGCATAGTAATAACGATAATAATGCCGATTTAAAGATCGTACAGAGCGATTAACACGACACGTTGGGCATCCGCGCGTTATCTCGGAAAGTGTTAATTTTAAATTTTTTTTTTTTTTTTTTGGAAACATTTAAGAAACAAGTGTTACAGTAGTAGTTCTCCCGTTTTCGTTAATTTTCGTCACCATCATTAAATATTACAGGGTAAAACCACTTTTGATTTTCGGATAGCAAATTGTTTTGAAAATTCCATAAATACAATACGAAGTTTTCGTTTTAATAAATGTTTACGTTGAGTGTTTTAATTTTTGTTTTTAATTTTACGAGACATGCCATTTTTAAGTTTCGCAAGGAGGAAAGTAGTGGTAAATCCCATTTGTGTGGCGGGGTACGGTACGAGTAGGCATTTGAATGGTGCTCCATTACTCTTCTCTTATACACAACCGAAAAACATAAAAGTGAAACAAATCGTTAACAATCGAGAATTTCAACACTAAATGTATTTTATCTAAAATTGCATTTATTTAGGGAATTTTCAAAATAGGTTACTATTTGAAAATCAAAAGTGGGTTTCACTCCCAAAAATAGGGGTAACAAAAAATAACGGTTATGTAATATTTTAAAGCTGCATGTTTTTCTTAAATACTCTAAAAAACCAAATTTCGAACAAAATTAATATTTTCTGAGACTAATGAATAACTTATGTTACGTAGTTCACCCTGTAGATATGTGTGTATAGTAATAGCGCGGATTCTTGTCGAATTCCGATTGCGACCATCGTCGCAATCATGCGAACCTACTGTATAATAATTATATAATTATGGTGATCTCACTTGTATGTATCTGCAGGATGGTTGTCAGAGTATTTATATTTTCGACACCCTAGGGCACGGTAACGAAACATTTTGATCCANTTGTATGTATCTGCAGGATGGTTGTCAGAGTATTTACATTTTCGACACCCTAGGGCACGGTAACGAAACATTTTGATCCATTTGGCAAAATAATTACATTTTCTAACCCGATCGCATTGTCTCCAGGGACATTTTTATACGATTTTTTTTTTGAGGGGGAATATATTGGTCCGCTTCATTTCCACGGTTCGCAATGTTCACGGTGACAATTTTATCCGGTTGGGACTTATTGAACTGGTTAGAAAATTAAATTTCTTTACAAAACGGTTTAAAATGTCCCCCCGTAAAATGGCATCAGTATGAAAATTTGATTTAGCGGGGAAAATTTGATCCAATTGATCCGCCGTATCAAAACGACACTTTACCTTAGAGCACTGTTCCTTTGAAGATCTTTTATAAAACAAAAATAAATTTATAATACAATTTCTACATTTTGCATTTTTTACTGTACACCTTAGTTAAAAGGTTATGAGAAACTATTTTAGACCCTGCTGTACGAGTTTAATGGGTTTGCGAGATTTTTTTTGCTCATCGACCGCGAAACACGCCGCCCTATTGCTGAACCACAAAATTGAATTTTTTATAAATTATATTTTTTTAAATGTTTACGCATTATTATAATTTTTTTCCACGATTTGTCCAAAGTTAGCGACCAACATATGGTATAAATAATATAATATTATATTATGTATATATTCCACGGTTCTCGGTTCCGATATCGTCGCTCAGTTATATTATTATTGGCTTTTTACGACGTTAATTGGACACATTTGTAAAACTGTCACTCGTATACGCATACCTATACATGTGCCGTGTATATACACTTATATATATATATATATATATATGTATACGAATGGGTGAAGGAGGGGGCAGAGAACATAAAAAATCTCGACCGTTTAAAATGTGTATCGATCGTCCGAGATTAATATAATATATTATATAGGATTTACAAAAAAAAAAAATTGTTTTCGCTCGAACGTTCTCACCCTCATTATACGGACCGATAACGGATTCAACGGTGTGTCGTCGTCGTCGCGCGTATAATATATTATCATTATTACCACGAAAATTTATTTCCGTCGTTCGGTAATAATATTATTATAAATCCGATTTTGACGTATGCGCCGATCGTATAAAATATGATACATCGAGTCATCGACGCGGCAATGGTAAAGTAACTTTTCTTATAACTACGCGTTACATTTTATCTTACGCGGTACTCAAACACGGTACTCGTCGCGTTGCCGGAAGTTTAAGTATCCTGTCGAAACTGATTTGACGATTTTTATTATTTTCACTGTCGATAACCGCAGCCGCTGTTTCACTTGAACACTTGCAATACAGTGGACATATTTCGGAAGACGTTTTTGAAGGAACGCGTGTGTAAATATTTCACGTTTTTCACCGCCAATGCAGCATTTTAACGTTATGTGTAATCGACAGATGCGAAGCGAGTCATTGACTTAAGATCAGGACACGAGATAATAGGACATATTGTACTATATAATATCGACTGACGACGACGTGAATCAGGAAAAATCTATGCTTAATATGTAGACGTTACTGTAGCCTCGGTACATGATATTTAGTTGACGGATCGACGAATTTGTACATAGTATACTGAATCGATAGATCATACGGTATACCAATGTTTTAATGAATGAATAAGATTTATTAAAGCACAGACTAGAACCCGATGAAACCGATAAATAAAGAAAAATACTGTTACTCTTACTAAATCAGGCAAAAAAGGGATTTATCATTAAAGATTTATATGCGTCTGGGATTCTAAATTCATTCTTGTTTATCCTTAATTTATGTCGTTTAAATTCTATTTCCTTATTTAAAAAGTCCGTGAGTATATTCAAATATATAGAAACTTAGCTATAGAAAGAAAGAGGGGGAAGGATAAAAATATTTTATGCAAATACAATATATACGCGTTCAATCGTCGAATATTTTTTATATTATATATTTTGATTAAATAGTGGTCGTTGCGTGGTTCATCGTTTTTATCGGATTAAAGATAAAATTCCAATCTCCTCTTGGTCTTCTAAGCGGAGTGATATACAATTCAGTATATACTATATTTTGATACGTGCAAAGGAAATAAATATTGCAAACAAGAAAAAAAAAATGTCGTATGGAAAAATTATATATAAGGTAATTTAGTTTAAATTCTGAATGTAACAATAAATCATTCCGATCGAAAAGCGATTTCGCGTGGCGCTTGGTTAAACAGTTCGTTGATATCCTACATTTAAATTGAAGATTTCATTAATTTGTAATTTGACTAGAGGCGATTTTGCGTATAAAACGAGTAACGAAAACGTTTTACCGACAAAACGTGCATTGCTATTTTATCAATTACTTTTGCGTAACAATAATTAATGTAAATGTTGAATACTATTCTTAAATCTAATTAATAAGTATACATTCTGCTGGAATGTATTATTTTACAAATAACAAATGTTAATTAAAAATTATTGAAATTACTTTCACGTTTATTTTATATCAACTAGGTACTATAAATAACTATATTACTTCGAAATGAAATATATTTTCGAGATTTAATAAAGGGTTATTTGGATACATATACAAGGAAAACAGGGACATTCTCCAAACCAGCACATCATTTACCGGATAAACAAAACTAACCCGGTACGAAATGAAGACAAAGTGTTATTGTCGTGAATTGTTGTGGTCGTATATATTTAAAAATATCATGTGCTCTGGTAAAAACGATTGATTTCCATTATGGATTTTGTACGGAAGAGAAGTATAATGACATTCTTAAGCCTGGTGCGTATGATGATAGTTACTACCGCGATTGTAACTATCACGGATACATTGTTTATACGATAATATAATAGTACATCGATAGTTCAGTAAATTTAGTGGGTTTCGAAAAAAACGTCTATAAATAGTGTCCCGTGTCTGTAAAATATAATAATATACGAGTATCACTAGTATTAGTCATGTGATCAAACAATAATAGTAACCAACACCCTCGCAGTTTAATTACAGTGAATTTTTTATTTTTACATATATTTTAACGGGAATTTCCCTTTTTATAATTTAGATACAAAATACATTATATTTACAATTTGATTAATTTCAACAGAAAGAAATAACAACAAAAAAAAACCAAAACAAAACATCAACAATACTTTAAGGAAATAAAAAAAGCGGGTTTATATTAGCATTTAACATAGTAACTACCGATTATCATTCGATAGTGCAAGATTTCTTCTTATATATTTAAAATTTCGGTTATTTCTTGCTTTGTTAAGAATATTTCTATGATACAAAAAAGTGGGAGGAAATTTTACCCTAATGCCGGAGGTTTCCTGTTCACAGGTATAGTTTTTGTTTTTTTTTCCATAGTATTCATTAACATTATATCACTTATTTTTTTAAGACGCCATACCCGCATATTAATTTCTCGTCTTACTCAAGTAACATAACAAAATAACATTACGAAGAACACGTGAATTACTGAAGAATTGTGGTGTTCTAGTTGAAATTCAAGTTTAAACATAAATAATATAATTTAAATAAGAGAACATTTTCATAACCATTGTGTTGTAGTTTTTTTTAAAGAATATTATTGATTAGGAAAGTTACTTAAACAAATTAAAATGTTTCTATAGCTAATGGACGTTCTTATTAGCTGCAGCAATGTAACTAATTTTTCATATCGTTTTACCGGCTGATTTTGAATTCTTTATCATAATAAACAATTGAAATTAAATTCACCAGAAATTTAATATTATTAAAGTATAACTATATATTTTACTAAATGTATTTTATTTTCTGGGGACATACCGCGGTATTTACGCATAAGCAATATTAACCGCCGAATACACGTTTATCTCTATATATATATATTATGCCCAACTATAAAACTTGTCTTTTCCATCTTTCGTTTAATGGCTAATAAATACTATATATTCGTCAATATCAGCTATCCTCGTCCGTATGGTTTTTACGAAATCGACCGGATTATAATACACGGCGGTCAAGTAATATATTCTCGTATTCGGTTCTCCTCGGTTTTTACCCTCATTGTTATTCGTGTGTATAAAATAAAACCTAAATAGCATATGCCCAATCGCTTACTATAGGTACTAAAAATGTTAAATCTATTTTTCCCCTGCAGCTTTTAGATTTCAAGCCAACAATTTTTTTTACAATGATTATTTATTATTATTTTTTTTTACGAAAAGCATCTGTTCAACAATTTTAAAAAAAAAAAAGTGGCAAAATATTATAAACAAATGAAATGATTTATGAACGTTATAAGTTTCAATATAGACGGTTTACCAAAAATATTGGTATTACATACATTATAAACTCAGTGAAAAACTAAAAATAATGTTGTACAAGCCACAATTAACATTTTAACATCTTCACTGCCGAATGCATTTTAAATAATCAATATGATTTATCATGGTTTTTAATTTTTTAATAATTAATATATAATAATTATAAAATACTGGCTTATGTTCTCGTGTCACAATCAGCATTAGTGGCTAACCCTTAATAATAATATGAAGCAAATATCCGCTTTAAATAAATAATTTTTTTTTTTTTTATGAAATTCTTTATAAATGTTACAATGAATTTTCCTCACAGGGAGTACTCTGAGCAGAGTATTAGAGCTTGATGAACCCGCATATCCCTTGTATTACGCCCTCCATTAAGAGGTATTTGTAGGGCTAATCAATATAGGGTAGACAATTTGTTATATTCTATTTGTATATTTGTTTTGCGTAGCCATTAAAAAACCAACATAAGGTAATCAATTTGTTTAATGTTAAGATAAAACAAAATGTGTAATTTTATGTTGCATGTTTATCTTTTTTTTTGAAAATACTTGTCAAAAAATGTTATAAGAACTAATAACCAAAGAAATCAGTATTAACACGAAGCACAGATATCTATATTATTGCGTTTTACATTTTGACTGTCATATACCTGATGATAATTTTTTAATTAGAAATCAGTCGTATAATAACTAATCATAATACTTCAGGCGACGCATTGATCCATTTATTTATTTTATTTTTATATATATATATTTTTTATTTATATATTTATTCAAGAGTATTAACCATTTTAATAATTTGTTTTTACTTTATTATTTCACTATATTATAGATGATATCATTAATATTTATGAATCGTATACTAAAAATTCCAATATTTTATACTTCTTCATTATTCTCGTTTTTATAATATCAATATGTGATATTGTGTAAGTTTATATAGTTAATATCAATGGACGTTAGTTTATGTTTTTTGCTGGTAAACCTCTTAATGTGATAAACTCTTAGATCTCATACTGTCTTATTGGATAATAATAACAGACAAAAAAAAAAAATGTATGGAAAATTATGGATCTTATTATATTCATATATTACCTATTATATTTCATATTGTGTACGTATTTTTTGTCCGATGTACGGACAAATTGCGGCGATGAACCTCTTAAATTTCTTCAGTATGCCAAATAAAGAGAAGAAAAAACTAGATAATAATAATTAAAATAAAGCATGTATTTTAATATATGAGAGTTAATCCGTGTAATACTAAAATAAAAACCGATATTCTAGGGAGTAGTTGAAAAAAAAAAATATTTTTGATTTTTGTATAGGTAATACTTGTGACGAGAATGCAAATTCTACCATTGCGAACCGATATAGTTACATATTATTATAAGTTGTTATTTTAAAAGCGTTTGAAAAAGTTTTGTGGAGTACCTAACAAAACGATATTTGTACAAGTAAAAACTTTAATTTTATGTACTTTACATATTCCACGTAAAAACTGCAATATTATACATGCAGTTTAAACCGTACCATATGTGTAAGTAAATAAAATACTTGGTTAATATTATTTGTTTAAGAGAATTTAAAATACAGCTTAAATTAATTTTGTAATTGTAAAAATTTTCCTTTAACACACATTACAATTAACCACTATTATAGTATTATTAAACATTATTTGAAAAAATAATAAAACATCTGTTTTTCATAGTTATGTATCCATTAAAATTAAACAGGTAAGTATAGTAATTTCGAGTTAGTATTTTTAAAAATTTTAAAAATTCTAGATTCTGACGTAGCGAAAGAACGATTTTTTTTAAGAAGTGTTTTTTTTTGTCGGAAAAAAGTTGTCCAGTTGGTTAAAGTAATACAATTTGTCCACGCTATACTATAAAATATGATTATAGTATAGTATATTTAAGATAGTATTTAATTTGAAATATTTTTCGAAATGTCTAATACTCTTCTGAATAAATTCTAAAACTGATAACAAACAAAAAATATATCGCGGTTTAATTATGTTGATTTCTAGGTTACCTTGGCAATTAGTGAAAAAAAAAATCAAACAAACATTAGTTTATCGAAGTATGGTCAGAATCGTTTTTTATTACAATGATTTATCGTTGTTTTCAGTATATAAATTAAATAACATTGTATATCCTATATGAGCATATGACTGTATATATTATATTATACCTTTCAAACTTCCCACCTATAATAGTGTCCTACCCGTGTTATCCGGGTTTTTTTTATTTATGCCAACATCGCACATATATTTCACAACAATGTATACATTATACATAAACATTTGTTTACATAATATATGAAATATTTAAAAAAGAAAAAAAAGAACGTATATTTTATGAACGTGCGTAGCAAATACTAAAATACCACAAAGAAAAATGTTCAAACGCGCATAATATTATTTTCGTTTCGAAATTCTTTTAAAAGGTATCTATGTAGGTATCTATTTTGGGAGCACGGAGCAAAGTGAATCATCAATTTTCTTTGAACATGAATCTATTGTATACTATTCAGACACGTTTAGCTAGATAATATTTCCCCCGTCAAATTGTCTGATAGATATATGCATATTATAAGTATAATTTATTTAAATATAGAAAAAATCAGTCGATATATTATGTCGGGAACACTATTATTAAAAATGATGTAAGTAAAATAATAAATTTTAGTAAGTATCTACCATAGAAAATTATTTGAACCCGATAGTATTATATCCCTACATGTCCCCCAGGCAGAATAATAAATTAGAATATTGTATTTAATTTGTATTTTTTTTGTAAATTCTAAATTACCGCATTGGCGAAACGATCCTAGCTGAGTAAAATATTTAATTGTGTTTGCAATGTTTTAGTAAAGAAATAAAAACATTAAAAACAAACTACGGAATAGGTTGTTAAGATTCGTGATTAAATAATTTTTTCCCCAAACGGTCTATAGTCAGGCGTAAAAGGTTTTATTCGAACAAATCTAGTAAAATCATTGAATATATAGACCTTCGAGATAATAATGTATACCTTAAAATTTGTAATTGAAAAATTAAATCGTCTGTATGTAATTTTATAACACCGAAATTATGTTTTAATCTCCGTAATGGACATTTTAAATTATCATGGCGTGTCGATCAAAATGTTAAAACTTCTGGTTTTTCTAATGTATTACATCAGTGTTTTTTTTTAGTTTTTTTATAAGTTCACAATGAATACATTTTTTGGTTATAAAATTAAGTAATACAAGTTATCTATTACTATGAATCTATTTTTTTTTTACTTAGTTCAAATATTTATTTTGAACAATTACATACATGCAAATTAGTTTGGGTATTATCATTGTACAATTCGCAGACATTTCAATTAGAATTAATTTTATATAATATAATATAATATATTATAAAATATACACATAATTAATTTTCTACATCAATATATTTTAGCTATAGTATTTGAAAATAATCGTGCCTTAAATAATAAAATGTTTGAATATGAATACCCAAATTTTTAATTAAACGTGTGTTTAAAGTCCAGTAGTATTATAACATTTTATTTAAAATTCTATCTGATAGAAAAATTTACTTTACAATACAGTGAAAATTCTCATTATTATTATATTTTATAATAAAAATTGGTTTATATTTTATTTTAATATATGGTGTTCGCGTATTATACTGAATATCTACTTGGGTACACGAACTTTGCAATACATGTGTACAGAGGTACACGGACTTTAAATACACGTGTACATGTGTATTTTAATAACACCCACCGTTTCCATAAAAACACGTACGTTCGTTTTCTTAAATGCGCGTGAAATATAGACTCCTATACTCCCTAACTCTTATGTTAAAAAATATGAGAAGTTATAAACAAACTTGATTTAATTGTCCTACCTCGGATGTACGCGGTGTCAACAGATGAAATTAGGTACTATGATAAATGCTGTGTGCAGATAATATTGATAGCTTTGATAGGAAAAAATTTGGATCAAATTAGTTATAACCTTGAGAAATGGAGAGTTACACTTAAATGTAAGAGACTCAAGATAATTAGATATAAAACAGAGTATTTAGAGTATGAGTTTACAGAAACAGAATAAGACAGCTATAATAACAATAAGTGGTGACGTAATAGGTGAACTTAAAAGTTTTAACTACCTAGGATATTTTGTATACAAATACAGTAATTTAACGAGGATGTGAAACATAAGATTAAGTGTTGTTATATAAAGTTAATATAATGTGATTTTATGTGACAAAAGAATTCCAATGGGACTAAATAAAGGTAAGTTCTACAAAAGTGTGAGATCAACTATGTTTTATAGTTCGGAGTATTGGATGGTAGATAGAAAAATATAACAGCGAATGAGTGTAGCAGAGATTATAATGTTCAGATGGATAAGTGGATTGACGAGAGAAGATAGGATTGAGAATGATTACATAAGAGGAAGCTTAGGTGTAGCCTCAATAATATTAGGGAAAATAGACTGAGGTGGTTCGGCATATCATGAGTAGAAAGAAATCTGAAGCACTCAAAATTTTAATAAAAATAAGTATAGGAAGAAAATGGAAGGCCCAAAACAAGGTGGTTGGTGCGATTGAAAATGATATAAGGAGAGACGACGTACGCTAAGCGGGGAATCGGGTCAAGTGGAAGTTTAGGATGAGAGTAGTCGATCTCAACTGGGTGAAATGTGAAGGAAAAAAAGAAGATTGCTTATGCTTATTATTATTATTATTATTATTTTTTTATATAAATGTTAATAAGTAGGATTGAAAATCATGCTATCTCAATTGTAGTTGCAATTAATTTACTTGGAGTCTAAAATCGTGTTAATGTTAGTGAAAATTTAGTGCACATGAAGGAGAGAGCTATATCGATCATCCATCTACCTGAGTCTTTTGTTTAAAAATTTTTACTTGAATTATTAAGCTAGAGAAGGAGGATTGTTAGGAAGAGAATGTCCAGTGATGCACGTTTGAACGTCAGAAATATGAATGCATAATATATTAAACAAATTTTCCTCCTTCAAAATTAGTTTTCAGTTAGAACCCTGTCTAAGTATCTATGTACCTATTATACTAGTTTTGGCCCTTTTAAATGTACAGATCCACCACTAATATTTGGTATCGTGTCCGCTATCGGTATAAATTATAAATAATAAGGCATCTTTTTCATCCACATAATATTATATATTATATAATACAATAAATATTGTATAGAATATTGTGGTGCCATTTTGGAGAAAAAGTGATATGGCTCTTGATTTGGGAATTTTGCAATAAAACAGAATATATAATTTTTAACAATTTTTCTCAAATAAATAATGTGTGAATAAATAATGATTTGAAATATTTTATAAATAGCCATAAAAATGTAAAAAAAAAAGTCCCAATATTTTCTTCTTACAGTATTCTAAACCAAGTATTGTGGTTTTCGTTAAAATAATATACCATACATTTACGATATTTATGTAAATCGCGCAATATAATCATCAAAAGTATATACATTTTCTTAGTAAAATCCATACTGCATAAACTTAAAGTAATTTTTTTTTAAATCGTAATCTTGTCAAAAAAAATATTACACATTTCTGATATATCACAATAAATATGTAACATATAATATTAACTCTCTCCATTCCAAAATATATTCATATTTCTCGGTAGTAATACTAAAATTCCATCGCCTATTGTCCTGTAAAAATACCGAATACTTTATAAGAGGAGACATAATATTATAATATTAGTAGGAAGGTATTTTTGAAATGAAAAATATTGTGACTACCTACGATTTAAAAGTATTCAAATACAGTAATACAGTATATCTATTTTAAAATATTTTATAATAACGATACTTTTATTTAACATTTGTCATTTACAAATAAGTGTTATACTTAATGATTAGTATTAGTATAACTCGATTTTTTTTTTTTCAGAATTATAGATATATACACTTCATAAAAGGGGTTGAAGATAGAAATGAGAGAATATCGGTGTTCTATAAGATTGATAGAAGAAAAGAGGCCATTTTTAAGGTGATGGTACAAAAATGTCTATATTATTGTTATAATTTGAATTTATATTTACTTCATAAACATTGCACATTGGACATCTTTCATTAAATTTATAAAAACCAAAATAATATATCTGTAAAATGTATATATCTGTAACAGGTTAGCTATGGAACAAATTAATGATCTTAGGCGGGTTTTTTTTATCTATTTATTTAGATTTACGGCTTTTTATTAAGTAAAAATAATATAAATAAGTAATAATAGTAATTATATTCAGTAATAATTAGATGTGTGCCTTCAGATAGACGTAAAAAAAAAAAAAAACAAAATTATCTATTTAAATCTATTTATGTAAAACAATTTTATTTTCAAGTTTACGTCTAAATAACTAATGAGTAATTAGTCATTAGGTTACTAATAAGTAATGACCTATGCTGTTAATGTTCATTTATGCGATCAATGCAATAAATATACACATATATAAATATGAACATTGAAATCGTAACAAAAATGATTCAGTAGAACACGGGCAAAGTTGGGTTAATAATTCAATTAGTTACTTATATATTATACAAATTTGTAGTATATTTTATAAATGTATATAATTATTATCATTATATTATATTGATTCATTCTTCATATTTACTGATTTTTAAATTGTGTTATCAATAACAAATTACTCAGTTTAATCACAAAAATACTAAAGCTTAATTCTCAGGTAATGAAATAAATGGTCTGTCCATTCTCTTCAATTATTTTAGCATGTCTGATTGAATATATTAATTTTATATCGTAAATGCGAAAATGTCCCTGATATAAGTTAAGAAAAACACAAAACAATTAGTTTATATCATGTTTTATGCAGTGCGTTTGTCGCAGCAAACGAACATCCCGAAAACGCACATTAAAAACAAAATTTCATAAATTCATCAATAGTTGAAATGAAAAAAAAAAAAATGTTTCTTTCAGTTTAATGATAAATAATATATATTTATATATATAATCAATGTTATTATTCTCAAAGAATATCTATAAATCAAGTGCATATACTTAAATATACGCGATCGTACACAAAGCCACGCGAGTTCAAACATATTGTCGACAACTTGTTATTATACAGGGGTAAAACTTTTTTTTTTTTTCAAACATTAGAGATTTACTATAGAAAGTGTATTATATTATATTTTATATTATTACGGTTTCTGGATATTATACTACAATATATTTTTATAGAGTGGATTATTTCGAATACGGATTTTTCGAGTGCTCGTTATATACAATAATATAGTAATAATAACATTGTTGAATGAGGTATTTCAGATTTCACGAAGCACGACTTTCACGTATTATAATATAAGAAACTTGTACGAAAACATACGCAGCGGTCCTCGGAAAAGATTTTTCACAGAGTTTTGTCAAGTCTATAGCGTTATTGCTTTTAGATGTGCAGTCATATACCTGGCGTAAGTATGACGGTTGTAACAATTTGTGTCTTAAGTATTAGTCATGTTATAATGTAATGATTATGTGCGTTTAATATAGTTGCTGTCAAAGTTGTTCTTAAAAATTCGTTCGATTTAGTATAATATAGAGTGATCCATTTAATATGAACCAACGATTTAATTGAACTGTTACTACCGTCCAACGACTCTAGGATCACGTGAGAATATCTACAGTTATAAACTCTAGCGTTCCAACAGCAGGTTAAAACATTATTGTATTTTTAATTTATTGATGTTGTAACCATTCTCAGATTCAAGACTCTAAATCCATCCAAATATCAAGAAGGTAATAACAAAATGATTAAATGAGTACCTCTTTTTCTTCTTTAGAACTCTCTGACTTCCCTACATTATTATAACTCTCACATTACCTTTGTACTAGCTCTTATTTTTTGGTTTATTTTAACAGTTATTCATCTTTTGTGTTATTACACTTTCTATGTGCGTATATTAGTATTTATCATAGACCTTACACTAATTGACTGGCCTTGCCTTTAGAGTAGCTGAAGAGCTGAGGTAGTAACCGGTCAGACATACTACAATGGTGTACAGTATAATCACATCAGTATTATCATTGTGTGTGCAGTACAATGTACAATAATACCACGTAAAAGCCACAAGTCACACGTAAAGATTTATCTATGATCGTTCTTCGTGTGCAAAAGGTTCGTCTATTAGTATAAAGTGTATGGTATTTATAGATAGATATATAGATATAATCTAGTATAGAGTTTCTTATATTATTATTATCGAGACACGTGTCTATCTTGTGTCCTATATTTTCTGGGTTTGCACTTAAAGTTTAGATATGCCATTATTGTGACTAAATTTTTTGTCTGGCTTTTGCTCTGCAGATTATTGGGTCAAAAATCGATGTTTAATAAAGTATCGTATTTCTTTTGTATACCACAATCAATATTTTTGTTACCTAGATATTATTATGGAAGAGGACTTTTAGCAATATTTGCATATTTGTTTTGCATAACAGTAAACAAAGGCCTACTAGAAACAAAATATTTATTTCGTGACGTTACGCGTCAAAGCCGAATAAGTAATTTTATGTTGTTTACTTTATTTTATTTTATTTTTTGAAGAATATTTTTGGTTTTTTGTTGAATTTTAATGATTCTATATTTGTATTTTTTAGTACCACAATAAGGAATAGGTACTTAATGTATCAAAAGTTTTAATAAAAAACTATTAAATTTTAAATTCGTCATTCATCAATTAATTGAATTGCAAATTGTGATTAATCGATAAAAAATAATCTATTTGAAAAAAATTTGGATAATAAGTTTGTATTTATATGGTAATGGTATTAAATTTAATATACTTTGAACTGTTAATAATACATCACTTATTATAAATATCATTTATTCTATTGATATATTATGTTAAAGCAAACTGCTATAAAAAAAAATATTTGATACACATTTTTAGACTTTTTACGACTTGTTCTACGGGAAATGTCTGATATAACTTATTAGTTATTTTACGGAAGAGACGAAAAAAATGAAATCTCAACTATTCTTCGGCCATCTTATAAATAATGTTACGAAGTACATGGGTCGAACATGTGGTATAGGTCGAGCAATCGCCTGACTAAATTGTTGAGGTAGTGGTGGTGGTGGTGGTAGTAGCCACCTTGATGGTTATGTTATAATATTATGCTACGCTTTTTATGGATTTATTATTGTTTCATAAAATAATAATCAATTAGTTCAGTAAGCTTTTTTAGAATATAATGAATTGTCTAGAAGGAACCTTTTTAATGTACCAACTTTTCAGAAAAAGTCCTACAATCTATATACTGGAGTAAGTTTTGTTTTCGATAAGTTATTTACGGGCAGAAAAAACACACATCACAGTAAAACCAATAGATACCTCGCTACGCTTCAAATCTAATATTAATATACTAAATTGTATAATTATTTTTGTTTTGTTTTTATAAAATATTTTACTATTTTATTATAATAATATCATATACATTCCTAAAAAAAGTGAAATTTGGTAGACGCTATTTTAATACCGTCGATAAACTAATTTGTAAAATTGTATTATTAATTATTATTACCAAATTAAAAATTATATACGTTATTAATTTTTAAAATTTCCCGAATATTTTAATACTACTTCGGTGCCACTGATTCTACGGTTATGTACACTGTGTATAATATACTATGTACACATTAAACGGATTGTATAATTTTTTCAATTGACAATATTACTCTTTATCTTTTTTTTTTTCATACTTTCTTCCACGGATGTGTTTTTCATGTGAAATGCCCTTATCAATTCCTGTTCTCAGATATAAGCTTGTTGTTGTTTAAAATTTTCTTGCAATTTATCATTAAAATCTCTCTTCAAATAAATCGATTTAGTGTGCAGATTCACTATAAGCTAAATTTCAAAGGTACTACGTTAATCTTCAAATGAACTCCTAAACTCGACTAGAATAATGAATGAAGGATTGAAATCACACACGAAGTCTTGGACCGATTCTTTGTGAAATTGATTAATTTTACATTCAATACAATTTCAGGTAGTGCTCGATGGAAAGAAAAACATATGTTGAAAACAATTAAGGTACAGACTTTAACTTGTATAAATGTTTCTTATAGTGAACCCCGTGGTGAGGCGCAAATAAGTATTTTATTATTACTTTGTTATATTGAAAGAAATGATAAATCTCTGCATTAAAAAATCGGCAAAAAAACTAAAAATTGTAAATTTAACACCTTACTTAAAATTTAATAAAAAATATCAATTATACTGTAACAGATTTGAAAGAATTTTATTTTTCATTTTGGTTTTTATTGTTACGTAAAATATTAGTTACATCTTATATATTATTCACTATTATATAGAAAACCGATCTTCAGGTTGGTTTTTTTCCTATAATGATTTATTTTTGCTTTAAAATTATTCATATTAATTTACCATTGGTATTATTGCCAAGATTGGCGATGTGAGACTACTGTTAATCATACTCCATATTTTTTTTATTCTGTTCGATTTTTTTTTTTAAATTACAGTTTAATATTTATAAAGCCCGTATCATTCTATAAATTTAATTTATCCAGTTACGATCGCATTTCGTAACAATATGTATGCATAGTATTGGTAAAATGAATAATAAGTATATTAAATCTCTATGTATAGGAATAGGATTGACAGTTCTGTGGGCTGGATTTAGAGTTGGGCAAGGGGAGAAATTATACATAAAATATATAATTATGGTTTCTTTTTCTGTTGTCGGAAACGACAAATGTAAATTTATTGCTATTATATTATATTGTAATCATTAATATTTAAGTTAGGTATTACTTTTATAATGATTGACAAAAATAACAATTTTTAAGAAAAGCAGCGCAATACTTTTCAAATAAGTAAATGTTGTAAGCCAAACACAAAAAAAAAAAAAATAATGATCTTAGGGAGCTCATTTTTTTAGAAACGTAGAAACGTATTGATATCGTACTATATTAAATGTAGTGATTTTCAACCATTGGTAATATTAATTGTATTAATTTCTATTATCTTACGAATGCGTTGCTTTTTTAAATTATGTAGGTACCCCGTAAGCTGGTATATATGGAAACACTTATAAAACGCCACACGTCGTTCCACCACACAAATGGTACTCCACTACTTTCTCCCTGCCTAAACTTAAAAGTAGAATATGTTGTTAAAAGGTCGACGGAAATCAAAATGTTTGAAACCGAAATTTATTTAAAGTAATAATCCGTCTATTTATGGAATGTTCAATATAGCTTCTCATTTGGAAAACTAAAGTTGATATCACCATAGGATATTCCTTAAATGTTGTGAAAAATCTAAGTATTCAAAAATTGCAAAAATTAGAATTTGAATATACGCAAAATTTAACCAAAAAAAAAAAAAAAAAAAATTGGGTGACCCCATTTAGTGAATCATTCCGTATACATAACTATGTTTTGGAAATACTATAAAATACGTGAATGTACGTCACATTGCATGTGACAACATGGCCTCGAATAATTATACAAATATTAGGTTTCATAATTTATTTAGTTTCTACATTTGGTGGGAAGTGGCGGAATAGTTAAAATTCAATACCACGGAATTTCAAAGATTATAGGTTTTGTATTTTCGTTATATTAAGTATAGGTGGGTCTATTTATAAACAGATACTTGATATCGGTTGTATCGGTTTTATTGGCATAGGCTTTTTCTTTTTCAAAACTAATATTTGACCCGACATTTTTAGAGAAAAATGTCTATTATATCTATGGGTTTATGGAAAAAATATTAACAAATCGCGTTTTCAACCAATATATCGATTAATTTCAATAATAACACATGGTTTTCAATATCAAAAATCGAGTAAAGGTTTTATATCAGTAGCATATATTGGAATATCGGATATCGGTAAAAAATGGTATCAGTTTAATCCTAATAATTAGGTCCTCGTGAAACCTAACGCCGGCCCTGAAGACTGTATATTAAAGCGTTTTAAATTCAATTTTAATACTCGGCGAAATAATGCGATTTTATAAATGTCATTATAATAAAAATAATATACTTATTATACTATAAGATTATGATTATATTAAAGAACGCTTTTGTAATATTTTGTGCCGGTACGCTTGCGTTTATCAGATTATTATACCGATCGGCCTCGGATTTTCTGCAGACATCCTCCGTTACTTTAATAAGCATTACACCTGTTCCCACATTATTTCCAGGTGACATCATACATAAAATAAATGCGACGAAAGAATAGACGAAGATAGTTTACAAAATATAATTACACTCGTCTCTTAATATAACTATGATTTTTTTTTTTTTTTTTATGCTATTTAAATGCTTAACCCCTACTCTTTATATCAGAAAAGATGAGTGTACAATTCTGATTTTAAACTGGAAACGCCTCTCTTTTTAACCAATGATTTGAATAGGCAATATTTGTTTTATGAATGGATTATACGCTAATATGATGATGCGTAACACTAATATCGAGTTTACGGTTCGTATGTTATAAAAGTTGAAAATGTAGACCGAAGAAGTTGGAAAGGGTAATAAACTACTATTTTAAAGCAATAAACTAATAACACTCCCCTATTCTTTTGGTCCATTGCTGGTTCGTCATAAATTATTGATCACTCCGTATATTGTTCGACTCTATGGATCGATTCCCGAGTAATTTAATTTTAAATATGTTTACTTAAGTTAGCAAATAATTATTATAATTCAAACAAATGTCATGATTAACACATCTCAAATCACGATGGTCAGATAAATCGATATCAAAAACGCGTTAAAATAAAATATCGTATAATCAATCTAAAAATGTGTATTGTAGTTTTCGATCGATTTTCGTCATGAAAAAATTTTAATACGTTATGCCGGCCATTGCCCACATCGTATGCCATCACCTTTAGTCTATTATTGCTAAAGTCACGTTCACGTATGCACTATATATATATAATTATCTGCGCACTATGGTCATTCGTTGAAATAACGTCCAGTCAAAGCCATTCATTACCGGAGGAGCACGTTTATCTCCAATCGTCACGAAATAAATTATGTACAAAGTTTATGGACAAAACGCGGCACAGTCGTCGGGTGAATTGTCAACATCAGCGCTCGCTTAATAAATTTCATTCGCGCACGGCGTTTATTTTTCAACCGGATTTTTGTTTGTAGTTTTGTTTGTCTTTTATGGATGCCTCCGCCAAGGGTAGTAAACTTGAGCAATAAACGTACAGACCGTAAACAGAACACACACACACACACACAAACACACGCGCTTATATATGTATATAAACGTATTACAAAAAAAAAAAAAAAATCGGGTTCCGACTCAAACCAATATATTTTATTTGATGAAAAAGCCTAAATTTCCGTTTCCTTTTTTCCACTCCTCTTCTCCCACTTGCCCCCCGTAAACCGTATACTTGTATGCTCTTCAAAACGGACCCGAACATTAACGAAAAATAAATAAAACGAAATCACGACATTAATGTGATTTACAAACGAACGAGTTTTGTTCGGGTTTTTTTTCCCGTTTCCGAAACATGAAGTTTTACCTACAATAACAATAACGTACATAAAATATATAATAACACGCAATGCAGTCGCCAATTTATTGACAAAAAATTTCGTTGACACCCGCTCCTTCGCGTCGAAACGTTTAGATTTTATTTGGATTGTTATTGTTTCTGGAGTCGCCCGACGAGGGAAGTGTAGGTAAATAATAAAAATATATATACCCCTGACACAAATAATCACCGTCGTTTAGCGTCTAAGAACGGTAACGACACTCGAGAACGCGAAAACCAAATATTTAAAGGCTCTATCAACGTCTCCGCTATATATATGTATATATGCACTTATAATACTATCGGGCGACACCGACGTTAACGTCAATGTCGACGAATCGCGGCCAAGTTTATTCCATTGTTCTCGTCTAATGGACTTGGACCATTTTGATTTCAAGACGGATGACGTTTTGGGGCCGGGCGCAGGGTAGGTAACTCTATTCGGTATTTTACAGCAAACGAAATCGACAAATTCTTTTTCTACGACCGGGAGTGGAATAATAGTGTTTTTATTTTATTCACGCGACGACGCGCAGATGTCACACCGATTAAATAATATACGCGTACCCGAGACGGCGATATTTTTAAGATTGCCGTTGACTTTAAAAAATAATAATGTTAACTATGTATAGTATATACTCGTGCAAACGGACACGTGTAATTGTTAATATTTTTTTTAACTATCAATCTTATTGTAATCTTAACTCCCTGCTCGTGAAAATATCAAATGTTTCCGAATATATATCAATATCCGTACTATTATTTAATATTATAAACAGAAAATGTTTGTTTGTATGTTTGTAATGGATAAGCTCAAAAACTACGTAGCCGATTTTAAAACTTCTTTCACATACAAAAACTACATTACCAGCGATTAACTTTACTAGGCTGTACTTTATTTTTTTGAAAAAAAATTAGAGATACCTACTAAAATTGCAATAGTTAGGTTTTGAGGATTTTTCGGAACTTATATCTATTTTTTATTTATTTATTTTGATTTATTCTTGGGTTACTTCGGTGACATGGATAATAATTTGGCTGTCACGGATAGTAAAACTATTATTATTATTATTATTATTATTATTATTATCATCATTATTATTATAAACACTCTTATCAAGGAATAGGTCAGCTAGTATAAACTAATATTGTATAATTATAATATAATATTCACATCTATGTACGTTCGGCCGAAAGAAAATGTACAGGTGCGTTCATATATACCTACATGTTAAAGTATAATAATGTTGAGAGAAGTACCTAATATTATAAACGATCCAATTGTTTAGTTATTATTTTTACATCGATTCGAATTTTTTTTTTAGAGATAGTTTATTATATTGTGGCATGTAAAACATTTTTTTTATGGGTTTAAAGTTTAAATGCATATATATATAATAATATATATAAAAAATAAAGAATACGAAAATCGTTTTAAAATGAATTGAGTCTTGAGCGACATTATTTTTAGTAAAATATTGAGAGTCACTATAAAACGATGGCATTCAAAAAATATTCCTGCTCAACTTATATTATATATTGTTTTATCGGTTTAATTTTAAAATACGTAGTTAAAATTGAATTTGTTAAAGAAATAGCAGGTTATACTTTACAGTATCAGGTTTTACTTTTTTTTTGTGTATGATCAAAACAAGAGTCTGTTAGGAAAATCAAAAAGCGGTTACAGAGAAAAAAAAACACATTACACAGTGTCTCCCACCAAGTTCGACGGATTTTTCTAGCGCTGTTAATATTAAATTGTTTTCGATTTTTTTTTAAAATTAAATTCGTATTTTCATTCTGTAACATAAAAAAAAAAAAAAAAAATCGCTTTTTATTTATTAACTTTAGAAAATTTTAAAAATAGCCATTTTTTAAAACATTTACTTAATATAATAACCGATTAATAATTTCTTAGTTACAGCCGTGTTAATTAGGCGTGAAAAAAATTAATACTAAATAAAATAACATGTTATGCCATAAGGTATTACAATCAGCATGATGATTCTTTAGGTTCTATTGAATATTAATTGTTGTCATGCCTAGTTTCTAGAAATTAAAGCGACTTTAATTAAGAAACGAATATGGATGTATGATAAATTACAGTTTTTATTAGAATAATATGTTTATAAGATTGGCTATTTTGAAAATTGTCTAAAGTGAATAAATACATTTATTTTATTTTTTTTTGTTTAGAGGATGAAAATAAAAATTTAAATATTCTCCGAATCGATATCTTCCTTGAAAATAAACCCATTAAAAAAAAATTAAAAAAAAAATTAATATTAACAGCGCTAAAAAAATCCATTGAACATGGTGGGACACACTGAATAGTATGTAAGACTATAATCTAAAAAAGTAAATAATTATCTTTTTTAATGATAACTTAATGAATATCTAAACGTATTTTGTAATATAATTATTATACTGTTAGTTTTTCAGAGTTAGTTTTCCGATAAATTAGGTACAGCTCTCCGATATTTAAATAAACAAACTGAACGTTTCTATAATAATTGCACCATATAGTATAGTAGCGTAACCAAGCAGGTTAGGGATTTGTAGCACTCCCCAAAATTTTAAGAGAGTTAAAAAATTATTTCTATGGTCTATGAAAGTCGCTGCAAAAGTCTTAAACTATAACTAACTTTTTGTTTATAAGTTTTTATCTTAATTTTGTTAGTTTGGTTTAACGTCCATGGTTAGAACTTTACTAGCAATCAATATTTTAGTATGCACTATAGTCCGTAGAGTAATAATATATTTTTTTTTTATTTATTATAACTGCATGTGCTGAAGTTTATCCTTCTGTTGGTTTCACATTTAAACTGCTACATCTGCTATAATATGCACTGTTAGTCATTGTGCATAGTTTGAGACGGTATGAAATATTATTATTTTTATTGTTGATCACATTAATAACAATGGGCTAACGTCATTCAGTGCGTTATAAATACACATTTTTTTAGTCATACAGGAACCAAAACTCAAAATAAAGCCTCGGCATCAGCATGTTTAACTTATGATAGAACCTATCAGTTTTACACTTCTGAGTAGAAAAATGGTTAATCCCCACTCTGTCCAATTAAAAATCCTGACTACGCTACTAAAATGTTGTACAAATAATCTGCAATATTTATTGATTGGAATTTGATACAGATAATTTGATAAAGTAATCGTGTTTCAAAATATCACAGTTTAAAAAAAAAAAAAACTTGTAAAATCGAAAAAACATTAAGCAAATACAAACAAGATTTTTAAAATTACGACACTGCACTAATTTAACACAAATATTATTTAGATAAATTGATCTCCGTTATATAGAATTTACACATTTTTTATTTAAATTCAATTATAATTTTGCAGATTAAACATGAATATTATATTATGTAAAATTAATGAATTTATTTTTGAGCGATTATTGTAATAATCTCCTATATGGGTTAACACATAAAAATCTGAATAATGTTGTTTAACGCATATATATTTAAACGGTTTGTTTAGTTTTTATTAGTTTTTATAAACATATAAATAAGCATCATACGATATTAAGCCTGGTCCACACGATAATATAGTATCGATAGATTATCACGATAGTGAAAACCGGTTTTAAAATTATAGCGATACTATTACAGAAACCCACCTACATTTGATGCGGATATTGCATAGAGTAACATAGAGACATCGTTGAATATCTTGACTTTGACTGTATACAATTTGTGTAAAGAGGTATAATTGATTCTTAAGCGTCCACTATATGTCATAAATATTAATAACAGAGAAGACGATAATCATATTGAACAAATATTTATCCATAATAATAATTGAGTACCTATTTTAATTTGAAAATAATTAACTCTGACTAATCAACTCTGACACCTGTGTACATAAACCTATAATAAATAGTTTAAAAATTAAATTTTTCGATATTTATAATTGATCTGTTATTAGGTACGTTGTTTTTCTTTTTTTTTTTCATTTCAAAAACCTAAACAAATTATAGATTGAAATATTATGGTTTAGTTTTGTTTTATAGTTTTTACAATGCAATAGCAGCGTTCGCCATAATTCAATATTTAGTTACTATCATCCTATTCATACGTCGATACTTCATCATTCACTATCTCGATAGTGAATTCTTTTCACGATATAGAAACTATTACCGTGTCGAACACGTTTTAGTAATAAATACAAATACAAATGAAGATATCATATCATGCGATATTATGCAATTAAAATGTCAGTACGTATTATTACTGTATTCATTAATTTAAAAAAAAAAAAAAACAACAACAGAATGTCTAAGGGTTTATAATAAATTAGTATATTATATGTTGTACTGGTTAACTTTCGCTAATGGGGCGGGAATGCTAACAGTTGCCGGGGAATGTTGACATGCACGACTTAAATTGGCGAATGTCGGAAAGTCACATAAATATTATAATAATATAAATCCAACATTCGCAAATATACTCGTAATACATGTTGGCGTACACGAACTGTGTTTTCACAAAAAACGCACATTACAGTTAAAGTATTTTTATTTTACGTAGCACGTACCGTAAAAAGTATAATATTTATTTCAAAACTCTCGAGGCAATTTGAATCGCACAAAATGCCATTATTTTTGCAAATACACTTGTTTGTACGGTGTATTTCGTTTAACATTCACGTTGTTGTCGTGTAAATCTCTTTTTACAAGTTTTTAAATCAGAATATTTGCGTAGTGTCGCATAATTTTGCGTCGTAATTTGGTTTTAAAAAAAAAAATCATTAATTGATATTACATAACTTTCCTCTTTTAAACATGATGTACATTTTATTTTTAATTCAATACTGATTTATAACACGAATTATTGTTTAGCGGTTTTTGGAGGGTTTTTTTTTATAGGTATTAACAATCTTTGATTGTTTTAGTTTTTATTTAATTGCATATGTATAAAAATGTGTTGACTAAACCGAAATGTTTCAAATTTAATACAAAGTTCATTATAAGTTTAATTGAGTGGTAACAAAAAAAATTGAATGCAATGAATTAGTTTTTTGTATGCATGTTTTAAGTTTATATTTTAAAGAAGATCTTAAAATGTATACGGATTTTTAAAACATGTATAACTGAGCATCACTCAGAATCAAATTTCGTAGGTGATGATTTATCGTTCTGTACTGATATAAAGTAAAAAACTCAATAAAAGTAATTGTAGAGACAGAATACTTCTTTAAATTTTTAACATTTTCAAAATATTCTAAAAAATTTTAAGCTGTTATAGGCATTTATCATTTTCTATTTTTATTTTAGGTTTTATGTTGAGAAATTATTTTGGCCCAGCAAAAATGTTTGTAATTATAACACGATATTCATCATACGTTCCATTTAATGGTTAAACAATGAAAACTTAGAGTAGCGTAGTAGTTGTTTATATTTATGTACATAAACGTGTTTAAAATTAAAAATTTGAATGGAAATAGTAAAAATAACTTCATGTCACGTACTTTTTTTCGGAGTGAATTTAATTTTTCAATTCAGGCATTTTCGTAATTTGTATTTGATGTTAAAAAATAAGAAAAGTTTAGCTTAATGTTTTCGTATTCATTTTTTTTTTCTATAAGCAATTTAAATTTAAAATTTCGACGAATATATAACTACACAAATATTTGACTTAGCATCAGTGAGGCCATCATGTTAGTAAGGTTAGTTTTCTAAAAAAAATATAATTTCAAACTACAGAGGTACTTTTTAATTCGAGCGTGTTAATTTAGGCATTGGATCCACGATAATAACTAAGTTACTGTTCTATTATATGCACGCGTATAACGGCCGTAAATCGAGTGTTCGGACATTCAAGTTATCGGGATATACATTTATATATATATATATAAAGAGGTTAAAACATTTATCAAAACTATAACTATATAGAAGGATAAACCGGGACGAAAATGTTAATTTTCCGCAAACGGCGTTATATCCTTTTGAGAACACGCATATAATTTTATGTCGGGTCGGGTATTTAGCCGGTGACGGTATAAATATACCGGCAGCGTTCGCCAAAATATCCGTCTGTGAACACGATAGGTACGACATATAATATTCTACTTGCAGTGTAGGTATGCAATATATTTAAAATACATTTTCCGCAAGACGTACACACTGAAGATTTTGGCGCGTATTTTGACAATCACTATATGCAGCGTCGACCGTCGGAATTTACAGGCTACAGACTTTCGCGCAGTATCGCATAATATACATCTTTAGAAATACGAGTATAGTATACCAACTAGTATAAAAGGTAATAGAGTTTTTATTATAACCGTTATGCCGAGCAGAAAAGTTGGAACATTAAGGGGACGAAATTTACGGGTACACGTATACGCGTATAATAAGAATAATATTTATAAATCTAATTTAAAAAAATAAATAATAAAAAAATAAAAATAGAAGCTAATAAAGCTGATTGGTTTGTCGCTATTATAGGCGGGATGTTGAAAATTAGTGTATATATAAAGTTATTTTATTTATACCTGTACCTGTACACATTGATATGCCATTTCTGATGAATTATGATTCTGAATTCTTAAACATGTTTAGAAATACAGGGATTTATACGATTTAGGTTTAAATTTAAAGTAAAAATTCTTAAAAAAAAAAAACAGTTTTAAAAATTGGTCACTTTGAAGTTCTAATAATGTATATCGTTTGGAAATATTATTTTTCGAAATTCAAGTCCAATGCACTTTTTCTAAAAAAAAAAAAAATGATCGAAATCAAACCATTCTACAAGGCAGGAGAGTTTACTCGGTAAAGCAACTTTTTCGGCAAAATACAAGCCTTGCGCAGTGTCCTTAAAAGTTGACATTATTATCACCACTTATAGTTCAAAATTTTTATCAAATCCTGAATCTGTCATAGTTTTATAATATATTTTATTATTTCATATTATATTGTAAACCACTTGATTTTTTATCCAATCTGAAAGTGGTATAATAATAAAAAAATATATATTTACGTTGTATTCATGCTATATGTGTTTTTTTTTTTGTCAAATATATGTATATATATATGGAATATAGCGTTGAAAGTTTTTCATTTTCTCTGTTATTTACTATATGATACCACTACTTTTTATTTTGTCGATTTTTTATTTTAATGGTGAAATCCATTTTTCATTTCATATGTTGAAAACAAAAAGTGTACTCTTCTAAAAATATGTGTGTACAGGTACCTACATAATAATATACTGAATATTATAGACAAAACAATTTTTTATATCTTTTAAGTAGGTATAATATTTTGCAGTTTATGTGATATTACTAATAATAATTTTGAATTGCTAGATTTGATCAGTGACACAATTTATTGTGATAATTTATAAGCCTTGCACAATTGTCGGAAAAAGGGAATTGTAACCCTGCAACTTGCAGCAACACCAACGTTCGAAAACAGAAGTAAACTCGTTCAAACTCTTATTCTGTTTACCTGCTCCAATCAGTTAATATTTTAGGAATTTGGTGTAAACCTAAAACCTATAGCCTTAACTGGTTGAAAAAACACGTCAAGTGTAAATAAAAGTTAAAGTCACGTCGATCAGATTACGTTTTAAAATAGAAAAGTTGCTTGATGGGGTGATAATACAGAAGAACCGTAATAAGAAACAATTATGGTATTATGATATTAATGCAGAGAACGGTTAGTAACAATACAATTTAGTGTATTATTATTATTTTTCAGAAAACTCTCGCTTCTTCGAGAAGTGATATATAAAATGAAAGGGGTTATCGTGGGATGCATGATTTTATTTCTAAAATATTGATATATATATATATATATATATGTAAGTATGTGTAGGATCTTAAAAAAAAAAACAGAAATCTAAAGAAACATTATGCAAAATTATTACAAAAATACTTTCAGGTTATATTAACCTACTTTTATTTTTCCGGATACGTCTAATAATCGATATATTTCGCGAGTTATTTTATTTTATGTTTAATAATGTGTTGTTCAAACAAAACCCCTTTTGAAAAAAAATACTTTAATCTCGAATTTATACCAGTCAAATAGCTTGCTTTTTCACGTGGAAAATACGATTTTCTGTACAAACATTATATTTTAGGTCAAGTCAGTGGCGTCCAACCCTATTAATAGGTATAGCAGTCGTTACATCTTAAAAATAAGGGGTGAGTAGATATAATAACATAAAATAATTAAATTGAAATATATATACAAGACACAGATTATATTTTTGTAGGTACCTTAATATTTACTAATATTATCAACTAAAATATGATACAATTATTAAATAATATAATTTTGAGTTAGAGAGGGGGTGAATGGATAGGTAAAATTATGTCTTGTTATACCTGAAAAATATATCTTGGGCGCTACTGTTTCGATTGAAACGGTGAAAAAATATAGCACTGGTTTTCGGGTATCGCCTGTTCCACCGAGTGTTTGTTCTACAATATTCATATTAATTCCGTTGGTATAAACATACGTCATAATAAGGATAATACGCCGTATAATATCTCAAAATTATTCGATTAGAATTGATCGTTAAGATATTTTACTGGATAGTATCTAATCTAATTATTTATTTCACCATAATGTTATAAATTGTATATATTATAATCAAGTCGTAAATTTAAAGTTTAAATAAGTTCATATGAAATCGATATAATACCCCTTTTGTTTAGGTATAATTTTGTCGTATTTATGTCCAATTGTCAATAAACAATAGGTATATCCATCACCCACTTATGTCATGGTAAATGGCAGTTGTTTGAGATTTAAATTAAAATTTAAAAAAAAACTATAACAATAATGTAAAATTTTGTTTACGCAAACTTGACAGTATGAATAATGAAGCTTAGATAAATTTATTTGTGAAATAAACACAAACAATACAATTATTATTATTGCTAATTATCAAAATAAGATTTAACACGAGAACAATGTTTGTATTTAATAATGCTTGGAAAATATCATGGTGAAATGATAAAATGATATGGTTACGTAAGTAGGCATTTTTTTTGTTATTTCAAGTATTAAAATGTTTTTAAATTTTGTATTATATTTTTATCATACAATATTATACGAATTAATAAATTATCAAATTTATATTACATATTGGACCTACAGTATTACCTAGTTAATTGTACAGTAGTTTTATCAAACGTATGGTAATGCATCGTGATAATATTCTATTTTAATCACATCAGTTAAAACTACCAACACTAATAGTATTGATTTAATATGATTTTAAACTTCATCACTATATTACAGTGGAAATGAAATGAGCATGGATCTACGCGTGAATAATAATTTTTCCAAAGAGACACTAATACAGAAATGGCTCTGAACGTTTGATAAATGTAAGTACTATTATCATAATAACAGACGGTATAAATAGTATAACAATTAATGTGTCTCGCTACAGTTGCTATAATATTACTTAAGTATATTAATACCACTTGAATTAAGACAAAGTCTTTACCTTGATTCATGGTTTTAACTGAAATACGCCCTCTACAATAAAACGATGTCTATAAGATTCTCTACTTATACATATATCGGAAACCACGACAATTATTGTACTTTAAAAACCGTTGAGAGTGGGTTTTTTATAGTATTTTTCTTCTCGTCATCGTCGTTTACTTTTTCAATTTTACCGATTTTCAGTTCATCGAACAGAAAACTCGAAAAATTACATCTTGAAAGTAATAGGTAGTATAGGTACCCACCTATCACATCCAAGTTCGATTACGTAAGTTATCAGAGGAAACTTTCTGACCGTGTTTATAGTTCCAAAAGTAATATCTGAGAAAAAGGTAGCAAAAAAGAATATTGAAAAAATCATAAATTCGTCTTCTCTACCCAAATTGACTGTGGGAATTGGTAATTTAAAATCCAGATCTTAAAAAAGGCCAATTTCTAATAAATATATCAAGTTTTTTTCTCGTAACTTGGCTGAAATATATGCATTCCGATATTAGATTACGCATATTTTGTATTTTAAGTCAATGGGGGAGGGATATAATCCTTAACTTCCCCCTACACACACCATGCATGTAAACCTTTACTCAGCTTGGAATCTAAATCTATAAATAATTACTTTTTGACTACGTTAATAATCAAAGACAATACCGACAACACGTGACGATAATTTTCGTGAAACTTAACGATTGTTTAGTTTACGTTTGAAACAAATAATCAAACATGCCTAATTTGAATTCACCTGTTTTCCAACGCATGTATCCCTTAAATTTCATCTGAATAAATCACAATAATAATATTTCTTTTTATTAAACACCTCATATTTATGTCACGTTTACACTTTTTTGCTGTTTGTTCTTATTTGCATTCCTTTCTTTGCGAAACTACTTACATAATAATATGGACCCAGTTTTCTTTATACATTTTCCGAAAATGTCCAAGTATATTACAGTTTTTGATTAGGTACTTTTATTAAACTATCGCTTATAGATTGCAAATCTTAAAAAAAAAATAAAGCAAAATATCTAACGTTTCGTTCTAACTTTTAACATATTGGCGATGAAATCATGTACTCGGGAATTCTTATGCATTAAGAAAAAAAATCATATATATATGTATATCTTAATTTCAATCTTAAAGTCCTTCAAAGTGGATTTAAATAACATTATGTGGGGATAATAATTGAGTAAACTTTTAAAGCTTCCCCTCTTTTAAATTCGTTTACAAACTATTGGAAATACAACGAATACTCCAAATATTCCGTAATATACTTTCAAAGTTTAAAGTAAAAAAAATAACGTAATACCATGACCATATCAAATTGAACGCCTAAACCATGCAATGTTAATAATAATCCGGACTTATGCTTCTCTCTGTTGACTATCACTAAAGCGACACTAAAAAAAAGACAAAAAGAAAAACATCTTACAACATTCTCATATTGGAATATTTTCATTCGAAAAGTACTAACTAATTCTGTTCTTCCTGTATACACCAACTCACTATGCACCCCTTGAATAAAATTAGCATTCCGGTAGAGTAAAAATTACTGCAGTCTTATCGCATCAAATACAATAATATAATAGGTAGCTATGTATAATTTCATTTTAATTATATAACATCATAACTGAACTCACGTAACTGTTAATGTGTTACACAATTACGTAAGTATATATTCAGTACTCTTACGAAATTGTATTACTAAAAAAACTCTTAAAATATAATTAATAACAACGTAGTATGAAAAATGCTCTAAATAATAAGTCGTAATATTATATTATTGCGTATAAAGTCAGCGAATATTTTATTAAGAAAACAAACAAACAAAATTGTACGATTAAAATCATTTTATTTTATTTACAGGGCAATTCTAAATTTTTATTACAGCTATTTTATTAGACAAATATTCAAAATACAGAAAAATGTTTGATACGAACGTTTTAGATTCTGAGTAGAGCGAGGAATGTATTGATTTTACAATGATGTTTAATATTAAAATTATTGTTATATTTTTTGTGTGAAAACTTTTTCTTCCAGAAAGCATACTTTGATTATCAAGTATAGCAACTTTTCTGGAAGGATATGTTCTTTGGGTTGTACTTTAAACAGGTAATTTTTTGAAATTCTGATTTAAGAAACTCTATGATTGAGAGTGATGTAAAGTTAATACCAATTATACAGTTATAACTGAATCATGGAATCGGCGCTGCGCCACGTATAGTGACATCATTAATTATTAATTATCGGATTGCAATCAAAATGAAATTTCTAAAAAAATTAATTTTAAATTGCACTCAATCATAGAGTTTTGAATAAATTAGTGTTATTCAATGATTAAACAAATATCTTCACATAATGTTTGCAAAAAAATAAAGATTCCATTTAATTTTTAAAAGATAACCCCCAAATCCCCCTAAAAATTAAAAAACGAAATAAACATCAAATGACTGTCGTATTATACATAGTTTTTTATTTAGATTATGTATTAGATAGAATGGCCGTAACATAAATTTTGGATTTCACAGTTAAAATATAAATGTTTTTTTTTTTAAATCGAACACATTAAAAATAATAAGGTGTAGAATTTTTGAATATTCTTTTAGCTAACTTAAGTTATATTTGATTCGAGGAATCATCAAACAATTTTTATTTATCATTATGTAGGTATGCATGTATGTATTATAATTATAACATATTAATCATCAATTTTTTCGATTCAGTTTTTTAAAATAAATTTGTAGGTATCGTAGTTAGTCACGTTCGTACCTGTAGTACGAACTACAAACAGTATAATTAATAACTTGATTAATTCAACTATACACATGTAATTAAAGTCGGTCACATATTTTATTAAGTCAATAGCTTTTATCATCATAGTATTACATCTAAAAATATGATATATCCCAAAAAAAACAAATCTCACAGGTAAATTACTTTTTATGTAAAAAAAAAAAAAATGGCTTACTTTTCAACATATTCCAGACATTTTTGATTTATTTATGGGCATTTGATATTTTCGATATTTTAGTTTTTATTTGGTTGTATGTGGATGCAATCGTTATGGCACAGCAGAAATACTAGACAATTTTACATAAAGTCCATCACCATTTGTACTTAGTGGAAATTGTGTTCAGTGTGATGAAGTTTCAATTTTTAATGAGAGTGCATTTTGATAAAAATGCAAATATATGTACGATCCCGTATATTCTATTTGATATAAATAGTAGAAGTACATTAACATTTAAAGTTTTTTGTAATCTAAAAAATTTACTTTCTGGATTTACAGTTCCAGACTTGTACATTCCAGTTTTTGATGTGCTCCCTTATTTATGCGCACAATTAAAAAACTAAAATAGAGTAAATCCGCCCAACGTTTCCCATCAAACCCGCCGATCAAAGTTTTTAAAAACTTGAATTTATTGAAAATTAAATTTTCAAACGAAATATATATCCTATAATTATTCATTAGAAATATTTCACCACGTTGCTTAACATCATTATAATTATGCAGGCAGATATATACGAAAAACAAATTCAATATTTTTCCCGAGCACTTATTCAGGTGACGAATAATAACTCGATCGGTTTGTTCAGTGGCCGAGAGAAAAAAAAGAAGATTAAATTATGTGGAAAACTGTAAATAAAACCGAGCAGCCATCCGGGGCCCTTGTCCCCGGACTCAATAATTTATAAAGTCAATCCATTCAACTGAAATGTGATCGGTTCGAAAAAAAAAAGCTTTGTTGAGGTCACAAATGACAAATTTCTTTTTCAAACAATATTGGATGCGGTAAAGGGGCCTTACATAATATAAAATAGGGGTAAAATATTTTATTTCAATATAATATACATTATATATGTATATTTTATTATGTACCCTAACGTCTGTCGGTCGGACAGTAGTGCATCAAAAAAAAAAAAAAAAATGTTTAGGGTTATTTTTTTATGCGCGTACGAGCGATATACGTATATATTATATATACGTGTACACGATTTAATATTATAATAGGTCCTCTTTAATTGCATTTTATGTCGACTATTTGCATAATATACTATATACTCACGTAGTTGACCCGCGAAGTTTTAGCGCGCACGGGTGTTTATATATATATTATTATTATAATGCCAACTACCTAAGTTGAATAATTGTTGGGAATTATATGGGACATTTTTAAAAATTAAATTAAATTAAAAAAAATTTCGAAAGATAAAAACAGTTAATACGCATAATACACGGTCCGATTATAGTTGCGATGTGTGCGCGTCGAACATATTTGGAATTTATTTCGATTCCTATACACACTGCAGTAAATATATATACAATAATATACTGAGTAGGTACCGGCCAGAGAAGATTAATTTCATCCCGAGAATAAAACTACGCCATACATTCCCTTTCCATATATTATTAACATGTAAATGCGCGTTCGACCCTTTCGATTAATCGTATTTTCGTTCATTTAAATGTGCCTATTTTATAAATTCAAATTAATTTCACCCACGAGTCGAGTATTTGTCATTTTTTAGATTCTGGGCGTATAACGAACGTATTATTAAACTATTCGTTTTACTAAAAGACGAATGTTGTTTTGCCAACCAGGAAAAAAACATTTTCGGTTATTAAAAATGCTCGGATTTATTCGCGTAGTACTTTATGAGAAGTGGACTTTCCGTTCAATAGCACTTGAATTATTTTATTGAAATCCCCTATAGTTTACCCGGATAGATTCTGTTTTTGGTATTTCTCTACGGAAAGCATTATTTCGGTTTAGATTTAAAAAAAAATAAGAAAACTGATAACAAATGGCAAAACATAAATTGTGAATGATTAATCCCACTCATAGTCGTATTTTGGACATTTCTAGATGCTCCCGCACCAAATGAGCTTAAACTTGGGAATAAGTACTGATTTTGATGATCGTCATTGGAATCATATGAACATTTTTGATTTAGAAATCAGTGTTTCGAATCGTTAAAGTTCGGTCGGTGTTCTATTAAAATGAGTATACCTACTATTGTGTATAGCGATAAAACAAATAAAGGTTTTTTTTTGTTTTTTATCGTAATGATATTATCCGACGCTCCGAGTACACCGCACGGACGCATTTATGCACCGACTCAATGAACCGCGACATTGGTAGATATACGCACATACTATATAATAATATTATTATGATGCTTAATAATATATTCTTCCCGACAAAATAAAAAAAAATTAAATACATCTATTGCGTTTTTTTTATCTTGTGTGACCGCGATATCGTGTTTGCATGTCTCGAGTTTAAGAACGCGTATAGGTGACTGCAGCGGGGGCAACAAAAAGTGGTCCACATCTGGGTGGATTCCCAAGTTAAGCGCGTGACTTGTGTACTTACGTATACGTAACACACCGCACCGCGACCGCGTACGCCATAAATTATTAACTTCTTGTGTCTTCCGATTGGACTTGGAAGACGCGAAACGTTGGGGAGGAAAAAAATCCGATGTAACAAAGTCTGTATATAGTGTACAAACATCGTTAACGCAGTTTATATTGATTAAGAAAGAGAGACATTGGCCGTCTCGTACCGCGGTCTGCAGCCAATGGCGCAGTGCGTGTGGCCATAATATTATACTGGTAATTGGAACATCTTTCAAATACCATATTATTCCAATCTAATAATATTATGGTAATGGGAAAATTTGCTTGCGGATCGAACGACATTTCAAGTAATAAATCTTAATAATTGTTAAGACTATCAGTTTAGAACATTAATTTAGCATGTGCGGGTAATGATTAGTGATCAAGATTATTGATAAAAACATAATTTTGTTTATTAAAAAAAAAAAAATAGATTTTCCCTTTCTTATATTTCCGAAAAATTAAAAAAATTGTAAAAACTGTTTTTTTTTTTTTGACTTTGAAAGAATCGATGGTATCGGTTTTACTATGATGTCATATTTTTGCTTATAATTGTAAACAATTGTTCAGAAATCTTGCTCCGATCAAATACTTTATACGATTTTTTTGTAAAATTGTCAATCCACATTGAGGTGTTTATTTTTTTATGTTTCATGTAGCTTTCACAACAAATGGGAAAATGTGACAATTGTTGGTATATTTTTAACATTGCTCAGAATCGTTAATCCTTTGAAAATGATTTATCGTTGCATACAGATATAAATTAAATAACTATCTATGCATCCTCCTTCCAGTTTCCCAGTTAAAACAGTGGCACATATCGGCACTGTTGCATTTGGTAACTTTAAAAAATAATCGTTTTCGGACTAAAGGATTTTCTTGGAAAACCTAATGTATTTACGTGTAAAACCGGCCTCTTAAAATCGATTCCAAGTTACCAAATGGATAAATAAACTATTATCGGCTGCCGTAAATTAATTCAATATTTTACCAGACCACTTGTTTTGTTCGGACCGGATTTAGGATAGCGGGTAGTTTTTGGGCTCTCGTTCCGGGCATGACCTCTATAAAGTACCATATGTGTTCAATTACCTATAGGTATATATCGATAAAACCGAAGCGAGAAACTTTTCGGCCGTTTTCTGAAATAAAAACAAACTAACAAACCGTATCAATCACGATCTACACGCACTATTTATTAAATAAAATAACAATAATCCTTTCATATTACGTGCTGAATTTCAGTCTCGATATTAATTAACGTATCGTGTTGTTATTTTGTTTTAGATTCTGAGCAAGTGTACAGTTACGGATGCATATGCGTGTGTGTGTGGTTTTTTTGACCTAATTTCGGTCGGCTATTTTGACACACTTTTTTTGTGAATACTAATTTTGGGATGATTTTTTGATATTGTATTTGGGGAACTAATAAAGTTGTATGAAGGATAAAAATGTTTGATATAGTGTTTCCTAGTTTCGATTCGTAGATTTGAATTTAAAAAAATTATGTATCTTAACTTCTCAATTTTTCACCTATGACGCACACCCGTCAGCAGTTATAGTTTTTTATTATTATTATTATTTACCAAGAAAATTTAAAATCCAAATTTGATATTAAGGTGATAAACTTTTAATAAACATTTGCATATGAATTCATATAGAATAGATAAGTATACATGTAGGTACAACTAAAATATTGTCAATTCATTATTACCGGTTTTTTTTTTTTTTTGTTTCTATACCGTAGGTGAACTGATACAAAGCAATGTCATAAAAGTTCCAAGTTGCTTATCTACAGGGATAATATATCTATACGGTGATTTAAAAAAATATACATTATAGATACTCGTGAATTTTTAAAAATCACTATTTTTTAACATGTTTTAGATTTATGAACATTTATGAAACGATTTATTAGCTACAATGATTGAAAGTTGTTATGGGTAGGTACCTACTGAACGTAAAGCGTGTGGTAAAAAATAAAAATGAACGCATGAGGAAAATATTTCTCGTTTATCACCCGACTCGCTTCCATATCATAAATCAATTTCGAAAATAAATTTAAATTTAAAGCGGAAACGATATTTTGATACTACACCCACCTACCCGGCGAATAAAATATATCGCCGAAAGAATTAAATTTAATTATGTGTGGAAGTTGAAATAAATTTTTAACGAAAATATTATTTGGCTCATGGGAATTAATTTAGGGTTAAATCTCGATCAAAGAATAACACTGCAGTGGTGAAAAACATTTCCCTCGGATAAATGATGGTTACCTATTCTGGATTTACACCCAGTATAGTTATTATATAGTATTATCGTATCCGATTAAAAGGTTGTAAATATCGTTTCTGAAAGCTATTTTTTAGCTATTATTATTATAATCTCGTGAATCTTTCAGTTTTCGTTGTATAAATTTCCCGGGCAACGAACTGTGAAATTCGAAAAACGCTGGAAAGTAGGTGCCATCTGTGAGCAATTATTAATTATCTTTAAAGTTATAGCTGTGTAAAGTTTTTGATCTGGTTCACAAAAAAAAAGAAAAAAATGTTATTTTATATAATATTTATATATATATTTGTTAATTTATAGAATGCCTATGTCTCGTTTTGAATCCACCTCATCTATTTTTTGTCCATAGTATTGTTACAATTGAAATATGAAAATAATTCACGACGAAAAGACCTTAGTAAAGAGGTGAAACTTTTTTGAATATTTAAATCAACAATGAAATTACTGAACTCAAAAAACAAAGATTCTACTGCGGCACTGATTTTGTGAATCATTTTCAAATAAATAACATAGTTTTTTTTTTTTATGTCAGTGAGCAGTAAAAAATCTAGCTCCATTGTATTAAGTATAGCACCTTTTCTAATAGAAAATATTATCTAATTGGTACAATGACGAAAGTTTTTTTTTTTTTTTTATTTTAGAAGTTTTTTTTATAAGAGTTTGTATCAAATTTTGATGAAAATTGTAAATATTATGGCCTTTCAAACATGTTTATAACCGGACTTCACGCCAAATCGTTTTTCGTTAGCAATAGTTTATCGCTGATTACAAATATAAATTAAATAAATTTTATTTCCTACCTTCCCAACTTCCCACCTACTACAGTTTCATATCCATCAGTATTTTCAGTTCTTTTTTATTTTTTAAAGCTCGTGTGTTACATTTAACCGTTTGTATCCACTATATTTTTGTAGTAATTTTGAAAGCTTAAAGAAACGACTAGCATTTTGAAAATCTACTAAATTTCCTCTGTATGCTGTGTAATATCACGTGTGTCCAATTAACTGTATTAATAGAAATGTTGAATAAACTTTTTGTGTATTTTCAATTTATTTGTAAAGGAAAAAAAAACATGTATCATTTCGAAACTATAATACAATTTCTCACTATATTAAGTATATAAAATGTTCGGAAGGTTTAAAATTTAAAATTAGACAAAAAAAAAATATAATAGTATGTATCATTTTTCTTTACATGGTTTAATTGGTGATTTTTATAAATAGAAATCAAACTTAACTTGTTAGAGTGTTTCGAAGATGATTTATCGATTAGTTATAAGTACGAGGAATATTTTACTACCTATACTGACGTTTAAAATTATTTATAATTATACGAATAAATCATTTTACTTAAAACTACTGTTGTTCAGTACTTATTTATTGTAGATATCTTTTAAACCGAATAAATTATTTTTAAATAATAAAAAAATATATTTAATAATATAAATAAATTTAGTTGTATACGATACAATTGATGATTACTTACTATTTTCTACGGAATAATTTGTTGCTCTTGGACCTAAAACAAAATATTTGTATTTATTAGTATCGTATTAAATGTTAGTATAGTAACAAAGTGTAATATATTTTGATGTATTGTAAACCTTGAATTGCAGTATATGTATTGGAAATGCGTTTTTGTATAGTCTTAGTTTCTATACAAACACTTTCTATGTACCTAGGTTAGTTTTTTTTTTTTTAGATAATAATAATTTTTAGGTATAACGAAATTCTTGAATATCGATTGCTGGTAAATATTAACTACTTTACCGATTTGTAGACAGTTTTAGTGTAGCAAATATTTTATATGTTTGTGAAAGTATTTTTAATGTAGATGAAAACAATTGAATGTATAATATTATTATCCGTTAGGTATACGATTCTGCGTTAAGTTAAATATTATTAATTCGATGTTGTTTGAGTATTTATTTTTACTTTGATAATTTGATTAATATTAACTTGATGGTAAGCTATATCAATTTCGCGAACTTAAAAGTTTCGAGTGTTTTGTTGAGTTAGGAAAACAAACGGGAGTGTAGTAGATACTTCCGAGTGGTAACATGAATTTTAAACAATAATAAGAGGTGCCATTCCGTAATTGAGTTAAATTTAAGAAATTAAGGGCTCTACCTGAAACTCATTACCAAGAACAGTAACTTGAGTTGCCCTAAGGCACACCCCAATACGGGAGTAAGTTCAATTCGTTTTGTTAAAAAGTACAATATCATGTAATTTATAAACATTACACGTGTTCTTGCATTAATGCTATTCTTGTTTTCTGACACCTTTTAATTATACTGCAATGCACCTGCTAAACAGCATTTTTAATAAGTTAAAATTTGAAACAAAAATATAATCTAAGAATTAATATTCAACGAATATTGACGTTTTTATAATAGTTTTAATAATCCCTGAAACACAGGGAAATTCAGTCTTTATGATCTCGAAGGATTTTAAGTTAATATAATTTCTGTTTTTTTTTTTTCAATCATTATGTTTAACCATTTAAGTTTTATTTCAACAAGTTTCATTTTCCTATTTATTTTTAAACCTAAACAATTTAAAATAGTGCAAGATAAAAATCAAACGTCTCCATAATGGTCGAAAAAACTGAACATAAATTCACTTAAAATTCCTTTATAGAAAAACACTGGTTCATAAAAAATTTAGAACACCCTACATAAATACGTTTACAAAATCGCTATGAAAGCAACCAAAATGTTATTAAATTATAAATTATATGCTTTTAGCAACGGTATCTCGGACGATGTATACATTTTTCAACAGCTCACTGCACATACCTATAATAATACCCGAATAATTAATTAATTAATCGTATTGTAGCAATAGTACACGGTATACTCGCACAATAGTTGTAGTCTAATTATTACTGCAGTACGTATGCTATTATACAATTTGTCGGTAATCGCAATGGCGTATCCAGGGGGGGTTAGGGAGTTGTAATCCCTACTCCCGAAATGTCTTCAAAATAAAAAAAAACTAATAGTTTGAAAAAATAATAGAGTGCTATGACACTTAATAGCTTACACAAATAATAAAAATCAATAATATACATGTCCAGTCTAGTGTAGTTTGTATTTATATTATAATAATAGGTAGCTCAATGTTATCAAGTATCACTTTCGGTTATCCAAAAAAAACAAAATATTTTGCAATTATTAATAGAAGAAGTATATCCACAGACTAATTGTTTTAAACTAAAACATATATGTGCAACTCGATGAGTCGATCGTCATGATGCAGTTATATTATTTGAAGAACTTAACCAGCCATTTTATATGCACTAAATAAAATTACACTTTGGGCAGATTCTGACACTTCTAGTTCTGCAAGTCATCTTCTTACTGCGATAAAACAGTTAAAATTTCAAACAGCTTTATCTATTTAGTGAAAATACTTTCCATACGTTTTCCATTTAGCCGATATCTTCAAACAATAAATTTTGATTTAAAAACTGCATTAGAAGCTGCTAATGTTCAAAATAATATTCAGGATATTAGAGAAAATTGTGACGTAAGAGTTACGATTGCCGTATTTGTAAAAATTAATATATTTAAACGATACTCTTAATACAACAACAAAACAGATACAGGTAGGTATTATTAGATGCTGTACGACTATAATATCAAGTAATACGTTTGAATAATGCCAGACTTAATTAAAACAATATTCATTCAAATAATTGTCTACAACTTCTACGCCATAGTTATCAAATAAATATTAGGTAAAGTTTTGGTTTACGTATACATAATAATATTTTAATAAATAGATATTCGTTTTCGAAATCTCCGTGGAACTATTAACAACGTTTGTAATTAATTTTCACTGTGTACATAACAGGTTTGGAAATTTTGATATTATATAAGCGTATTTATTTTTTAGAATTTTAAACTATAACAGATAATCATTTTACTAGAGCCTACGATTGTCCAACTATATTACTCATCGTAGAAAAAGAGAAAAAATAATATATTTTTTTATTGATATATGTATAATTATATTATTATATAGTGACTGGATGTGAAACAAAATAATATTGAAAAAAAAAACATATAAATATATGCAAAACATGAACAGAATACCAAAAACAGTATTAAAATTTAAAGTGGTATTAGCGCGAGTAGAATACAATGCATTCGGTAGATAACGCTCACTGACGTGACGTATATAATATTTAAAATATATAATATACATGTTCTGCTTCACCGCGATAAATTCAAGTAAAATATCACAATAACAATAGTAATTACTCTAAGTTTTATTTGACTGTAATTTCGATTTGAAACGCTTTAGTAATATTGTACTATACATATTAGATTCTGAGCAGAGCTTTCACAACTTGTCCACCGGAAATTTTGCTTCATTTTTCAAGTGTAGTAATTTTTCTGAATGGAAATCTGACTGGGGTGGTACACTAAGGCGGTCATTTGCTTTGTCCATGATAAATGTAAAAACCCTAAGAAAAAGAGGATAATTTACGAAGTATATTATTTTTTAAAAACGTAAATATTACGGCCTTTCAAAACATGCACAACCGAACTCTGCTCAGAATCGTTTTTCGTTAGCGATGATTATTCTTTGCGCACACATATACATTCAATTTTCTCTCTATCTTCCTGACTTCTAACCTGTAACAGTGGCACACCAATCGTACCATCGCATGTCTGTTTTTTTATTATTTATTTTTTTTTTTTTTTGCGATATAACGTGTTAGCTAGCTGTTCATGACACGGAAATTGGCGATAGACCCTGTCACCGTACTTAACAACTTCAGGTAGCTTACGGTAGAGAAATCATTAGAGACTTTAGTTCGATCCCATTCCGGAGTCTGACTTTTAACCAGTTTTTCAAAAATTTAATAATCGTGTTTAGTTATTATACACCGAAACTAGGTATATAATAACTTTTTTGTTACCTATATTTTTGGGATTGAAACCACTGACCGCTTAATTTCCAAATTGCAATTTATATTAAAAATACCATAAATAGACGGATTTTTGGTTTAAATACATTTTAGTGCAATAGACTCTCGTAAATCTGTAAACGAGTGGTGACGAAAACAAAATGGTACATAAATTAGTGTTTAAATTTACGGTCCACTCATGGCATAAACGTATTGAACGTTTTTGGGTGGCCCTAACTCCACCTGGATACCTTTAAAACCGACGATTACGTTATTATATTTTTAGTAGTGACGAGGATTTGAATAATATTCTTGCTCTTTTATTTTATTTTTTGTAAAAAAAAGAGCCCACCCCCACTTGTTATAGAACTAACGAACCCATCCATCATCGGATCCAAACTACCGTTTTATTTTTATAAAAAAAATTGTTTCGATACGAGTTTCAAACGCGTGTGTGTGCTTTTTAATTTCGCGTAACCGTTAAAAGTTTAAATTTAAAAACTTATCATAAACATTATAGCCACCCATATTCAGTCAAACAACAAAATTCTTAGAGACGGATTAAAATTATTGTTCGAGAACTGATATAGTTTTCGCAAGTCATTCACAACATGACGCGAGTTGTTACGCGAAACGCACGTCGCAGTCCGCTTTACACTTAGGCACCTACTTTTAATTTCGGCTGATGGTATTTAAAATTAAAAACACAGCAGTTGGTATATAATTGAACCTATAAAAATAAAACGTAATGGCGTTTTTCTGTAAGGAAAACAAAGTTTTCGAGAACGGTACACTACTGCACGTACCTATACAATTTCGTTTCGGAGTAAGGTCGTACGGATTCAAATAAGACGAATTATTTCGACGTGGTGACGCGTATTATTGTATAATATAAATATATGGCTGAAACCATCTGTCGCGAGAAAATTAAAAAACCAACCAACGAATGAATACATTGTTGAATTTTGTAAATTTTTTTTAATCATCCGCGAATGAATTCAACTCGAGAATATTGGAAAAATATATACAATTACGACGTGAAAAGACGTGGAAACTTCACGGCGCAACCGGAAAATGGCAAATTAAACGGACAAAATATACATATATATTTTTTCAATTAAAAAGGTTAGAACGCGTAATGTATATCTTTTTTTTTAATTAAAACTATGAATATTTCACGTTATAATATCAAAACGATATCATAATCCTCGAAAGACATCGCCATCTATTGATTTACGCGTTCGACAATATTATATTGTACTGGGAAATGAATTAAAACGGTCTTTTGGCAAACATCGTTTAATGTTATATAATATACTTATATTTTTAATTGGAGATTAAATCAAGCGGGAATAATAACATTTGTTTTATTTTTTTTTTTTTTTGTAACAATAACTAACGATATTTTTTTAGTTTTTGAGCGAATAATATGTTCTTCTTTGATTCGGGTTTTTTTTACATTCTTTTTTTGTATCAACTTTCCAAAAATGTTGCTCCAATCAAAAAACGATAAGAGTTTTTTTGTGGATTTTTTTATATACATATAAACGTTGATTTATTGTTGCGTAGAGATATAAATTAAATAACTCTATGCAATATGCATCCTACCTTTCCAACTTTTTTTTTTATTTCGGTCATATATTACTTTTTAATTGAAATTACAGTGTTTAAAAACGTCTCACGTATATATATTATAATATTAAGTGATAATACTTTGATAATTCAACATTTGTTTAAAAAATCAATGATTTTCCCCGTCGATTACATAAGTAGGTTTATTTTAACAAACATAATAAAAAAAACATTTGCATATTATAATTTGTTTTTATTTTATCATTAGGAACGACGATGTTTATACTCTTACTTTTAGCTTGTACATGTCAGATTTTGAGTGTAACGAAGAAGCAAAAAATTAACTGAAATTAATTTTTTTACGGTAGCGAACAGTGTATTATTCTTTTTACTATGGTCAGGTTTTTTTTTTTTTTTTTAATATTTTGTTTTGTCTGTAACCACTATTTTTCAACCAAACATTTTATTCCGATCACCAAGGGTGGTTTCTGGTATATCAAATTTTGGCGCAGTGGTCATTGTAGTTTTCGTAAAAATTTGGAAAAATTAAAAAAATCATCGGAAAACGAGAAGATATAAAAAAAAAAAAAACTACAGGTAAAAATGTTTTTGGAGGTAGGTAAATTTGGTGAAATTTTTAATCATATCCATTTCTATTAGTAACGGCTCTGCCCAGATAAGAACCACTAACTATACAGTGTTACATAGAAAAATTGTGTTGATAATTGATTAAGCAACTTTCGTAATCGTAAAACTGAATTAATCTTAATAACTGTCGTATTAAGATTCGGCACAAAATAATTTCTCTCCGGTTCACGGTGTGTCGCAGATTGTCGTTCCTAGATCTCGAATAGTTTCATTCTGTCAATTCGGAATTAGACATAAATGAATTATCTTCAAGATTTCCGATTTCCTATTCCTCCCCCTGGTAGTCCTTTCCACTTTTCGACAGACTCGTCACTTGTCTGAATTCGTGAATGCGTCATTATATTGTCCACTTCTGTTAAATGATAAATAACATTAAATACCTATACAATTGCAAGGAACTGTGAACTATGAACTACACGGAATTTCATATTCCCGTTCATATAATTATATTATTTTCTTATATATTAAAATAAAATTTCCCGATGTCAACGGTATATTATTCGGGCTAACCAATATAATGTTTTATAAAATATTATGTACATGAAAAAAAAAAGGGGACAAGTGAATCCACTGTTATAAGTAATTTAATGCATATTTGAAAGCAACGATTAACCATTTCTAATGAAAAAACGATTCTGAACAGAGTTCAGTTAATAGTGTTGCTTTTTCAACAATATTTATATGTCATATTATGATGAAATAATAACATATGTATATTTTACGTTTATTTTTTTTATAAATATTTGTTTAATATTGTATCTAGTTTCCCTTTTTCCCGGGTTTTCTCATTTATTGGGAAAAATCCTGAGAAAATCAAAAAATGGCCTCTTCAAAGTACCCCAGTCAGATTTCTTTTCAGAAAAAGTGCTATCATTGTAAACTGGAGCAAAAAAAGAAGTAAACATTGTAAAACCATTAAATTCCTGGTTCCATTTAGAATCTAAAACTTTATTAACCTACATCGATAAACGAACTATAATTCATTTCAATAGATAATTCAGTAGATACATATGCATAATTTAGTTTAATAAATGCAAGTAAGTAAATCGATTAAGATGAACACTGACTCTAGCGTGTAAGGATAAACGGGAAATCAACAAACTATACATAGGTACTGTTACAATGTAGTCGAGATGAAAAAAAAAAATATTAGGGGTCATTTTTATGGCATTTTATTTTTTATAGGAAAAGCATTAAAGTATAGTGCAAGTGGTCACGTGCGACAGTCACATAATATTCATAATATACATATCTTTATTCAAATTGAATATATTTTTTTCACTAATGCACTTTCCAATGCAAATAAAATTCGATCGGTCTGTCAATACCATACACGTCTGTAATATTAAAAATTATATACACTTGAATAACAATTCGTTTCGATCCAGTTGACATTTCATTTTCGAAAATATGCTACTGATATTAAATTCAGAAGTGCAATGATTTTATTTAGTGGTATACATAATGGTAAAAATCAATCTACACTCGCGTACATTTATACCATACATGATATAATATTTTATTGCGGAAATCATAGTGTAATATTCATTGTCGAAAAAAAAAAAATGACTACACACCATACATTAAAATTAAACAATGTAAAAAAAAAAAAGAATTAATTTTAACAAGATATTATTTACTCAGTATTTTATACTTCAAGATCATTTATAACTAAAGATAAAGGTACACACGGTTTATTATTTTATGATACGTTAAATAATGTATATTTTCGTAGCATTTATAAACTACCAAACCAAAGTTTATATTATATACGTTTTGTGAATGGTTTACTTATATAACCATTTATATGATACGACGATAAATTTTTTAAAATATATATTTATATATATTATAATTACGTATTTAAACAGACATTTTTTAAAGTCAAAATTTACGGATGACAAAACTATTTTAATATTTGATCAGTTGTATCTAATATTGTACGTCCAATAATAATTATTGCATACGATTTACTGTCAATACCCACCTCTTATATTTCGGAATTACGTTTTACGGACCGAGTTATAACATTTTATTCTGTGCTTTTGAGCGATTGGTATTCAACGTTTCTGATGACATACATATATATTAAGTATAAATATTTAACCACACTTCCACATATTGTTCAATATTCTTTGTGGGTACATAATAAATATGGAGAACGGTCTTCTTATTTCCGGGTATATGAACCTAATTTGAACCTATGATGTTCTCGGTGGAACATCGAAACGAGCCACTGATGGAATTTCCTAAAGAGAACGTATCGATAAGATTGCGTTCTATTTCCATAGTTACCATATTTACGGTTGCAGGTGGTTGGAATTCGGTAAATTATGTTTGGTGTCACCGAATTTAATAAAACGCGTTCAATCGTACATAATGCGACCTTTACGTTTAGTATAAATTCTACAGGACTATTGCGGGTTTTTGTAAACGTCTATAATAGTCTATACACATAGTATGTGTGTCAAACGAGTACGGGAAATACCTCTCATCGAGTGTCTTCGAGTGAGTTCTTCATGCAGGTCTCGAACATGACGGAATATTTCTATACAAAAGAGTCTGGGAAAGTAAAGGGGTTGACGCAGAGAATTTTTACTTCCCGTAAACGTCACCAAAAATCTTATACGCATTCGGTTATATCAACCACATAACAACTCTAAAGAAATAAAATTAAACTAAAAATATATATATATATATATATTTTTTTTTTTATCACAACACTGTTATTTGCTTACCTAACTTATTATGTTTTAGATTTAAAATATTTTTAAAAATAGATAATATTTCTGATGGTTGTGCCTCTATATTGTTGGCGGGGAGTTGGGAAGGTAGATATAATCTAATAGATTTCCAATATCTATACTCTATGTGTTTTGATAATGATGATTGGGTCATCGCAGTAGAATAAAACAATTGTATTTAAATACGGCTGTAAGTAGAAGATTGCTGCAGTCGGATAACCATGTGTGCAATCACATATTTAATCGATTCAATTTGTGCCTGTTCGAATTCTATGTAGTTTAATCCAACTCATCGTTATAGTTGTAGTATTTCATTTTATAAAATCGTACTCTTGTACATAAATATAAAAAAGGAGGGCGTATTTCGTGATATGGGACATGGGTGGGTCACTGTTCTAGGGAAGAAAGTAGAAAATGTATAATGTATAGGGTATAATTTATTTTATGTACCGAAAACAACGGTAAATCATTGTAATTAAAAACCGATTGTGAGCGGACCTTGATAGTATACGATTTCTCCTTGTAATTGTCGAGGTAACCGGAAATCAAAATTAAACTTTTTATCATAATTTGTTGTCGTTATTTTTCAAAATGTTAAGTAAAACTATTGTGTTCTATAGAAAAATTCAAATATTTCTAATGGCAATCAATTATTGTAGAAAAACTGAAAATTGTAGATATTCAAGAAAGATAAATAAAAGCTATTTTTAAGTAAAGTAAAATGAATTTCGAAGAAATAATCAAATAAAAACACCAACGAGCGAAAAATCCACATCTTATAAAATACTGTGTGATAAAATTTTAGTATTTTTACTAACCGAAGTGTATTCCCAGAAAAAAAAAAAAAACATTTCTTAATAAAACTATAATAACTTTTTTGCTACATTCAAGATCTAAACTTTAATTCCCATACAGAAATTAAACATATTAAATATTATTGTACTGTAAGGTTATTAGTTTTTCCATTAAAAAACAGATATAAATATATTCAAACAAAAAAAATATTATCTTCTTGACCGTAAAACATGGATAAACGACTGACATAATAAAACATTATGTATTTATCGTTGTACATTTTTACATTAGAACTTACTGTGTTTTGCTCGACAGCAGTCTGTTATTTATCCCCGTGTAGTCGTAGTTGGGAATAAACAATTTCAGTTACGCGCGAAATACTTGGATATTATATTAAATGTAAAATATATATTTATTTATTATTAGTTCAAATTTACGATTAAAACGATTTATCACAATTAGAAAAACAAAGTAAATGAAATAAATATTGCGCTGTTGTAGTATAATACGGTAGCAACCCATAACGGTATACCCGGCAAAGTAAATTCTTTTACTGGGACCACGGTAAAAAAAAAAAACAATTCATTTGTTTGGTTTCGGTTTTTTTATTTTATATTTATTATTATGTTTCTAACTGTTTACGTGTTAATTATTTAAACCATTGTTTTCTCTCCTTCGTTTTTTTTTTTTTTTATTATTCGAATTGTACGTATCTGTATAATAAAGTTATTATTTTAAGGCTTAAACAAGTTAATAAAAAATGAACTCAATAGTTTTACCCGTAAACAAATTATTATTTATACATAATAAAAACACCAATAAATACTAAGTTTTATTTTTTTTTTAATATGCGTTTTGCTATTATTTTAATAATATACTTATACAGACGTTTTATAAAACCACGACAAGTGTATTATAAAAATTCATATTTTTTTTTTTATAAAATTTGAAAACGTAAATTTATAAAATATTTACTGTTGATATACATAATACAATAAAAAATCATGTATAGAAATCTCTGTGGAAATCCGTTCAAAATGAATAAGTAGGACTTTCAAAGGAATATATTATTTTACGAGTAAAGGGATTTTTTCATAATACGAAAAAAAATTATTTGAAAAATTAGGCCTAGTTGTATTCTAGGCAAAAATGATATATTATTTTATACAAGTACTTTTTACTTTTCATACGTATGTATATAACATTAATTAAAACAAAGGGAACAATTCAACACAAAATTTATCACCATTTTTAACAAGCTAGTTATTAAATTAAACTTTTTTTTTCATTTTTAATTCAATTTAAAGTTTAAAATGTTTGATTTTATAAGTTTTAAACGTTTCAAACTGCGGTGAGCTTTTCTCGAACACCGATAAGTGTAAAACGTTTATTGTGAAAATACCTATACAAAGTATACGCTTGTAGTTACCCATTAGTAATTCATTTAGCAAAATGGAAAATAATTCGTTTTAGAGAGGTTAGACAACTAATAAGAGAACCACCGATTCAATAAAGAGTCATCGTGTTTATTACAAAATACAAATATTTCAAAAACCCCAAATATTAATTTAAAATATTTACACCATAAAACTTGAATAAATCCAAATGAATGTCGTGTGTCAAAACAACTTATTTTATGAATTTAATCAGGAACGGATTAGCATACACTTTTGCCCTCGGAAAATAATGAAGACCACTCAATGTAATAGGCATACTAATTATTTAAACAAATAAAATATATTAAAAACATTGAATAGAAAAAAAAGAATTAGTGGATGAGTAGAGAGGTGAGAGAATATTGGATAAAGAATGAATACATAAGAGTTAGCTTAATCGTGATTTCAATAGTAGACAGAGTGAGAGAAAATAGACTGATATGGTTTGGGAATGTCATGAGGAGAGAGGAATTCGAAGAAATAAGAATTGCAATGGGAATAAATAGGACAAATTAGAAGAAGAAGAACAGTGGCACACCTGTCTCTTGTATTATCTTTTTGAATTTTAAGCGCAGTAAATAATGTATCGATTGACTATGATGTGTGCTTTTTTTTTTTTTGCCAATGTATAACTTTTTATTTTTTTATTTTCCAAATAGATTTTATGATAATTGGAAAAATCGACAAAAAACGTAAAAAAAAAAAACCGGGAAAGTTTACGACATTAAAACGGTTACATTAATTCCGATTTTATGTTTTTGTTGTAATATGGTTAAAAATAATCGTAAATACAGAGCATTTTTACAAAATACTTGTAATGGCATTTTCTAGACATGGACAATTTAGAACATTCTAGACAATTTTCAGATATTTATAGGCATTTGATATTTTCGTTTTTTTTTAGGTCAAACAACAAGATGTACTTATCTAAACTTTAAATAACTAACCATTGGTTCAACATTCAATAAATCAATAAATCCAATTTAAAATTACACATACATTTTTACACATTATTTAGCTTTATAATGTAAAATTAAAATACAAGTTACTATTATTAATTTTTTTTTTATTTCATATGTAAACCAATTTACTTCAGCTTTCAATAATCCATCTTATAGAATATATACGTGTATAGCCTGTTGAACATTTGTCTGTACTATTTTTATTTGAGGTTCTGAGCAATGATACCCTTGGTAATATTTCTGCGCTCCATTACGTCTTCTTCTTGTGCACTATACACGAAAAGATATATAATACCACGACGTTAGTCAAACTTTTTTTGGAGTAAAATGACATATTGGTAACATGTGTGTTGTATGTGTGGTAATTTTTATTTTTAATTTTAGAATGGTATTTATTATTATTATTATCCTTAGTAGTTTATCGACGATATGAAAATATGTATTCAGCTATATTACGTGAAACACCCTTGTTTTTCTTTTTAAATTAATGAAAAAAAATACATATTCGGTCGATATATCTTGTGAATATTATATACATATTTATATAATAAATTACTTAAATCCATAAATAAGAAAATTACACAGCACAAAATGACAAACGACACATGTATAATATAAATTATGATAATAGTTTTCTACCTAAAAAAAAAAAAGTTCTCTATACCAATAGCATGATATAAAATGTCCTTTAAAATTTTGAAAGCGGAAAATGATTTATTAAAATCTGATATAAATATATTACCTTTAGGTATCTACGTAAAAAGTTCAAAATTAGAACTCGAAGATGTGAACAAATTCGAATCCGTATATAAATGAAAGGCGGGGAGACATAATTTCGAAAGCACGTAATATTATAATTTTTCATATCCCCAAAAACTCGGAGGAAACTATATTATGTAGGAACACGACATAATGATACATAAGTTCTTTAAGAACTTAATATCTTCTATGGGATTAAATTATTTATCGTTCGGTAATGTACATAACTTGAAAAACCAACGTCTATTAGTCGACCAACTTTAATAATATATTTCATGATGCTATAATGCGATAATACGAGTAATTATTATTGTACAATAATAGGAGATATTTTTATATATTATTTAAACATTATTGAACATTTCTAGTGAAAACTTTTACTTAAGCCTGGCTCACACGTTGATATGTTACTATCGTTGTATTTGCGACATTCAAAACCTCGAGTTTTTATCATGCACTTTATTATCGCCGTGTAAACAGCGCAGAACAGTAATATCATCGAACTATTGTGAAAAAAACTATCACGCTATCGTACATGCACAATAATTAGTAGTTACTATTGCAACAGTGACAATACAACTACCTAGCATCGGGGAAAACATACTTATTTTACTGTTGTGTCACATGTTTACAGAAATTAAAATATACAATCCAAAGTATTCAAAATATACGTTCTTCTATTATGCCTATTGTCAATACAAATTAAGTATATTTTAAAATTTAATATTCAATACAGTTTCAAAATTAATGTTTTTATAAAATGTTGGGGAAACGATAAAAATTATTCACTATTACAAGTTTTTGCATAAATATTTTATCTGTGTTTGAAACAACTTTATGTAATATTTCAGTACCGTAGCCAGAAAAAATGTTTGGAGGGGAGCAGTCAATTTTTTATCTAGTTTTT